GGATAGATGCCGAAACAGAAGGCTGAGGTGCAGTCTGATCCTCTGGCCTTTCTAAGCCCCCCAGCCTGTGCCACGTTGAGGTTCGAGGAGACCGCTGTGCCGCCTTAGCCTCTCAGTCCCACTCTCTTCGACATGTCGTTACCATGATATCTCCCATTCGGTTGCAGGGACGACCGCTTGACGAGTCCCGAGGTGCGGCATCAGAAGCAGGCGACATGGCCGCGAGCCCGAGGTCAACTCTCTCTGCTCATGGTCGCTTCTCGGGTCGTCGACTTTTCCAAAGGAAAACTTTACCGGCCGCAAACAGCCTAATGAGGGACTGGCCGTATCCCCATTCCCTGAAATTTTACGCTCTTAGCGCCCAGGTCGCATAGTTCGTCGCCCCCATTGGCCGTCACTGCCTCATCACGCCGTTGGTCGCGTCTGTCACTGTCCCTGACGCGGTTATGGGCGTCCATATTCACAACCTGGGTCCGAATCAAGCCAACACTGCCTCTTCTTCGCCTGGATTTCTGGTTTGCATTGCATTGCACATTCTCATGCACTTTGAGCGCTTCCGATCTCTCGGGTCGCGAATGCAGCTGGTCTCCGGCAAGCGTCCTACTGGATATGCCAGGAAACAGGTATCCACCGCAAAGCATCGTCTGCTAGGGTTTGGTACTGCAAATTGTCTAGGTCCGTCTTCAAGCAAGTCAACACATTCTGGCGGTAAAACAGTATCAAATCAGCCGAGAGGAAACGATATTCCTTTGGTCGGACGGGGTGACAAACTGTCTGGACGTGGCAACCTCCATCTTCATGCCAAGCCATGCTATGGATTCAAGAACCCTGACCAGAGGTATCCGTCCGAGGCACCGAAGTACGCTCAGACTGACAGCGATCTTGCCGCTCGCCATGTGAGCTTTCCGTCCGAGATTTCCAGTGGGCAGTGGTTCGATGGCGCTTGCCATCGCTGCACCATGCAACCCCGAGACTCCACCATCCATTGCAATCAACGAAGTCTGACGCCCCCCTTGGACGAGGACTTGCTGGCCATTCCTAGGGCACCATGAGAAAAGCCTCAGGGTACAAGGAGATACACCAGGAGACTTCTTCCACACTTTCAAGGTCTCTCCCGGCCACATGCGGAATATGGCAAGCTCCACGCCGGGTTTTTGGGCATCCATTCGGCTTCAAGGGCATGAGCTCTTTGCGGCTAGAAGCGCGTATCATGGAAATCCGTGCTTGATCCTAAACCTTGGGCAGCTTTATTTTCACTGAAGAACTGCTCAATGAAGGCAATCACAGTTACTTATTCTGGAAAAAGGCGCAGCGATGGTAGCTGATAACTGGGTAGCCGGACGGCCTCGCTCTCCCGTCGGACTCTGATCTGAATTCCCCAAAGGCAAGCCCTGCTACACCCACGCGAGGTTTCCATAAACACAAATACCTCCTGGAGGACGGCGCCTTGTATTCGTGGTGTCTGCCTGCTCGTCAACGATTGGAGAAACGAGGCAAACCACCTGTCTTCAGTGATGGCGGTCCTCTGTACACGGCAACCTGCTGTCGCCATCTCCCCCGGCTCCCGCGAATCAAGGACGGCACAACCGGTCCGCGGCGTGACGAGGTTCTGCAGTTGTCATGGATTGCCAGTCTCCGGGACTTCACCGTTCAGTAGAGGGGGTGGACATACTGGAAGCCGCGGTGGTTCTGTGGAAGAGCTGCCAGGAGTGGTCCAGTGTGGACAAAGGCGGGCGTTAGGCCCTCCGCCGGTTGCGCCCGTAAGAACATCTTTCTCCATGTCGCATCTGGAACAGCGGCAAAACGGTCCCCGGGGAAAGAAAGAAATCCCTTCTGCCCCCTTTCCAGGGTCAAGCTTTGTGATTGCGTGGGAATGTCGAACCAGACAATGGCCTGAAAGATTCGCAAAAGGCGCAGCCGCCACCACCACTACCACGACCTCACCCATCTGCAGGATGGGCATACGAAGAGGGGGAGCAAAGCATCTCGAATCCTTCGGCAATTAATTTCAGCCCCCAATGCTGCTCATCTCTGTCCGGTATCATGTCTCTACCCGAGCCGTTGACTGCGAGGCTACAACCAACGGCCGTAACGATTGCTCCGGCCGTTTTCAAAAGCCGCTGCTGGTGTGCGCGCTCTCGCTACGCCTCTGTGGGGATAATCAGCACTCTAATCTGTACAAGAAGCTCGAATGTACATTGCCGGGGAAGCTCTCTCATCTGATCTCGAGTTGTGGGTAGGGCGGTGTTGAGTCAATTTCCAGTCTGGCCCACTCCCAGCACTGAACTGGTCATCACTACGGATACTACCCCTCGTTGAATGAATATGGTTACGTCGGCACAGTTTGGTGACGGATTTTGAGCGATGTTGTTCTTGGTAGAGGATAACGCCTCGCAAGGCATTCTCTTTCGATTTGGCCTTCTACCTTATAGCTCATTGATCACGTTGTTTTGACTGGTCGTCAATCCACGAGGCCACAACAGAGGCCCGAAAAGGCGGCCAAGTGCCTGCAAAGCCCCCTCCTTGCTGCCCCGGCGACTCCGGGTATCTGCGAAGGAGAAATCGCTGCCAAGAAGAAATTTTCCATGGGCAACCCAAAAGTGTATAGTTTTCGTGGTCGAGTTCAGAAGCTATCGCGAGGGCGTATTAGGGTGCCCAAGTGGTCATCACCGGCAGCCCCTCCAGCACACACGTGTTGAGGCCTTTGAGGTCTCTCTCTGCACCCCAATATTTCGGCCGCAGTATTGGAGCTGACGTCGGGGTGCAGAATCCTTTGCTATTTTCTGCAATCCTCCTCTTCCGCAACTACAGCATTCCCGGAGCTGCAGCTGCGCCGCTTGAGCGGTCAAACGGGCACTCACTTCAGCTTGTCTGCAGGAACAAGGCATTCGAAACGTCATGTCAACCTCCCGTCGAACTTGTTTCTATTTCGTATTCTGTCCTATTCCTACCTTGCGGTGAAAAAGCGTTCCAAGTGGCGGAGCGTCGAGCCCCACGGGTGAGGCTGTGAAGCCCTTCTGCGTGGGAAAGAAACACCATTAGCCAACAACACCAACGCCCAAACAGCCCCCAATGACTTCCGACCACGCCCAAAGCAGAAGACAGAACAGCCCCTTCGTGCTTCGACCAACGATAGACGACGGAAGCGCACCAGGAACCCGTCATCTTCTTCTCCTTTCGTATCCACAAGCATCAAACAAGCGCAGAACGTCCCATCAATACGTTACACACACTCGAAGCCATCGTTTCCGCGTCCACTCGACAGCCCCCTTCCCCCCTTCTTCCTCCACGCGATCGAGAATAGTAGCCAGACAAGATGCAGCCCGCCATAATCTAAGGTTAATCCCGGCCGCCACTCCCGCTGCCACGGGTGGCGCAGTACCTCGAGAGAGACAGAGACGTCTACGGAGCGTTTACCGCAGGCTGTTGGTAAAGCCCATCATGACTGGTTCTTTGTTCGCCAGGCTAGGATGCCATCACCCTCGAGTAACGTGCAATGATTCGTCCCCTTTCCATGATGACTCTTTTGCCTGATATCGTGCCTCATATCGATCCCTTCGCCAGAACGAAACGGCCTCAGTCACAGGGCGCAGGGCCGAGCGAACGAGAATTAAGAACACGGCGAATCAGAGCAGCTGGACCAACATCCCTCACGCCTTCGCCCTGGTTCGATTCTCTCGTCACCTCTTGGCCCCCCTAATTCCATGAGTGGAAAGTTGACAAAGTAGACGAAAGGTGTGCGTCTAGACCGGGAAAACCTGTCCATTCTTGCCTTCCCATTCGACGGGGAGTGAAAAGAAGGCATCTCTAGTCCCTGTCATGATGGAGATACCGGACGAACGCCCTCGCTCTCGTCCAAGCGAACCATAGCCCCCCCTCCCCTTTCTCCCTTCACCCCATGATCCCATCATCTCGCCGCCCCTCTCGCCAGCCCTACGATTCTCTTTCTGAACGATGAAACAAGCGACGATGGCGATGTTCCCAACGCCCTCGAGAAAGAAGATACTTGTCAAGCTTGTACCGATACAAGATACAGAGCCCAGACCGTGCTTGACTCCTTGACTCCGCGATGATACCCCCTCCATCAAGGCGGAGAGTGTCACAACCGACAGATACTCTCTTGTCCTTCTCTCCCCACCGCCGCGCCGATACAGCCACTGGCGGCCGCCGAACGAGACGTAACGGAAAGGGAATCCTGGCCAGTGTGCCTATGCTATTGATCATACATTATCAGGTCTGTTGGGCCGTCACATACGCGACCGGCGGCTCTCTAGCGAATAGGAGCTACCTCCGAGTTCCTTTGAAAAAAAGACTTCATCCCCCCTCGGTCAATGGAGTCCTTTTACGAGGCAAAGAAGGGGAAGGTGGTCGGTCTTGAGGGGGGGTTGGAGTCCTCGGACTTTCTCTCGATACCCGCTCCAATGCGACTCTCATTGCTCCATGTGATGATTGGGGAATCGAGCGCTCTCAGGTCTAGGGACCTATCATTCACACGAACGTGCCCATCGTCATCATCGTCGTGATCATCGTTCGTCCACTTCGTGATCGTAAGGCAGAACTGAGGGATACCATCCCCCCCCAAATTGCGTTTCTGACAAAGGCGAATGAATGGGGCCGTTGAGATTGAGCTGTTCTCCTCCTGACGCCCGCTGATGCCTGTTACGCTTGACAGTACCTGAGGCTGATTGATTTCCATGTGAAGGTCCATTTGGGAAGGATATGATCATGTCTTCCTTCGCATTGTGTACAGTCTCGGCGTCAGTGCGGTCACGATTATCCGTAGTCCGAAGTAAACTCAGAGGGGGCATCATCGGGAGACTGATTCACCGCTGGACACATGTCAGCCACCTCACTCATACATCACCATTGTTTGACGATGCATCCAAGGATTGGAGAGGGTTGTCATCGTATGCGTCAAGTGTTTTCGGTCTTCTCAGACACAGGCATTGACAGGTGTCACAGCAAAAAATTGCTTTAATTAATCTTGTTTATTTCGGAAACTGAAACAAAGCTACAGCTAATCACAGCGTTCTTTTGCGCAAGTGTGTGCTCGTGGAAAAGAAACCTACACCTTCACCCGCTATTGCCAATGCTTTGATGATCCCAGAAAGGAGAAAAGAAACCAGACACTAGAGCCTCCGAGGAAAGAAATGAAAACGTACAAGACGACCGCCGAAACCGAAGCCGCAACCCGATGTCGCCTGATCATATCGTGGAGCTCATTGTCGAATATACGCGTGATTATACCGTCATCAACAGACTGTGCTAGGAAACCCGAGATGTAAAAAAATGAGGCAAATAAGTGTAGTGTACCAACGAGAATCGCTTGTTGGTCGAGAGCTTCCATTCTGGGATACCAATGGCAAAAGCAGGTGTATAACGTAATAGAAAGATTTCCGTCTTTCGCTGGTCCAAATATATCCGGTTGCAATGCAGTCGCAAAGCAGTGATGTTGCGCATCTCGGAGCATGGAAGGATCGCTGAGAGCTGCAAACCTAGTCACTCATCCCCGGACCCCAACGGAGGGGCCTAATACAACGTCTGCCGAAGGGGCATTCACTCACTCCTTTCTGGCAAGCTGTGATCGAGCTGTCCGCTGCTTATCTGCAGATCTTGAAACTCGCCCCAACGTATGTGTTCTGCCTTCGTTCGCACTCCTGTGGGGATGTTATAACGCAATGGCTCTCCCATATCGTATCTCTGTCGACTTCTATGCACCCTCGAGTGGTTGCACAAAATTATAGTTGAAGTCCAAGAGGCCGTCTAGCATCCAATGCTGTGGGTCAAAGAAATCGTAGTTGGTCTCACCGTAGCTCATGCCGCTCAGCATGCTGTTGCTAGGTGGTTGACTTCCGATCCCGCCAGAGTTGCCAGGAGTGAGTGCTCCATTGGCAGCGAGCAGGCTGTTCGCTTGCAGTCCTTGGGTTGCCGGCATGAGTGTGCTGTCCAAATGGGTCGATGACGCTGAGGACTCGTTCGCTGAGTCTGGATTAGTAGGTTGTTTCATGGCTATTCCGGGTGGCACGTAGGTCAGTCATCACAGTCACACCGAAGAGAGACGTGGATGCAATGGCTCGAGCACTGGGTGGGGAGGGGATAGAGCTTTATAATTACCATCAATTGAACCTCTTCCTTGGGCTTGGTATTCTTCCCTCCATCGCCAGACAGAGTCAAATACAAGACTCATGCTATGGCGGCAGCGCACCTTGAGCTGTAAGGTGTCGTCAATGAGTAGTGGTGAATCGTCGTTGTCGTAGGAAGCCGTGCTGTTGTTATCGAGTCGAGCTCCGTTCCACATTTGCACCATTAGCTCTGCTAAACGCCACTGCAGGTCGTTGTTCACGACGCTCGTAGCACGAATGGCATTGATTGTCTGGTGGAAGAGATTGCGGCCACGATCGAAATCAATCGTTTTGGCAAAGAACGACCGCATGAGCTTGAGTAGGGCAAAACCCGCCGCGATCAACATTTGCTGGATGTAATTCGTCGCATAAAGCAGGATTGTTCCGGGAGAGTTCTGTCCGGGTGATGTGACCTTGTCGACCTCAAGAATGTTATCCAAGAAGCTTGTGGTAGCCCTCCAAAGACCCATGAGATCATCGATGTAGCCAGGTGTGGTACTCGAGTCAAAGAAGCCAGCTAGACGCAAATGGAGTGCTGCGGCTCGCATATGTAAGTTGACGATTGGTCCCAGATGCTGCGAGAGGACCGACGCCTGAAGTTCGTTAAAGTCCTTTCTGTAGACTCTCATCAACATGGCTCGATGTTCGTCACCGGCAACCCCGCGAGGATCGCTAGCGTTGCTGTACATTTCCTTGGACACCTTGTCGCAGAATCTTTCGACTTGGAGTCTAGCCTCCAATTCCGGGGTCAATCGGAAGGGACCATCTTCGCCTCGTCGAACGGCCAAGGTCCAGTCGTACAGGGTCGATGCCGGCTGGCCGTAGCCAGTACCAATAGTCTGAGCCACAATATTGCAGACAGCCCATGTTGACACACGGTCATGCAGCTGCTCTTTATTGAGGTCGACCGATACTCTGGAGAAGTCTTGACTGTGGTTTGGTCTATGTAGGCCAATACCCGTCGCAACCTTCATCATAACACCACAAAGAATGTGCGTAGGGTCAGCACTTGTCGTGCTTGTTGGCAGAGGCCAAGTGCATAGCAGACAAAGAGCTTTGACGACAAAGTAGCTGCTGGGAACATCTCCAATGGTTGACCACAGCAATCTGGTTAGAGGTCCAGATATCGAGGTCAACAACGTAGTGTCTGCGCTATACCGGCGAGCAGCAACCGAAATGATGGACCAAAACAAAAGGGCGTGTTGTTGGAAATACTGATCAGGCGTCTGTTGCGGGTTGAGGAAAGGCAAGAAAGGGTGGTAGTATGCGAAGAATTGACTGAAGAGCTGATTGACTGACTCCTCGGTCAGGCGTACGTTCTCCAGCTCGTGAGTGTAGCGTGGTAGGCTGTACGACCCTCCTCTCTTGAGGTGCAACAGGGAGGATACAGCCTCGTCGGAGCCCATCAGGGAAGGGTTTCTAGTGTGTGTGTACACGCTTGTCGCAACCGGGGATTGGAGGTCTTGTTCGTCCTCGTCGACGGTGTAACCCTGATTTTGGGCGCGTGCAATGTTGCGTCGCAATCTGTCGATTTCCTTTTCCATCTCGGCGTGCTTCGACCGCTTGCCTATGCGCTTGAAGTTGGACTCAATCTTACAGGAAAGCTTGAGGCGGTTACACCGTGAACAGCTCTGGAAAGGGTCTTGAACAACATCGCATCGCAACTATTCCAGAGGAAGCTTGGTTAGTGGGGGTGACTCATGTCATGATTCTGGCCGGTGGGTTGACTCACTTTCTGTTGTCGACACTCGTTACATGCGCGCTTGACGCCGGGCTGGCGCTTTTTGGAATCAGGCTCGCCATTGTCATCGTCGTGACCGGCATTGCTGCCTGGGCTGCTATCGAGGGCCATGCTGCTGTGCTTCCTCTTGGGAGGCCCATTGGGCGCATGACGGGCGCTCATGGGACTTGTGGGCGAGACGGGCGTCGCCCCGCCGGCAGAGACGACGTCCATGCAGGGCACGGGGGACGGACAGTCGCGGTGAGACAAGACAAGACACGGCACAGGCGGGCGCGGGTGACCCCTCCCGGGCCGGGCGTGGCGTGAGGTGCGAACGGAGCTCGCAGGAAGAACTCGGCAATCGGAGATGTCCTGGACGGTGAGCGAGACTCGCTGGGGCGGCGGTCCGGTGTCGCGACGTGCGTGTTGGAAATGTTGATGTGAGGTGGGAGCTGGCGCGGCCGAATGCGGAGGGCGGGGAAGAAGGTTGATTTTTGACCTGAGGAGCGAGGCAAGATTTGCAGTGGGAAGGTGGAAGGGGACCTCGTTGCGCCTGCCCAGCCGTTGGACTTTTGGAGGGGGACCAACGGGGGTGAATGGCTGGGAAGTGTCATCCCATTGGCTGGCTCTGTCTGCAGTTTCCCCGCCCTTCACCTTCTGTGCTTCTGCAGCGGGCGGGGTGGGTGACAGAGTCTGTGAGAGCACTGAGCAGTTCTGCCAGTTTACACATGACAACTTCCCAACCGGGAAATGCGCATCGGGAACTCGGACCCGACTTGTACCGGTTCTTGCTCTTCCAATCTGCCCAGACCGTGCCCGGGCTGCTGTCAGAATAGTGCACAGACAGGCGGGATACTCCCCGGCACCCCAACTCCCAAGCCTCCGACGCAGGAGATAGCAATCTGAATTGACAAAGATAGCCAAAGTCGATATTGACGATAGCTGCTGGTCCGATATCGTCCTCTTTCTCTGCCTTTATCCACCCTTACTCGCCCTGCATCTGGGGACCTGTTCCCACGCTGCCCACAGCGTTAATAGAGTAGCCAAGAGGAAGTCTCCATTGATGACAAGACAGAAAACCCAAAAGTGGAAATTCCAGGTGAAAATTGGGTCATCAGGCAGGTGAGCGCCAGCCTGAGTGGCTGCTCTGAGGTCAAAAGGCGTGGGACTGTGACTAATCACATATGGCGGCCATGGGATGGGCAGGTGCAGTGTGCAGTGTGCAGTTGCTGCTGCACGTTTGGCCCTTCCTTCCTGACATGGCCGTGGCAGAACTCAAGATTAACCTGCCGAAGAAGCTCATGATCAGACGAACACTCGTACCTGAGCAATTACGTGGAGAGACTGACTCGCGGATTTCCAGAAAATAAAAGTTGCTCTCCTTCTCAGTCGTCGTTACCTCTCTTAACTGCTCATCTTCAATATCGCCCATATCGCATCACCACCTACAAGTTGTAGCAATGCCCGAATCCGAAGCCAAGAAAGCGCCCAAACCGCCTCTGAAAGTCGGACTGGCACTACCCGCTGTCTATCAGGGACGCGGCTCTTACACTGAAAGCTCGAAAGGGGTCCGGGACGTCCAGTTTGTCATGCCGGGATCACGGCCTAAGCAAGGTGAGCGCGGCTTTGTTTCCCGATGCCCGTCGAGTCAACCAGATCGCAACTGATCATTCTTGCAGTCGATGTTCTCCAAGTAGACTCAACGGCTACATCGCAACCCTTTATTGACCCGGCTGTCTTTCAAAAATGGAGCGACAGGCCTTGATATCTGCGTCCCATCAAGTGTTTCTATAGAAACTCAAACCCGATCTTATCGTATGCACTTTCGGGATTGCGACTGTCCATCACTGTCTTGGCAGAGATGCTTCATCCCGGATCCGAGCGCTAGGTGGCTGTTCCGGAACCATTTTAGGCCCGGCAACAAAGCATGTGCCTCTGCCCGCCCGAGCCATCTGTCAAACTCGAGGCGCTCTAGTAAATAAAGTTGGGGAAAGATGAGCACGCGTGCGCTCCGGTAACTGTGGCCGGCATCTCAAAACCCCAGAATTCCTCCCCGCGGCTCAATTTCGACCACTCTGGGGTCCGATCCGGTGTCTGGTCTTCAGACCGTTCGGCTTGAGACCTGCTTGGCCATGATCCACTCTTCAAGGAAGATTGATGAGCGTCGGGATTCACGTGGGGCCAAGTCCTCGGATTTGGAGTTGCAACAGTCCCACGTCCAGTCAGATCGGTATTATCGAACAGAGGTTCCGCCACAACATTCATCCCAAATTTGGAATTCATCCAAAGACGGATAATTAGGATTGGATTTACTGCATCACCATCACTGTCTTGAGCACGACAGGATTCGCGACTGCACACAGGACGCTAAAGTCTCACATCTGAACAAAGTCCCAACTTCCAAAGTCCCAATTCTCAAGCACTTTCCGCCAACACCGTCAGCACAATGCGGGCTATCGGCCGGGGATGCTGCTCGACTGGGCGAGAAGTGTAGTATCCACCCTCCGGGTCCCTGCCCGGAACCGACCCACCATGCCCACTCCAACTGGGGTGAAACGGGGGACATAAGCCAGCTTTATACTCAGATTTCAAAGCAATTGGTAGAATTGGTTTCGAAGGATTGAGGGTGAGCATTTCCCTAGTCAGGTCGTCTCAGAGTTTCTCCCCGCGTCCACTTTCCGCGTGCGGGGTTCCGGGCACTAGAGGGCGTGGCGTTGACCATCGGCATATCGAAAAGGGCATGGGTTTGGAATTGACAAAGTGTCCCACGTAGGTCGGGTCGCTACCTTTCACAGCAGTATAAGAATCCAATGCTCAGCTGAACTTGGTTCACATTTGCCTATCTTTGAACCTACCTGTGTACTCCCGTTGCCTCCATCTACCTTACCTCAGTTCTGATACCCCTTATCAAGAATCTCGGCTCGATTCTCATACTCTTTTCAAGCCATGTCGACGCAAACAAACGGTGACACCCCAGCTGGGGACTACACTGTTCCCTTCTTCTTGGATGGAGAAAAGGTCATCGCAAAAAAGACCTTTGACGTTGTGTCACCCGCTACCGGAAAGGTCATTCACAAGTGCGGCAGCGCAACTGAGGAAGATGCCTTGGCCGCAGTTGATTCCGCGGCCAAAGCCTTCAAAAGCTGGAAGAAGACTACGCTCGGCCAACGTCAGGAGATCTTTCTAAAGGCTGCTGCTATCATGGAGTCTCGGAAACAGGAATTGGCCCGCATCATGTCTGAAGAGACGGGTGCTGCTGCAGGCTGGTCAGAGTTCATCTTGGGTCTGGGCATCGGCTGCCTCAAAGACGTCGGCGGACGCCTCCTCACCATCCAGGGCTCTCTCCCAACAACCAATGACCCGAACGTGAGCGCAATGGTCCTCAAGGAACCCTACGGAGTCGTCCTCGCTATTGCCCCTTGGTCAGTAAATCAGTTATACTTGTAAGTGATTAAACAGCTAACACCCAACCAGGAACGCCCCGTACATCTTGGGAGCAAGGTCAATAGCATTCCCCATCGCCGCTGGCAACACTGCCATTCTCAAGGCCTCAGAATTCTCTCCTCGAACCCTGGTTGAGATGGTTTCTTGCTTCCACGAGGCCGGCTTGCCCAAGGGTGTTTTGAACGTTATTGTTCACGAGCCCGCCAACGCTGCTGCAATCACATCATCGCTGATCGCCCACCCTGAGGTCAAGAAGATCAACTTCACCGGCAGCACAGGCGTCGGCCGCATCATCGCAAAGCTGGCAGGTGAGAACCTGAAGCCAGTACTGTTGGAGCTGGGAGGAAAGGCCCCGGCCATCGTATGGGATGACGCCAACCTCGAGCTGGCCGCAGACCAGTGCGCAGTTGGCTCTTTCCTTCACGGAGGGCAAATTTGCATGAGCACTGAGCGCATCATTGTCCACAAGAAGATCAGCGAGCAGTTCCAGTCGAAGCTGTCGGCCTCGATCGAGAAGATCTTCCCGTCGCAATCCGATGCGCCTGTGCTCATCAACGCGGTTGCTGTTGAGAAGAACAAGAAGCTTGTGAAGGATGCTGTCGGCAAGGGCGCTGCCCTCGTTGCCGGCGACGTTGACGCAGAGCAGACGTCAAAGACAAGGCTGCGGCCCATCGTCATCAAGAACGTCACAACCGACATGGACATTTACAAGACGGAATCTTTCGGCCCCTCCGTAGCGCTCTTTGAGGTAGAGACCGAGGAGGAGGCGATCAAGCTCGCCAACGATACAGAGTACGGCCTGACATCTGCCGTCTTCACGGAGGATCTGCGGACAGGTCTCCGCTTCGCAAAGGAAATTGAGTCGGGCGCCGTCCACATTAACAATATGACAGTCCACGACGAGCCTGGTCTGCCCCACGGCGGCGTCAAGTCGAGCGGGTTTGGCAGGTTCGGCTCCTCTGGTCTGGACGAGTGGGTGAGGACCAAGACGATTACCTTCCGCAATTGAAATCTGGTGGTGTGCTTTTCGTAGCGTTTAGATACCTTGACCCTGTCTGAATGGAAAGAAGGGGCTTATTTCACGGCTCTATCTGGTTCCGATGCAAATGCTATGTATCCGTTAACGATTTATTGATTTCCCTCGCCTCTTGCGGCACGACTGTATGACAACATTATTACGAATAGAACCCACGTGTCCCATAGACCAGAGACTACTCCGTAATTCTTGCTATCCCAAAATTCGATGAGGTGTCAATAGAGCGGTGTTGATCGTTATGAGCCAACGACGATCTTGGGGAAGCAGTGCCACGTGAGTGCATAATTCGACTTTAGCTACCTCGTTCAGTTACACGATCGGCGCACTCCTATTTCGCCCCTCCACCCTTCCAGAATATTGGGCAGTTCACGTTCCACGGTCGATCATAGGTGGGAAGCCACATCGGCAACGACTAGAGCCGCGACAACACACATGGGACCTTTCGCTTGGCGCAGGTAAGTCAACATGGACGTAGCTTCCGATGGCCTAATTGAGTTTCAGCCACTGGCGGAAACTGAATTCTAGCATGCTGCATAAAGACGGGCGGCATAATGCTGACAGCAACACTTCAATCATTGGTCTGCCATCGCGAGTACGCCTCCTCCCCGCAATTGCAAATACGGAGTCAGAGTTTGAGGGGAATTGCTTGCGGCTTCGTTGCCGTGGGTTCAGGAACGGAGATTTTGCCCTGCCGGAGAGTTCGCGATGTGTCATAATGAGTACGACAACTGCGCACCTCGATTCTTAACTCCCCGGGTGAGGTGTGTGCCCCTGAATAAATGTGGCCAGATGGAGGAGGACCCTATATCCCCTAACTCCCCTGGTGCCCGTATGATATTCAGGGAAATCGTACGTTTCCAATGCAAGAAGTGAAGCTGGCATGTGGCCCGAGTCTCTCCTCGTAGGCTTTGTGTTGAGATGCGCCGGCAGTCTGATACCCGAGTGTGTAAATACCTAGGAGCAATGAAGACGAAATGGAAAGGTCCAAATGCGAGTGATAAGGCGATTGGGCTGAACAGCAGTCGTCCGTGCGGACCCTGTCAAGCTCTCAGTGCAATTGACGCTAAACCCATTTGGTATACAAGCTCTCGGGATCCTTGCATCACAAATTCGAGTCGCATCTCGAGAATCTTCAAGGCCGACTGACATTCCCACTCCCGATTGTCAGCAATCCCGCACAATGCTTTCCGCACGGTCTCTCCGACCAGCCTTCCGTGCGGTACCGACCTTCTTCCGAAGCCCGGCAGCGGCACCGAGACCCCAATGCCTCCAGAGACGATGGTACGCCGACAAGAAAGCCGTACCACCACCATCACTGGCCGCCGCCGCCGAAGATGACCTTCCCGACCACCGCAAGCTGGGTATCCAGCAGGAGCTCTTCACCTCTTCCGTCTACAGCCCCGGTTCCCCGATATTCCTCCCGAACGGCACGCGAATTTTCAACCGACTGGTCGATTTCCTACGACGGCAGTACGTCCACTACGGCTTCGACGAGGTCATCACGCCAAATATCTACAAAAAGTCGCTGTGGGAGGTGTCGGGCCATCTACAAAACTATGCCGACGACATGTACACCGTCACCAGCCGCGCGCGCGCCCCCGAGGAGAAGACGAGCTGCTGCGGCGGTGCTCACGGAGACCAGCCTCACGAGGGAGCCAGCGGCGAGCAGGCCACCAGGCAAGCCGAGGGCGAGGACGACGACTACGGCCTCAAGCCCATGAACTGCCCGGGCCACTGCCTCATCTTCGCCTCAAAGAACCGCAGCTACCGCGACCTGCCCATCCGCTACGCCGACTTCAGCCCGCTGCACCGCAACGAGATCTCGGGCGCCCTCAGCGGCCTGACGCGCGTGCGCCGCTTCCACCAGGACGACGGCCACGTCTTTTGCCGCCCGATCCAGATCCAGGAAGAAGTCTTCAAGACGCTCGACTTCATGAAGACGGTCTACGGCGCGCTCGGGCTCGAGCAGTTCGACTTTGCGCTCTCAACTAGGCCCGCGGACCACTACATTGGCACCGACGCCGAGTGGGCGCGGGCCGAGTCGCAGCTGCGCCAGGCGCTGGAGCAGGCCGGGTTGAAGTACACCGTCAAGGAAGGCGACGGCGCCTTTTACGGCCCCAAAATTGACGTGATGCTGCACGACTCGCACGGCAAGTCGCACCAGGCCGGCACGATCCAGCTCGACTTCCAGCTGCCGCAGCGCTTCAACCTCGAATACCAGGCGCCCGCGCCGCATCTAGAGGCGCAGGGCCTGCCGCTGGACGGCGCCGAGGTGTCGCCGGCGGACCTGGAGACGTACGGACCGGTGCCGCCCGTCATGATCCACCGGGCCATCCTGGGGTCCGTCGAGCGCCTGATGGCGCTGCTGATTGAGGAGTACAAGGGCCGGTGGCCGTTCTGGCTGAACCCGCGGCAGTGCATGATCCTGACCATCAACGACACGGAACCCGTCATGAGCTGGGCGTCCGAGGTCAAGGATATCCTGACGGGCCACGACCGCGTGCGGGACCCCGCGAACCCGCGGCAGCCACGGCCGACGGGCTTCGCGGTCGAGATCGACACCAGCGCGCGGTCGCTGGCCAAGAAGCTCAAGGAGGCGAGGGAGAAGCAGCCCGGGTTCATTTTGGTCGTGGGCAAGGGCGACGTTGCGGCCAAGCAGGTGACTGTCGAGGCGACGGACGGTCCTTCAGAAGGCTCGGGAGCGGGCGCTTCGAAGGGAGCTCGGCAGCAGATGGATCCCCTGGCTTTGCTGGAGAAGATGCAGGAAAAGGTGGCGACGTATCAGTAGATGATGGTTGTTCGCGCGCGCGTCCGTCCATGTATAACAGATGTAGAAATGTACACTACCACTACAACAAACGCCGGCTTAGCGGGTTTTGTATTATAGTCATGATGAACGCAGGCCAAGCCTCCTCCAGCATTACTAGTCGTCTTGCGACGACGGACCACCTCCATCCACACTTCCGTTCCCAAGGTATATCCTCACCGGTCATTCTCAACTCCATGAAACAATCCCATTGAAAGAACAAAAAAAAAAAAAAAGTCAACAACGCAGCGGAAACCGGTTTAGTGTCCCATCACCTCGTCCTGTTGGAAGTGCTGTTCGCTTGCTGGTGGAACAGCGGTCTAGAGCCAGGCGTCAGTAACTGACAGCATAGTCTGATTGACACGAGTCCGCTTCCGCCGGGGGCTCACTCACCGCTTGTACTTCTCGTCAACCTCGCCGCCGGAACTCTCAATGCGTTCGACCAATTCCTGACGCTGTCTGAGCTGCTCCTTCATAAACTCCACAGTCTTTTTCAATACGAGACCCTCGGAGCGACCCTGACCTTCGAGGCCGGGGACCAGCTCCGTTAGGCGATCGAAGCCCTCACGGATGGCCTGGCGTCGCTTTTGCTCTGCCAGCGAGCAAGCAGTACGTGTTAGCGGATTTCGTCGAATGCGCCCAAGGGCGTGAAGGGGACTGTAGATGGGTGTATGCGCGCAACGTGTATGAAAGCTTTGCAGTTACTGTAAAGGGGGAGATTGTAAAGGCGCACCAGATGCGATGTGATTCTGCTTCTTCTCAGCCTCGGTCAGGCGCGGCTTCTCTTCTGGCTGCTCGGCATCCGCGGCCGCTGAAGGGGAATTGGACTTATTTGGGGAAGACATTGTGGCGGGCACATTCAGTTTCTATAGGCGCGCGGATGCAACAAACGACGGGGCAATTACTAGTGGAAGTGCTCCATGTATAGCAAAGCTGTCGGTGTCTTCACTCGTGAGTTGACGTCGAAAAGAGAGGAGGATGGGGTATATGTGAGTGTGTGTATGAGTGAAGGAGTTTGTGTGTGTTTCGCACGATCACATGCCGTTTCGCACCAAAGCTCTGAGATCAGATCCCCCTCCAGACTTTCCTCCGTATTGCGATTTGCGGGATTCGCAGAAAGCCACCAACACCCCTGTCCGGTAAGGTTCCTGCAGCACGTTTGTTTCCGCCCGCAGGGCTACGGATAGGTAGGTAGCTGGCACCGGGAACAGGAGCTGAACCTGTCGCCCAACGCTCCTTAGGGAAATACATACATGCCTTACCTTACCTTTTCTTACCTTGAGGTAAGTAGCGCGGTAAGGTAAGGTACCTACCTACCTAGGTAGCCACTCAGTAAAGACAGATAAGATAAGCCCAAGAAATCATCAACCGCGTGGATCTGGCGGGGTTGGCACGTCCCAAGCTTTCAAGGCTGTGTGACCTCATTGGCATTGGATCGGGATTGATTGCTCATCCAGAAATTCTACAGCTTGCGGGCCCACAATCCGCTATCTGTACAGAGTAGACCTCCTTTATTTCCGATAGCTGCACTTCGATCCCCATCCTCACTCCGTTGCATTACTCTACTTTCAAAAGAAATAAACCAGATTCTTCTGGATCGCCCAATTGACGCCGAATCTTGCCCATCCTCCGCACAGATCAAGCGCTTCACCCTCCACACGATACACACCTAGACGCCCACCACCAACATCACCATGGCCGACGTAAAGACCGCCTCCGACCCTCCACCCGAATACACAAAGGCCACCGAGCACCTCACCCGGCCACGAGCACCCTCCGCCGCAGCCGGCGGTCCCGGCGGCCCACGAGGGCCGCTGCCCCTCAACCTCCCCGTCCTCTCCTACCTCAAAACCAAGCGCGTGATCCTCGCCTCCGCCTCCCCGCGGCGGCGCGCCCTCCTCGCCCAGATCGGCCTCAAGGACCTCGAAATCACACCCTCGACGAAGCCCGAGGACCTCGATAAGTCCGCCTACGGGCCCTATGAGTACGTCTCCGCCACGGCCCGCCAAAAGTGCCTCGACGTCTACGAGACGGCCCTGCAGACGCACCTCGCCTCCATCCCGGACCCGGACCTCGTCATCGCCGCTGACACCGTCATCGTCACCCGCGACGGCCGCGTCCTCGAGAAGCCGAGGAGCGAGGCCGAACACATCAAGATGCTGCGCCACCTGCGGGATACCCGCGTGCACAGGGTGCTGACGGCCGTGTGCGTCGTCGCACCGAGGGAGGACGCCAGGTCGCCGGGCTATGAGATCTGCCAACACACGGAGGAGACCAAAGTCTACTTTGCGCAGGAGGCCAACGGCCTGCCGGACGACGTCATCGAGGCGTACGTCAAGACGAGGGAGGGCGCGGATAAGGCGGGCGGGTACGCCGTGCAGGGCATGGGCGGCATGTTGCTCGTCGAGAAGATTGAGGGCAGCTTCGATAACGTGGTTGGCTTGCCGGTGCGGCAAACGCTGGCGCTGGCGGAGAAGGCCATCTTCAAGCAGGATGAGGAGGAGGTTGCAGAGGATGAAGAAGAGGATTTGATGTGAGAGGTTTGCCCAAAAAGAAAATAGAGATGGAATAGGAAGACCTGCTACATACCCCCAGCCGCCTCCTCAATACGAGGAGGAAACACATTTAGAGAGGGCGCCGAAAGATGATGAGCTGCCCTGGTTTATGGCCTTCAAGTTAGATGATGAAATGAGCTTCATCTTGACATACAGCTAAAAGCCGTACATACTGCGTAACAATAGCTCGTGAGTGAATAACAATTGACGCGGGCTCAGTTGCCAATCCCAAGCAAAGACTACACACACTGCCAATGAGTAGTCACGTCATTGAAAATGCTGAACAACATCAACCTCTATACAGTGGCTTTTTGTCACCAATGGTAACGTAAGGTAGTCTTCCATCATCAACTAGGTACCTTTTCGCAACTTCTTCGCCGAGTCAGTAAGTCTATTGGCAAACATCGAAAACAGACCTTTGCTACTGATTATCTCTTTGTGCAGGATAACGTATCTACATCCAAATAGACGTGCTACTCAACATTGGGTTTGGAAAACTTAGTAAGATAAGCCCTTCCTTTCTGCCTCCTTGGTAGCTCGGTGGTACTTCTTCGTAACTGAAGATTCTAACTTCCATCCTTTAATGCCTAAATGTTTCCTGCTTCTGTGCTTTTGTCACGGTATTAGTTGGCATTCAGTGAGAATTCAGAATTTGGCGTCACTCACACAAAGACCTTCAGGCAGCCAAGCAGCATTAAATCAGGTTGTATCACCCTTCATCTGCACGGTTCATATAAGATGCAGAGGGCAAATTAGCCCATATGAAAGGACAAGGTACTGAGGCTACTGTCTCCATTCTACTCGAGCTGCCAGTCCATGTCAGACATCAATGTGGGCGTGGAATCTCAGGGAGACTGTGACTTTAGGGAGAGCTGACCCGGCATCTTTCTAGGCCCGTCGTCTGCTGATGTAGGACTTCGGTCCGAAACGACTCTCTGAGATTGGTTGCGCATCCTTACAATGGCCTTGGCTTCTCATCTGAGTAGTCCCTCTAAGACTACTACTATTCTGATCCAGAATAGCTTTTCGTTCTGTACATCCATACTCCACCAAATTATCAGCGATATGCCGAATGACGGCTTTCATGAATATACTGTCTAGAGAAATAACGGCTGGGCGGATCTTATTCACGGAGCCACACGATCAGAGTCTGACAAGACGGAGCTGTGCCTCCTAGTTCCAGACGCCACGGATAGCACAAGAGTCTCGGGGGCTGGAAAGCCACGAGCCCCTAAAAATGCTTTCTGCGGAAACGGGTATTACGCGCTTGGCAAGGGAGGGAGGGGGTCCCGTAGGTAGCCTTTGTAGCTGACCCGGGCCGATATGTAAGGGGTCGTCTGGCGGGCAACGGCGAACAGAGATAATGGTGGCTTCTAAACTACCGGTAAGTGTAGGTATCTCAGATGGTTCAGAAACATTATCAGGTGCTTGTGTGGTTGTGTAACACATACAGGGCGTTAGACTGACGCGATGGGCTTGGCATGGAATGGGGATATTCTTGTGTAACCATCCTATGAGAACGGAATATTGAGCCATTGAAGGGGGGGGGATGTCACTGGAAATGTGTAGAATTTCCTTGCCAAAGGGAGGTACGGTTGGTGTTTGGCTGGAGCCAGTAACTTATTCTTCCTTGACTTTGGATCCGACGGTCATTTGTGTTCAATCGCGACGTCGTCTTCTGGAATGCTTCTAAGTAGACCCCAAAGCTCTGATCATATTGTGTGTAGTGTTTATTCATGTAAAGAAAACTCCCTGACTCCTAGGTAACATTCAACGTCCCCAAACACGTGCACTGCGGGTATTAATGACTCCAATATATCTGTGATATCGTCCGTTGTGAAGTCGATGCCACCATCGGGTATTGCGTGTGCCTGTAACATGCTTCTTGATATCTTTCCCAAGGTATTGCCTATTAATATTAATAAATGATTTGCCATATCTCTGCATCATCGTGAAAAGCTTCCTCGCTTCAAGACTTTGTCGGCCGTTTGAGGGGATGAGCCTCCGTGTTGAAAACCCATTCATCCAAGCTCATGAGCTCCGGGTCGGAGAAGATGAGGTAAAAGTACTTCAACGTCTCAGCAAAGAAGAAACTCTCCATGGTGTCCTCCTGCCGCGACTGGCTATACGTCACATCGACGACGACAGCGTGGGCGTCGTCGGTCTGCGTAGCTTTTTGGACGGCCTCGAACATGTCCCACGCCATATCCAGCAGGTCCGCCTTGCCGGTGACCCGGTACAGCACAAAGAGGCTCTCAATGGCCTCGGGGCGCAGGTTGTAGTGAGCGTCGTCGATGCGCCAGAAACCCCTGGGCGCGTGCTGGCTGCTCTGCGCCACCCATTTCTGCTCGTCCCACTCGCACACCTCGACGGTGTCGCACTTTACGACCTGGGACTTTTCGGGCATGAGACCGCTCTTGAAGGACTTGTACGCCCACGCGCAACCCCGCGCGAGCTTGTCGCCCAGCTCGACGTCGTCGGGTATGTCAAAGAGCTTGCCCGCCATGGCGAACATGCCGCCGGCGAAGCAGGACAGGTGCTCGAGCTCCGAGATTTGGTCAATCTTGCGGAGCTTCTCGTTGACGATGGCGGTGCCGAGGAGCAGGATGTCGTCCTTTTTCGGCGTCATGGGCCGGTAGAGGAGGTGTCCCTTTGCAGCCTTGGCCGCGCCCCTGTACATTTTCTCGTATGCCGTGTCCAGGCCGCCGAGTAATACGTGCATCTTGGGGAGGTACTCGTAGAGCGAATCGCCGTCTCCGCCGAGCTTGAAGACGTTGTTGGTCGTCTGGAAGTCGTCGCGGACGTTGATGAAGTTGGGCCACATGCCAAGTAGCAGGGTCTCGTCCTGGATTCGGTCAAAGGCCTTTTTGATGCGCTCGATGGCGTCGTAGAACTTGAAGTCGCCAGTCAACTGCGCAAGCCTGGTGAACTCGAGGGACATGCTGCCGATGGAGGCTGCGCTCTGATAGGGGTCCGGCAGGACTTTTCCAGCGCGGAGCTCCTCGAAACTGAAGCTGTAAGGCGGGAAGCGGTTCGGCGTGTCGAATGCCGCATAGAGCATGTTGGCGAGCTCAACGGCCTTGTCGAGGAGGACTTGCTCCTCGCTGAGATCGTACGCGGACAGAAGTCCACCGAGGTACCGGACGTTGGTCTCGAAAATGTTGCATCTCGTCTCCGTCGCGTTGTTCCAGTCAATTGTGCTGATGTATTGGACTGCGTCATTGAAGTCGTCATACATGCCCATCAGCCAAAGAGTGTCAAGAGAGTCAACCAGGGTGGCACCCCATCCGTTGTAGCGATTCTTTCCCCTCAATGAGAGGGGTTGCAATTCGTCGTAACCCCAAGCATGCCTGGTGTATGATTGCCAGCTCTTCTTGAAGGCGTTCCGTACTTCATTGCGACGGGAGGCCATGAGACCAATGTCGAGGCCGATGTCTCGCTTCTTCAGACTGTCTGAACGGTCTGCGGCGAACTCATATTGTATCTTCGGAAGTGAGAGAGGTTGGCCGTTGGGAAGCCTCGTCATCTCAGCCAGAGGGACTGGATGCTTCTGTGGATGTGCAGACCAGTCATAGCTTTTCCTGATTGTAGGTTTGGCGATATCTTCGCTGCTAAGAACTTCCTCAACCTGCACCGGAGTATCATTCCGTAAAAGTAGAACCGAGAGCACTACAAAGACGACGAGCAGCGCGAGTACCCGGTAGGTCGGCGGGGAGTGGTTTCGCAACTGAAATTTGGCGACCATATTGGACGAAGAATGGACAAAATCGAGGCAGGAGTGACATACGGAGGACCAGGGTCGGCGGGAGGGGAAAATAGGCGCGGCAGACATTATGTAGTAGGAGCTGACTGTCGTCACTCGGATATCGACCGTGAGAGAGGACCTTTGGGGAATTTGGAGCTCCTGTTGCTTCTTGCGGCGCTTGACGTCTCGAAGGTCGGCTGTCACTCTGGTGCGTCCCTTTCCATGAAACACGAGGGGTGACCCATGATTTTGTGCTTGACTGCGTCCTTGGATTGTCTGTGCAAAGGGATTAAGGGGGGGTAGTCCTGTACGGATGGAGGGGAGGTAGATCACTCGGACTGTTAACGATTCGATCCATGTGTGATGCTATGAACTAACACGCGATTGGACCTCTTTCCCTTTGGGAGGCTGAGTAGACTTGGTTCGAACTGGAATGACGTTTGGCTAAGATCGAGGCTAAGGCAGATAGCTCTGGTCAACTCCGCGAATGACACGCAACATGGCTCCCTAAGCGTTGCACAAAATGCTTCCGGAAGAGACAGCTGTTTGGGGAAGAATCCAAAGCAGAATCCAAAGGGAGGACCACCCATGTCATTATGAATCGTTGACTAGTTCTCAGAGGCCGGAAAAATGTGCCATTCCAACTGCCTTAAACCTAGATAGAATGCTCACCACGAGTCGTCGCATTCTGACTAGGCAGGTAGGTGGAGGTGATGGCTCAAGCCAACAAGAGCGCGTTGTTTCAAGGCACCTGACATGTTTCAAGGAACGTGGGCTTTGGGAGGAAACTGACTGAACTGAGTTGACGTCGGCCGAAGGCGCATACGGAGTGGAGAATGGGAAGTGGGAAGAAAAGGCGACTTGTGGGGGAGAGTGGCTGAAAACGGCGGTCCCGAATCTGAGACAGATGGCATACCCCACCGGGCCGAGCTTTTTCGGTCTTTTCCACTTTTTGACGGAAGCAAATTCGGGGGGCCCTTCACCGTCAGCCACACTTTGGCAGGTCTGTGGCTGGAGCTTTACCTGCACTAAGGTACCTTGCCTGACCGCCTAAATTTTTCAAATTTCTGCCGCATCCCACCTTGCCCAGGCGGCCCAGGATCGTCGGTGCACTTTCGTCGCCTCTAAGGAACGGCCGACCAGCTTTTTTTCGCGAAAAGAGTTTCTGTTGTTTGCACAACCTCAACGCCAAACAATCATGTCTTCTATGCGCAACGCCGTTCAGCGTCGCTCCCACAGGGAGCGCGCTCAGCCTCTAGAGCGCCAACGTTTCGGCCTCCTCGAAAAGCACAAGGTTCGTCCAAGACGCTCTGCACCAGCTGCTCGTCGAGATAGTTTCACTAACTACCCATTCTACGCCTGCAGGATTACTCCCTCCGTGCCAAGGATTACAACAAGAAGAAGGCTACGATCAAATCTCTGCGCGAAAAGGCCGCCGACCGAAACGAAGATGAATTTTACTTTGGCATGCTCAGCCGCAACTCCATGGGTTCGCGCCTCAAGGACGGCAGGAAGTGGTCCGGTACCGTCGCTGGCGACCGCGGCAACAAGGCCATGGACATGGACACGGTGCGGCTTCTCAAGACACAAGACGTCGGCTACATACGCACCACGCGCAACGTCATCTCCAAGGAGGTGAGACGTCTGGAGGAGCAGATTGTCCTGATTGGCGGCATCGATGCGGCAAATCACAATGGCGACGACGACGACTTGGACTCCGATAGCGATGCCGAAGAAAGTGCCAGGAAACCTACCGGACCGAGAAAGATTGTCTTCCTGGATGCTGCCGAGGCGGAAGCCAAGGCAAAGTCCGCCGAGAAGGCAGCGATGGACCTGGACGACGAGGACGAGGACGAGTTTGACGGGTTCGATGACGCCGAGGGTGACGACGGCGACGAAGATGCCACAGAGAGCAGGGAAAAGCAGCTGGCGCGGTTACGACTGCAACTACAAAACGCCAAGAAGAAGCTCAAAGTCTTGACCAAGGCGGAGCAGGGTCTCGAAATACAGCGGGCAAAGATGGCCAAGAGTGCGACCTCGGGCGGCACGACGAGAAAGGGCAAGAAGATTATGGTCCGGGCGCGCAAGAGGTGAAAGGTTTCTCCCAAATTCAGCGTCTTTCAAAAGAATGGTTGGCGAACACAAAAAGCATGGTTGAAAATTGGTGTTTTTGGTTGTTATTTTATCGTGTCTTCATTTCAAATCCTAACATTCTGAGCGGCGGCTGTGGAGAAGGACGGACCTCCTCCAACCCTTGCTCAGAGAAGTCGTCATGCGATACCCAAGGACACCCCGGAGTATAGATCTACATGTACAAAGAAGGAATATCATCGCTCCCTATCCTATTCCTGGATAGGGGTCTCATAAGGAAAATTCCCATTATTCCATCAACCCCTTAAACAAACTCGTGAGAGACGAAACCAGTACGAGAACAATGCATCAGCTCAAAAGTGGTATCTCATTTCCTTCCTTATCATTCCCGTATTCATCATTTTGCTCTTTTGCTCGGAAGTCACTTGGACTTGACACCGACGCACCTCGCAAGCCCCTTGACAATGGCAGCAAGGGCTTTGAAGCCAATCGTCAGCAGCCAGACGAGGCACTTGAACAGCCCAGCCACGACCTTGAACAGCGCTCTTAAAGGCCAAGGCAGCCTGTCGCGCGTCTCCTTGCCGACCTGCTCCAGCTTCGCAAAGCTGCTGTCCTGGCTCTCGACGTCAATCTCAAACTCCTCCATCTTACCCCTGCGCGCGGCCGCCGCGGCCCTCTTCTTCTCCTCTCTCTTGCTCAACCGGCTGTCGCGGCCGCTGCCACCGACAGGATCGTGCGGCGCCGGAGGCGGCTCAAAGGTCTCGACTTTGGTGTTCTTCTCGTCCGCCGCCGCGACAAGCATGAGCGCCGCGACGGCGACGTCGACGATGAAGAAGCTGTCAATCTTTGCGGCGATGGCCGTGTCGACCTCGAGGTAGCCGCCGCCCGTGCCGTCGCGCGTCAGCTTGGCGAGGTGCTGCGGCGACTCGTGGTGCTCGAGCGTGTACTCGACCCGGCTCCAGGCTGGCGAGCGCTCGATGGTGACGCAGAAGGGGGTGGCGAGGGCCGGGTGGACGAGGAAGTGCGAGCGGGAGTCCTCGTCCCAGACGAGGCGGGCGCACTCCGTCTCGGCCGTCATGATGGCGTTCATGTCGCCCGGCTTGTCGAGGGCCATCTTGGCGGCCGCCAGCGGGTAGAGGAGGGCGACGAGGCCGTCGTTGGGCGGGTGCTTGCGGGATTCCTCTTCCAGGGTGGTGGTGAGGACTTCCTGCCAGTGTTTGCTCTCGGCGCCTTTGCCATTATTGCTGCTGTCCTTGTGACCGACGACGCCGGAGAGGATGCTGCTCGCTGACGAACTTGCCATGGGGTTCGGGGCCTTGTAGACCTTGGCCGGGTCGTGACGGCTGAGGGTGACGTATGCTGATGCAGACGTGGGATCGAGCCGGATGTTGTAAAAGGGCTGTGATGTCGAGGAGAGTGTGTACACGGGTGCGTCCTTCTCCTGGGACAGCTTCATGCAGTACACTCTGCCTTCTGAAGGAGGTGCTTTCCATCCGTTGGAGACCTTCCACAGGCTCTTCATGTGCTCATTCAATGAGACATTCGGGATGATGGGAGGCTCGATCTGTCTCCTTGGCCATCTTTGCGCTGAGCCCCCGCTTAGGGGACTCCTCATGGGAGGACTCCTGTGCTGATCATTTTGACCTTCCGCTTCCTGGGGATTTGGATACCATGTTGTCCGATTAATCACGGCCCGTGGGATATGAGTTGGGCTTGTTTGCGTGGGGAAGTAGTCTTGTTGATTGAGAGGCCTTTCCGGGTTATACTGAGGGAAGATGGATCGCAGAGCGGGTTGTTCTTGTGAAGACGACGATGGTTCCTCGGGGAACGGAAGCTTTGCTATCGAGCTTCTGGACCGCGTGCTGTTGTTCCGTACAAGCGTATGTGCTTGCGAGAAGGCCGTGTCTGATCGGGGCGGGATATCGGCGACGGGAGGGAGCCTTTGAATGGGCGATGCCTCCGTGGCCGACGGCGGGGGTAGGGCCGGCAGCTCGCGACTGCGCGGCGAGGGCTGTTGAAATTGCTGCTGTTGTTGCTGCTGCTGTTCACCTGATGGGGCCTGGCGGATGCTTTGTGGAGTTTGCGATCGCTCAACCGGTGTTTGGACTCTCTGTTGCGGCGTCTGTCTTCCGTGACGCGGTGGAGATGCTTGATCGACGTGGTGAACGCTCTCAGGAGACACAGCCCGGGGCCGCTCACGCGATTCCGATCTTCGAGTTCGAGATGCCGGCCTCCTTATTGTTGGGGGCTTGGAGTTGGGGTTCGGGAAGAGTGAGTACCCTCCAGAGGGTGGCTGTGTCGACGACGACATACTGGGCTATGCTGGGGCGGATTATCTCGAATCGAATGTTGTCGTTGATTTTTTTCCCCCGGTGTGTTAATGATATTCAAATCTGGTCACGAAATATGGGGGTAGGGGGAGTGGCCTGAAAGGAATGAAGAACAGGTAGTCCAGCTGCTACCGATGCATGATATCCAACCCAGTGGGCACCAAGCAAACAACAAACAAGTTTATTATTGCAGTACTAGGTAGACAACACAGATGAAAGGAAGAGAAATCCCGTGTAAACATACGACTACCAAAGATACCAAGAGAGTGTATATACGAATTACCTTACTCTCGTCCCTCCTTTGAAACAGCGGCACTACTGCGCGTGGTACAGGGCGGCAGGTCACCCACGGGAAGGCCAGTGTAAGCGCTGGGCTTCTCGACAGACGGGCCGCGGTGAGTGGGTGAACCGTGAAGCCAAAGAGAGGATGGAGGGGCGGCCGGAAGGGGGGAAAGGATGGTGGTGGTCGAAATGGGTAGACGAAAATAGATTGTGAAAGGTTGCAGGCTGGGCCAATCAGCCAGACAATCACACTGCATTCTAGGCGCCGAGACCAGGGTGGTGAGAGACAGGCGCGCGGGGTTGGTTCGGCGGGAGACTTCGTGCCATTGGCCAAGCTCCCCAAATTGGCTGGTACTCTATTGATCTTGTTGAACTCTGACCGCCCTTGATCTTTCCTTTGGGCTTGGGGTTTCTGGGGATTTGCGAGAATGCCGACGGTGCAAGGTCTTCGGGCATCGAAGCGAGCATGTAACGTGGGAAGCTACCCTGTCCTGGCCGGGGCCGTTGAGGCACCTTGCATCCGCCGATCGTGTGGGAAGTGCTCAAAGTGTGTGTCCACGTTCCACATGGCTTCGAAAGAGAAAAATCATCGATCCATCTCTGTGTCTACAAAGGTCAACTTTTCGGTCCAGGAAGTCATAGGTCTACCCGTGAGACAACTCATAGGTTTCGGTCTTGCGTCTTGTAGATTGATGAGACGGTCATGAGTAATCCTGAGTGCGCAAGCAACGTTCCACAGTGGAGGCGTCTTAGGGTACTTTGGTTCAGCGCCTAGCTCGAAGGTTGCCGTGAAGCACCAATGAGTGGCAGGAGGGCGAAGGCGATCGGGAGAAAGACCGGCCGTGGTCGGCTGGCTGACTAGAGATTCTGTCAGTTTCTTGACCGGAGTCTCCGGGCTCGGGCGATGCTTCTGGGGCCGGGCGTCGCCGATACTGTCTCCGATTGTCGGCGCACTATATTCTATTGTTGGTGGACCCGCCGTCCGAGTAGGTCGATTTCGCTCCGTGTAAGAAGCCGACTTAGTTTTCAAGGTACTACTCACAACATCTGTCATTGACCATTTTGACACGGTTGCGTGCGCTTCCTCCCCAGTATTCAGCAGGTATATATTTTTGCGAGATGGCACAAATCGTGGTGATTGGGTACCAAAGCAACCCTCGTCCTCTTTAGATTTGAGTGACCGCTAACACGAGACAGAGCCGGCGTGATAGGGTTGAGCACTGCTGTAAGGCTTCAGCAAGAGGGCCACAAAGTAGCAATAGTGGCCAAGGATTTCCCGACTCCGTTTGAGACCGTTGACAGCAAAGCTTCAATCAACTACACCTCGCAATGGGGCGGCGCTCACAATCGTTGGGTCATACCGGCCAACGAGATGGAACAGCGCGATCATGCGATGGCCCTCAGAACATTCCGGCACATGGAGTCCCTGGTGGAGAGCAATCCTGAAGCCGGTATTACTTTCATGCCTGGCATTGAATACCTCGATGATCCTCCGCCCCAGTACCAAGCTCTCAGCGAGGAAAAGGCCCAGAGCTTGGGACTGGTAGACTTCCGGCTCCTGAACCCGACCGAATACCCAGATGACAAGGTGAAGTGGGGATGCGAGTACAAGACGTGGTGTGTGAACCCCATGATCTACTGCTCGTTCCTCCTTCGCAAGTTCTCATGGAATGGAGGCCAAATCTTCCGCAGAGAACTCCGTGATCCTCGTGAGGCGTTCTCAATGAAAGAGTTGCCGAACGTGAGACATGTAGTCAACTGTTCTGGTTTCGGATTTGGTGACCCAAATTCATTCATCACGAGAGGTAGATCGGCCACTGACATCCAACTTACTTTGACGACTTTGCTGATGGGGCTCTTCAGGTCAAACGTGTGCTGTCGCCAACTTCAGCCCAGCAACAGTGACAAGACAGAATGGTGATGGATCTTGGACATTCTGCGTGCCTCGGAATTTCGATGGCGGCACGATCGTAGGTGGCACAAAGGAACCTGACAATTGGGATACCGAACCGTCGCCAGAAGTGCGGGAAAAGCTCCTCAAACACTTCGCTGCTACATATCCCAAGATCCTCGGGGACGATGGTGAGTTTCGCGTCCTCAAAGATGTTGTAGGCCGACGGCCGACTCGAAAGGGTGGCATGAGGTTGGAACGAGAAGAGGTGGGAGAGAAGCGCACCATGATCCATGCTTATGGTTTGGGGGGCAGGGGATTCGAGATGTCCTGGGGTGTAGCTGAGGGTGTACTTGAATTATTGGGAGACTCGAAAATCACGCCGAGACTTTAGATACGAATGCACTTAGCTACCTCAAAGCATCGGTGTAGAGATTGAATACCGGTTTCAGACAACGTTGATTCAGGAAACCTCGATCAATGTTTTCTCAATGTACAATACCTATGCATGGTCATCAAGTGCCATGGAAAGCATGGAAATATGAAGGTCGAGCGATATCGGCGAGGCTATCTGATTGGCCCATTGATGACCTGCCCGAAAGCGAGGGAGCGTTGGAGACGACGGTGCAGCTTCGGCCGGTACCTGCATGGCGTCACCCGCTGATGCGTGAGTGGTGGAAGTCCATGCTTGGCAGGATGTCGCAAAAGATAAAAAAAATAAAAATTCTCAGCTGTCGGAGGCAGAGATTCTATTCGCCTGGATGACCAAAAAAAGAAGGGAAGAAATTGGGTTCACCTTACTGGAGACTGCCATCCCAAGTCCCTACTTGTAATTAACGTGCCTACCGGGCCTACCCCGCGCTCCGATAAGCGGTGAAATAATCAGTCCCCTACGGATACAGGACAGAAGAGTCACACACAAGGTGGGATGTTTTGGAGTCATTGCCCCACACTCAACTTTCATCATCCTCAACCTTCCCACTTCGAACTTTCATAGCTTCCTCTCCAGCAACAGCAATCAATTGTAGTCGAAAACAGCTCAATCCAAGTCGCAAATATGGCCCACACTATTCTTCACCTCCGATCCGAGACCAAGGTGTGCCACGATTCTGGAAATCAACATTGACTTTGAGTATTCAGAGATAGCTAACTTTTGACGTCAGCCCTTGGAACACAGGAGCGCCCTCACACCCACCACTACTCGCAAGCTGGTCGAGGCCGGCTACGAAGTCAGAGTTGAAAGGAGCCCCGTATGTTCTCGCTGATGTACTACCCCTCTTTCGTGAGGGACGAATCATTGACCCGACGATCTTCAGGTTCGCATCTTTGACGATGCCGAGTTCGAAGCCGCTGGCGCAACCCTTGTGCCCGAATACTCCTGGGAGTCAGCCCCATCGGACGTGATCATCGTCGGTCTCAAGGAGCTTGAAGAGAAGGAGTTCCCTCTCAAGCACGTTCACGTCACATTCCTCCACGTCTACAAGGTATACAAGCCCCAATTGAGCTGGGTCCCACCAGACAGCTCGCTGACCAAGCTACAGAACCAAGGTGGCTGGGAGAAGACACTCGGCCGTTTCCCCCGTGGCGGCGGCACTCTTCTCGACCTCGAGTTCTTGGCCAACGAGTCCGGTCGCAGAGTCGCAGCCTTCGGTTTCCACGCTGGTTTCTCTGGCGCTGCTCTTGCTCTCGAGAACTGGGCCTGGCAGCTCACCCACCCTGGCGAGCCCTTCCCTGCCGTCGAGGCATACCCCAATGAGGATGCTCTTATCGTCGATGTCAAGAAGGCCTTGGACGAGGGTATCGCCAAGGCTGGTCGCAAGCCCAGAGTCATTGTGATTGGTGCTCTTGGACGTTGCGGTTCCGGTGCCGTTGAGATGGCCAAGAGAGCCGGTGTTGAGGATATCGTCCGCTGGGTAAGTCGTTTCCAGTTCTGTCATCGCAACACGCTCTAACATGGAGCTGCAGGATATGGAGGAGACCAAGAACCCCGGCCCTTACAAGGAGATCACGGATGCCGACATTTTCGTCAACTGCATCTACCTCAGGTACGTCTCTTTGGGATTAACTCCACCTTTGAGCCTTTACTAACACATGTCTCCCATAGCCAACCTATTCCTCGTATGTTACTCCCCTCTTAACCCAGTGTCAAGCATCCATTGGCATGCTCTCCTCAAAATGGAGTAACATGATCAACTCGTGGAGTCACGATCATGAATTGGTTGACACAGCGTACGATTGGCGGAGCCGTAAGCTGACAATGCTCTTCTAGCTTTCCTCAACCGCGAGTCTCTGCAGGTCCCCGGTAGAAACCTCAGCGTAATTTGCGATGTTTCTGCTGACACCACCAACCCCCACAACCCCAGTAAGTCACCTTTATACGGCTCTATCAATTAGACAATGCTGACAATGCATTTACTCATAGTCCCCGTCTACACCGTGGCTACCACCTTCGACAAGCCCACCGTCCCCGTCGAGGGACTGGAGAACCCTCCCCTGAGCGTCATCTCCATCGACCACCTTCCGTCTTTGTTGCCGAGGGAGTCTGTAAGTTTGACAACGCTGGAAATGCATTCGCTGGAAGTGTAGCTGACACAAATGACAGAGCGAGGCCTTCAGCAACGACCTGCTGCCTACCCTCCTGAACCTCAAGGACTGGCGCAACGATTCCGTCTGGGCCCGCGCCGAGAAGCTCTTCCAGGACAAGGTCGCTCTGCTCCCCGCCGAGCTTCAGAAGAGAGAGGCCTAGTGGACCCCTATTCAGTCATACCTTTGCTTCTAGAATGGAATTCGGCGTTTTGAGGGGTGGAGGATCTTATGAAGAAAACGGGCATACCCAAGCCGGGTTGTCAAATAGATCAAAAAGCTTACATCATGAGCGGACAGACTCGAAGAATGATACACACAGCTAGAGCTGAAAACTTGAGGCCACTTTGGTATCTGTGACAATGACCGCCATCTCTAGGCTTCGGCCCCCCTTTTTGGATTGATATAGTCTACATGGTGTGAAATGTTGTGTGTATATTTGTACAAGCCGAATGGCCGCGCCATAGAGCAGGGTGTCCCAAACCGTAAATCCAGAACGCCCAACATATGCATCTCCGCCCCCCTTTTCTTTCTTCACACGGGGAAATCCGCGCCCCCTCCCCTGAACGACTCCCTCCCCCCATATCAGTCCTCCAGCCATCACCGCCTCTCCTCCGCCGCAACACTCTTCCGATCCCTCGCCGCGTACCCGCCCACGCGCTCGCCCAGCCTCATCTTCTCCTCCTCCTTCCTCCTCGTCTCGGCGTCCTTCTCGGGCAGGCCCCACCACTCGCGGATGAAGTCCTCCTGCTGCGCCTTCTTCACGGCCTTGCGCTCTCGCTCCTTTTGCCGCTCCATGCGCTTGGCGAACCACTCCTCGCGCGCGGCGTCGTGCTCCTCCGGGGTGGCATGGGCCTTCATGCAGCCGTTCATCGCGCGGAGCTGGGTGCGGCAGACGAAGGAGACGGTGAAGGTGCGGTTTAGGGCGCAGTCTGCAAAGGCTGTTGGTTTTTCGGTGTTTGTCAGTATCTAGTGGTACCGGGCTTTGCTTTACATGGAGCTTTCTTGAGGTGAAGGATTTGTAAGGCAAGGGCTGTGCTTGGCTTCGGGAGAATGGGGACTTGAAGGAGGGCAATATTCTCCGGAGAGAGCTACAGAGAAAGGAGAGAGAGAGGAAACGGTGTAAGGTGACTTCCGGGAAAGAACGAACCCTTGATCTCGGGAGCGCAGGCGTTTCGCACCCGCGCGTGGTAGATGTCTCTGATCTGCGCCTCCTGGGAGGCCGAGAGGGGGAGCGGGTTGCGCGAGGGCATCGGCAGGCCCGCGGGGTCGCCGCCGGTCGGGTTCTGAGCCGCCATCGCGGCCATCAATTGGCGGAAGAAGGGCTGTGGGAAGTGGAAGAGCGTCCGCTTTGCTCGGGTCGGCCGTCTGGTCGGTCGGTCGAGGGATCGGGGAAGAAAGAGTTCGAAGGTGGACGGCCGGCGTTTTCGGAGGGTCGGGCGGCCCGGATTGATTCTTCTGGGGGAGGTTCGTAGAGCAATGATTCGTTACGGATCGTCGAACGGCAGCGAGCCTTTGAAATAGATTGGAAGCCCTCTCGGAAGAAGGATAAATCGTGTCACTTGAGTTTTCTTCAATGATTCTGTCGGCAGATTCCCCGAGGGCGGCGGGTTTGCGCGGGTGGTTCGATCTGGGTGGGTAAATCTACAGCTACCCGTTCGTTCCTCTCGCGAAATGTGACCCGTGCTTTCGGACGGAGCTTGCCAATTGAGACTTTCTGCCGCCGACGGTTGGGTTCACCGCCTACCTTACTTGGTGCTAATGTTGGTGACCAAGCAAACGTCAACGTAATACCTAGACACCAAAATAGCAGCCGCCTGAGTAGCATTTGGCATAAGCACATTGAGGTTTTATAGTGCTCCGTATTACTCTAGACAAGTGTTACCCAAAATTAGTAGATTGAGTGGGCATCTGGTCATGTTCACTCGATTATATGTGTGGAAGACAATGTTGCTTTTGGAACGCCTGATCTTTTATTTTTACTGATTTTTGCAAAACACTACATCGCTTCGTCTGTCTGACCCCGACAGATCCGCTGGATTCACTCGTCTTTCTTGTCTTCTCCCTCGACCTCGCCCTCAGGGGTAGCCTGGTGGAACTCAAGGCTTTCTCGGTTATCCTTGCCTTTCTTCTTCATAGAAAACTTGCTGCTCCAGCCAGATATTCTGCTTTCCTTGGCGTCTCTGGATTTGGCAGGGCCTGCGGACGGGCTGCTGGTGACGCTTTCATAGCTTCGGCCAAGCAAACCCTCCTCGCCAAAGTCGTCAATGTCACCAAAGCTGGATCGATCCGCAGACAAGTTCTTGTCCGAGTTCGTAGTGCTCCCAGGCCCTTTCTTAAAGAGACTCGAATCCTTGCTCAGACGAGACGAAAGACTGAACTTGCTGGAGCTGCCTTTCCTGAAGAGTTTCCTGTAGGCGTTCTCCTGGTCCTTGGTATTGGAGTCAGAAAGTGTATTGGAGACTGCCCTGTCAAGAGTCAAAGACTCCCGAGATTCGGTGACCGATGCCTGTGTGTGGACAGAGAAGGCATCGCGGGACTTTCTGGACTCTGTTGGAGACGCATCGTAGCCTTGCGGCAGGTCTAGGCTGGGCGTAGAAACATCCCTCGTCTTGCCTTTTTCCTTTGCGTCCTTGTCCTTGGCTTTGTCTTTGGCTTTGTCCTTCGACTTTGCCTTGTCCTTCTCTTTGCCTGAGTCACTTTCTTTATCCTTACTGCGGAATAGTCCCCCAATAGAGAAGGTTGGCGCTGCTGGGTTCAAGCTCTTGCTCAACAAGGATTTGTTGTCTGAGTTCTGTTTGCTGGCTGGTGGTCGACTGCCAATGACGCCAACCTGACTGGGCGAGACTTGAGGATCGTTCAAGGCTTCATGATCCAGGATCTCGTCTTCGGCTGAAGCCAGTGTCGTTTTGAGAGCCGCTGGCGAGCCGTGGAGGGAAGGTCGTCTAGATGGAGTTCGTGACGCCCAACGCCCGTCAGCTGGTGACCAAAATCGGTTTCCTCGGTCAGCTGGATGATTCCAAATGGATCCGCTGTCGGTGGACGGTCGTGGCAAGTCCGCCGAGGCCATGGAAGCCGGTCTGGGGCTGCTTGGATCTCGGTCCCCGTACGAATTCCATGGTATCAACCTGCGAGCGGATGAAAACATGCTGCGTCCCAGGTTCGATGCACTCGCCGCCTCAAGAGTGTCAGGTCCAGCAGAGTTCCGGTTCTGGGTGTAGGATGAGAAGCTGGTTCGGCGTCGATTGGTTCCATCCAGTTCATCGGTCTGCCGAGGGAAGGACTGACTCTGGCCATGCTTTAGGCTTCCCAACATGGGGCCACCGTCGTCAGCAGCTTTAGAGCCTTTAGTTCTATGCCAATGAATCAAATCCGTGAACCGGTGTCCATTTGCAGCTGGCGATGGCTGTCCCCCGGGCGAGGACGTGATGTCTTTGAGAGACGAGGGATCGCCGTTGTCAGGTGCAAAGGGTGGGAAAGCGGTGATATGCGATGATCCAGGGGGGCTAGAAGGAACACTATTCGAGCGTCTGGACGATCCTGGCGACTGAGCGTCATCTTCGTACCCCGGGATAAACGGGCTTCTGCGCGAGAGAGAGTCAGGGCTGCTAGGTTCGTCGTCACCCAAGATGCCAGAAGGTAACAGGGCAGCCGCCGTAGGGCTGAGCGGTGCGTTCCCTGTGAGAGCCCTAATATCAGCATCAGAGAATTGGTCGCTCCCAAAGGCGTCGCCTCCGGACATATCCAAGAAGTGCGAGAACGGGGCTCGACTGGTGAACCCGATCGGAGGGTCGAAGGGAGAATCCGAGGCTGAGAAAGGGCCCGTGGGCGATGCGACGGTGTTGGGAAGAGCATTGCCGGTGCGACTTCGACGCTTGATTTGTGCCGAGGCGTTCGGATCAAATTCGACGCCGGAAGAATTCGCCTGATTGTAGAACTGCATGCTCTGTTGGTTCTGGGCGTAGACCTGGGCATGTAGGACGTGGATGTGACCCTCAAATTGTTGAGCCTTCCTATTCTCCATGATGAGTTGGCTCTGAAGTTCTCGGCGCTTCATCTCGAAATCTCTCTTCATCTTCCGGTCGTCCTCTCGCCAAGTGTCGTCTTCCTCGCCACCAGGCAGCTTTCTGCGTGCATCTTCAAGCTCCTTGAGTTGTTCCTTCTTTTCCTTGTATTCGGTCTCGAGTTGGGAATATTCATCTTGCAAGGCAGAGTTCTCCTCATCCAGGTGCTTGATCTTGAGATCACGGCTCTGCGCAAGACTTTCCTTTTCCGACGCAAACCCGTCGCGAGTTTTACGCATAGATTTGGCTTCAGCAACACATTTCTCAATGTTGTCCATCGCCTTCTTGCGCTTTTCTTGCTTCTCCTTCAACAGGTTCTCCTTCCGCGCCTTCTCCTTGGTGGCCTGTCTCATCTGTTCGCCGGTAGACTTGACCTTTTGCCTCAACTGCGCGGTGTTATCGTCCTTCTCTTTCTGAATCTTCTTTTTCTCCTCCTTTTCTTTTTTCAACCGCTCTTCGAGCTGTCTGAACTCGCTCTCTTCGGTTGCATGTAAGGATGCTGTCTCAACAAACTCCTTCCTCGACCGTTCCAAGGTGTCGGCAAGTTCCTTGAGCGACGCCTCAGGGTGATCGCTAGAAAAATCCTTGATTGATGGTTGCTCCTGACTTGCTATGGACGGGGAGTGCCTGCGATTGACAGTGTTGCGTCTCTGGCCGGAAGTGTTGTCTCGCGCAGCGGCGGATCCGCCTTCGAGGGACGGTGCCGCTTCGATGGTGGGCACCTGGCTACGACTGCCATTATCTTCAACGCACGGAATTTGCCCTGGTCGTGGGTCTTGATCTTGGAAACTGTCGGGTAGTCTCGAATTCCCCAGTTCTGGCCGTCCGTCGGATCGATAGGTACGCAGTCTTATGACCTGGCTACCTGCCTGGAAGTTATTCGGTCCAACGGCAATGACTCGTATATTATAGCAGTGATTGGGCCTCAGACCCGTAACAGTAATAGCCGTCTCCTCCTGCCTCGATTCACCAACTGTGCAGATATGTCAGTTTAGTATTCCACGACCACCCAAGGCGTCGAACAAAGACCAACCATTTACGCCATTGACCTGGATCAGGAATTTCTGCACAGGTCGGTTGTGCGTCGGTCGCGTCCAGTTGAGAGTTGCCGCGTCGGGTCGAATTCCGGCCAAGGATACATCGGGGGCCTCGGGAACGTCCACTCCAAGGATGCTGATGAGATCGGTTGTCGGTTTCCAAAGAGTCTGCCAGGCGCGATGAAGCAGCCTTCACGATGTCAGCAAAATTTTGCCAGAAAAGTCGCACGTGTTGAGAAAAGCGGTAGCGAACAGCAGGACAAGGCGGGGAAGGGGGAGAGGCGCGTGGGTGAAACTGACCAAATGACTGCGGCGAGAGTCACCAGCATACTGGCATGCCGCACAAGCAACTCATCCAGACTCCAATAACGAATACCCTCACGGGTGTAATGTACGGACCAAGCGAGACAAAGTTGTGCGTAAATGGGAGCGATAACCCAGAATGTTGCAAGGCTGGCGGCGGCCAGAACGAACTTTTGGAAACGGCTATTCGGTCGCTTGAGCCACCAGGCGATGAGGGAGCTTACGAGGAGGAATTTCATGAACAGGGTCCATAACATCGCCGCTGGCAAAAGGGAAAGAAAAGAAAGTGGAAGTTGCGGAAGAGTGGAAGAAAAGCGAAGGAGGAAACCTTTCGCTAGTCCTCTCTGGCGCGGTCGGTTGGGAGGAAGGATATGTCGGTCAAGAAGGGAATAAGAAGGAGGGATGAAAATCTCGGCAGTTGTGTTCTCAGCGGCGGCGATGTTGACAAGCCCAGGCACAAGTCGTACTAGCAGTATTGCAGGCTCCTCAGACTCAGGTGCTGCTGTTCGGTTCACAGTGGCACTGTCCACCACTCCCCTGTACCGTGTATCGCGGCTAGCGGCTGATACTGTGTGGATGGGGGCAATTGGGGTGTTACCTGACACTGACACGCAGCCCTGGCGGCATGGCAGCGGCCAGCTAGGGGGAAGCTGGTACTGCTCGACGCTGGCGCTGGGGGAGATGGAGGGGCGGTAAGGCAAGTAGTGCCGGCCGCCTCGAAAAGGTCGGGATGGGGAGGGGCATTGCCGCATTGCATTGGACACCGGCAGGGGTGCAGAAGGGAGGCACGAGAGTCTTTTCCCCGTGAGGAGCGATAACGGGCAGAGAGAGAGAAAGAGTGTGCTCTATTGTGTTGTGTGTGTACGATGTACCTAAGTGATGTGCATTGTTAGCAAGTGTGTCTGGTCTGGAGGTGAGAGTGATAGGGAGGGAGAAGATAGGAAACACCAGGTCGATGGAGAATTGACGGGATCTTGTTGATTTATATCTCTGATTCACGGCATGTATTTATTTACAATTATGGTTTTAACCTCGTGGCATTCGAACGGAAATCAAAGGTTAATTGCCTATATCTTGCAAGGTGCTTGTTCGTCCTTCCTCCAAAGTATGGGGAAGCTGCCTCGTTTTCAGCCCTTCATGCACTCATTCGAAAGCAGTAGCTAAGAGAATGTGATGCGCCCTTGCGCACTGCAATGAAGCACAATAACCATATGACAGGCCGCGATGTCTCCTTCTCATTGAATGCTGGTGATGAGGGGCAACGATGAGACTGTGGTGTTGAAGTGCCCAAGGTAGTTGCCGTTGCAAGCGTCTTGACGTAAGGTACCTTACCTTGAGCCTCAGGTTCTTCATCTTTAACCTGAGGCGACGTGCTTTCCATTGCACATGGCACGGCGTCTTCCATTCTCCTATGCGCACGATCACAACACGTCTCATTCTCGCTAATCGATAACTTCAAGTGTCTACCTTAGTAAGTCTGGTTGACTTACTATTCCATGACTTGGTCAAAATGCCAAGATTTGGCTCCAGAACTGGGGCGTTTTCTGGTTTATGGTTCCTGGTGCTCCTTCGTCCTCGCTAATGAATTAGATTCACTAGAAGCCCAAGGATGAACGCCACGTCGCACAGCCCCGATTCCCACACCCGACGTAGCGCCCATCGTCAAGTTTCTTACGTGAGCCGAGTATTCAGCTTCATCATCATCATCATCAACCCGAAAAGCTTCTGCTCGTATCCGAGACCCTCCCACGCCACTAACTCTGCCTCTCCCGCCCGCAGGATGTTGCACTTGAAGACGCCTCCGGGGCCATGTGCTGATGTGGCTGGTTGTTGAGTGTCCCCTGCAAACGAGTTGGAGTGAGGGGCAACCAGACGAAAGCGACCTATCATGCCCTGAAGACGTCTTGCGGCCTTGGAATGAGGGGGTCCCATCCCACCAAGTCTGAAAGCAACCCGACTTGTCCAATCCATCGTACCGGGCATTTGGCGGGTACCTTGTCATCCCAGCAAGCAGCTCCCACTCCAGCACTATATTTGGACCATTGAGGGGTCCTCGGCGGGGACTACAAGTAAGGTGAGCTATCCTCCTGGCGACCTGACTTGTTTACTTCCACTCCGCCATTTGCTTCTCCTATTTATTTCCACGTTGAAATTGAAGTTTTTATCAAACCAGCTCGTCCTCTGATCAGTCTTTAGCTCTAATCGCAGTGCTCGAAACCTCTCCCATCGCCATATTCTCCTGGCCCATCATGGAAGCCATCAAGTCCGCTCTCAACATTGGCTCTAGCAAGCCTGCCGCCACCGAGCCCTCTGCCGAGCAGCTTACCCAGCTCAAGGAGAAGTACACCAAAGCTGGACAAGACCACGTCTTCACCTTTTACGATGACCTTCCTACCCCTGAGAAGGCAACTCTTTTCGAGCAATTGTCTGGCTTCGACCCCGAGCACATCAACAAGATCACAGACCGCGCTCTCAACCCTCCCAAGACCGAAGAAGATGCATCCGCCCAATCTGGCCTCGAGCCATTGCCCGAGTCTGCCACCGCCAGTATCCTCGATTCCAAGACCGAAGACATTGAGAAGTGGTACCAGTCGGGTCTCGAACTGATCGGACAGAACAAGGTGGCCGTTGTGCTGATGGCAGGCGGTCAGGGCACCAGACTGGGCAGCTCAGCACCCAAGGGCTGCTACGATATTGGGCTTCCCAGCCAAAAGTCACTCTTCCAGATCCAGGCAGAGCGAATTCGTAAGGTCCAGGAGCTTGCCGCCAAAAAGGCCGGCACCAGCAGCGCCGTCGTGCCGTGGTACGTCATGACCTCCGGCCCCACTCGCGGCCCCACGGAGAAGTACTTCCAGGAGAACAACTACTTTGGCCTTGACAAGGCCAACGTCTTCATCTTTGAGCAGGGTGTCTTGCCTTGCATCTCGAACGAGGGCAAGATTTTGCTCGAGTCAAAGGGGAAGGTTGCCGTTGCTCCTGATGGCAACGGAGGTATCTACCAGGCGCTGGTTGTGTCAGACGTCATGGGCGATATGCGCAAGAGGGGTATTGAGCACATCCACGCCTACTGTGTCGATAACTGCCTGGTAAAGGTCGCCGACCCCGTCTTCATCGGTTTCTCGGCATCCAAAGATGTCGACATCACCACCAAGGTGGTGCGTAAGCGCAATGCCACCGAGTCTGTTGGTTTGATTCTGCTCAAGAACGGCAAGCCAGACGTTGTCGAATACTCCGAGATTGACAAGGAGACGGCCGAAGCCCAGGACACTAAGCAGCCCGGAGTCCTCAAGTTCCGCGCTGCCAACATTGTCAACCACTACTACTCTTTCCGCTTCCTCGAGAGCATCCCCCAGTGGGCGCACAAGCTTCCCCACCACATTGCGCGCAAGAAGATTCCCTACGCCGACCTCAAGTCCGGCGAGACTGTCAAGCCCGAGAAGCCCAACGGTATCAAGCTGGAGCAGTTCGTCTTTGACGTCTTCCCCATGCTGGACCTCAGCAAGTTCGCCTCTATGGAGGTGAAGCGCGAGGACGAGTTTTCGCCGCTGAAGAATGCCCGCGGCACGGGAGAGGACGATCCCGACACCAGCAAGCGCGACATCATGCTTCAGGGCAAGCGCTGGCTCGAGGCTGCCGGTGCTGTTGTGACCGGCGCGAGCGAGGAGGATGGTGTCGAGGTCTCCCCTCTCTTCAGCTACGTAAGTCGTCACTTTCTTGACATGGTGTGCATGCAGAAACTAATATTCATGGTTCATAGGGCGGCGAGGGTCTGGAGAAGCTCAGCGGCAAGGAAGTCAAGGCTCCTGCCGTGTTGGAGATGGAGTGAATATGTAGAACGTAATGACATGGGATGATAGGCGTTTACGACCGAACCGCGGGTTTTAATAAACTATCCGGGTTGATGGGCCAAAGGCTGCACAATGAAGTGTGCTGCTTCGAATTCTGGAGCATATATAAAAGTATTGATTCGTTGCCAAGCTAGAACTGGAATGAGTGATAAGTGCTCATGTGCCTCAGCAACCAACCATTTTTCTCGTACTGTCATAGCACGCATGGTTGCTGGTTCTATCATCTTCGATGCTTCATTTTCTCTCAGGCTCTGCTTGTTATTACCAGGGAATCCATCTCCAGGGCAGCCAATCGAAGGAAATGCAGATGGGAGGCGTAACAAAAAAGGGAAGGAATGCAGGGCGGGAAGATTACCTTACCTTGCACCGTTGCCAAGCATTCCGAAACCAGATCTTAGGGGCATCTGGAAATTCCTTAGACTCACCTCAAGGTTTGTGTATGCCTGCCAAGGCCTAACACTGAGTGGCTTGCAAAGACTTGCACACTGTGCCCGAGTTCCAGAGAATAGGACTTTTGGCCGCGTGGAAAATCTCATCTAAATCGGGATTGGACGAACACACGCACACACCAAAAAAGAGAGGCAACATGGAAGGGCCCTTGACTGAGATTTCTCTTTCTGAACTACGGATATTTACCCTCTTCTGTCTTCTGTTTTTTTTTATGGAGAACGGATAATAGAGCAAAAGGAATACTCCGTAGACAAAGGGGAAGAGGAAAAGGAGAGCATGGGCAGTAATTCATGCGCCCACTTCAACTTTTTGCACAGGTGACATCGGCTCCTCGGCGGGTGCCACCAGGTACCTAGACCTGGGGGAGGGAAAGCCTGGGAAGGACGAATACACAGTAGGTGGATAGATCCATCTTGACCGGTAACGAACGGAGAAAAGTGCCCGGGTGATGAAGATATGACGGAGGAGGGCGATCAAGCCCAAACTTTTGGGAGACATGAACGGCAGAGGAGAGCAGACCGTAGAGTTAGTTGCCTGGCCTTTTTTGAGTTACAGTGACAGAAATGGTGGGGAGGGGAGGCAGGCGTTTCGTCTGGCTCTCTGTATTATCGGGTGAATGAGAATTGGTCAGAGACTTCTGGGAGGATGGAGGGGTAAATTTTTGGGTTATGACATCAGCAGACAAACAGAGAATCTGACTGGACTGTTTTCGCTCCAGTGGTTTCTTTCTCTCATTTGACGAAAGGGGGGGGGGAGGGCGGCGAACTCAGTCCCCAGCAAACAAGAAAAAAAAGTGTCACGAGTACTTTTAGTTACACCGCCGAGTCAGGCGGCTGGCCCCGTCTAGGGGGAACAGGAGTGTGGAGTGTCGTATTCGATCTGTGCAGAGTACGAGGGTGCTTGCTCTGTATTTCCGTGCGGTAAGGTATCCGTAGGCAGGCAAACAAATGGGAGAAGTTGGTGCTGAAGATATTATTGATATTGTCATTGTGTTCCGGCCTGCATGTGAACCCTTTGAGAAGGTAGGTACTCAAGTCAGGAACGACTAGGCACGGACAGAGGGAGGAATGACACCTGAAGGAAGTACTCCATAATTCAATCGTGTTGCCATCAAATTGAACGTGGGCTTGCAGAAATGGATTCCTCAACTAAGGTACGAATACTCTGTAATTAGTAGGTAATTACCTAGGCATGCCACTTGAGTGAAGAAGGGCCTCGGCTGAAGGTGGCTCATGTAAGTCAAGCCCACTGGGCCCTTTTCCCTCGTGCCACGGCATGCCAGGCCAGCTCATCGTCCTCGCCCGGTTCTCTCAATGCCGGCAATGGCGGCCATGTTAGCGTCCATGGTCCCTTTTTCCAACCTGAGCCCGGTGAAATGCGGTCCAGCCAGTGAGTTTTGTGAGGTGAGTGCGGTGCGCCGCGGTAGTCCTGGGCAGGAGCTGGGCCGACCAGGGGTTGCTTTTTCCATTGGGGTGGGCTGGCCGTGGCGCTCCTCCCCAAACGGTGAAAGTGGTCCGGGGGTTATCCTTTGGGGGTTGAAATCTTTTTTTTTTTCTCTGGTCATGGTCGTAGGCGGTCTCCCCTTTTGCTGGGCAGATGCAATCCAATGTCCACATTCACATGATCCGCGGCAGCCAGCGTTAGGTAAGGCGGGCAAAGAAACGAAGGAGAAAAAAAAGGGCAGCCTTGGCCTGCCGTAGCTTGTTGGGCCCGGCGACCAACGAGCAGGGGTTGGCTGCTGGGCTGCTGGGCTGCTGCTTCCTCCCCCCGCCCCTGTCCGCGCCAGGTCCTGCTCCCCCCCGTACCTCACCCTCACACTCCCGTCCAGGTCGCTCCTCAGGATCGCCCGCGAGCGCCGCAAGCCGCCGCCTTTCCTTTTAGCTCCCCGGCCTACTAAGGTACCTTAATGCTGCAGCTGCTGCCGGTCTACGAATAGTCGTCCTTCCCCAAAGGATTCAGCTTCGTCATCTTTGCACCATCCCATCCCATCCCATCCTCTCCGAACCGACCTGCTGAGCGTGGGCACATACGGATACATATGTACTAAGGAAAGGCTGCTTGTATCTCTCTCTTCTGAGCCCTTTTCTTGCCCTTCTCCCCTTCGCCTCCAACCCCGCGAAACCCCAAACTCTAATCGTGATTCACTGTTCACTGTACCTATTCTCTTCGACTTAAACAGGCGTCCTTTCTACCCGTGATTCTCTCAGCCCGACCCATCCCTCGCGAGCGAGCGAACGAACGAACAACCACTCTTAGCCACCTTCCACTCCCTTGCTGTGTGCGCGCGCATCTCTTGAACTCAGTCGGCCTCTATCGACTTACGGATACTCACAAGTCACTGTCGCTCTCTCTGTCGCCCCTCCCACTTCCTTTCCCACCCTCGTCCCCTGCATCCCAATAATAACTATCCACGAGCTTCCCCAACAATTACGCTTTCGCCTCCGCACACCTCGCGGCCCAGCTCAACCCAGCTACCCGACTACCGGCCTTGCCTAGGTTCGAGAGACCACAACATCTCGGCCAAGAAAGTCAAATCACTGTCGTCTCTATCCCTACGTTCCGGCTCACCTGCTTCAAGATACCCGCCCTCCAACCTGTTGCAAACGGCGACACAACTCCTTAGTCGCCATGCAGTACGTACGGAATCTCAGCGCCTCGGTCTCTTCGACATGGAACTCTATAAACCCGGCAACCCTTAGTGGTGCCATCGATGTCATCGTCATCGAGCGAGAGGACGGCTCTCTCAACTGTTCGCCTTTCCACGTGCGCTTCGGAAAGTTCTCACTGCTGAGGCCCTACGAGAAGAAAGTCGAATTCAAGGTCAACGGCGTCAAACAGCCCTATTCCATGAAACTCGGCGAGGAGGGAGAGGCCTTCTTCGTCTTCGAAACAAGCGATACTATCCCGAGGGATCTGCAGACTTCGCCCTTGGTCTCCCCGGCGTCAAGTCCTCCCTTGAACCCGGAGAATCCCTCTTCGCCTGGACTCGGGGAGCCAGAGCTTCTGGATCTGGATTCGGAGGCTTCAAAGCCTCGACGACCGCCTCCATCTGTCCTGCACGCAGCAACATTCGGACCCGGACCCCATGGTTTGTTCCTGACTTGCCCTACCCTTGTTGATCTTCTGTATGGCAGCAAATGCTAACTGCTACAGGGCTAAACACACCTCTATCAACGTCCCCCGACCTTTCATCCCACGCACGACTGCGATCGGAAGACTGGGATTCTTCAGCCGCCCAGCGCCCTTACAGTGATGATATCTTGCGCAAATCAGCTCGTACGAGCGACCGAGTATTCGGCGAAGGCCTGACTGACTTCGCCATGTCCGAGCGATCACAAAGCCCTCCTCCGTTGGCACCCAAAGAAGCGCTGGAACGCGCTCTTATGCTTTCCAAGGAGCTGTCAGCCAACAACATTCCTAGCCATGTGACCGAGAGCGGTGACCTCATGCTTGACATGACTGGATTCAAGAGCAACGAAGAAGATGTGTTCCGCGCCGAGATTCTTGCGCGAAAGATCCTCTCCGAGGAGCTCGAGGGCCCGTACGACATTGGTTCGCTTTTCGGCATGGACGAACATGGAAATATTTGGATCTACAGCAGTGAGGAGGCCAAAGAGGCTGCGAAGAAGAAGACCATGGAAGCTGGCTACCGCCTCCATTCCGTGATCGCGGCGGATGCTGCGTCCGACCCGGGATACCAGAGCGACGGTAGCGATGTGACTACCACCATGCCTCCTCCAAACCACCGAAGGACCGAGTCAGACGCCGGTGCATCTGGCCTGCACACTCCTCCTACGACACCTCCTCAATCGACGGCTGGAGACCCAAACTTGAATTACGCAAAGACGCTGCGGTTGACTAGTGATCAGCTCAAAGACCTGTGTCTGAAGCCTGGAGAGAACACCATGAGCTTCACCGTCAACAGGGCAACGTGCCAGGCCAACATGTACTTGTGGAGGCATGAGACGCCCGTTGTCATCTCGGACATTGATGGCACGATTACCAAGTCGGACGCTCTAGGCCACGTTCTCAACATGATTGGCCGTGACTGGACACACGCTGGAGTAGCCAAACTCTACAGTGACATCGTCGCAAACGGATACAACATCATGTACCTGACCAGTCGATCAGTGGGTCAATCCGACACGACTAGGGCGTATCTCGCCGGCATTCAGCAGGGTGAATACCGGGTGCCGCGGGGGCCTACCATCCTGTCCCCAGACCGGACCATGGCCGCACTCCGCCGCGAGGTCTACCTCAGGAAACCCGAAGTTTTCAAGATGGCCACTCTTCGGGATATCCGCAATTTGTACGGCCCTGATCGGACACCATTCTTTGCTGGATTTGGAAACCGTCTCACGGACCAGATTTCGTACAGGACGGTGGATGTTCCCAAGAAACGTATCTTTACCATCAACTCCAATGCTGAGGTTTCTCTCGACTTGCTCACGTTGAACAAACTCAAGCTGAGTTACATCAACATCAATGAGGTCGTCGATCATTTCTTCCCTCCCGTCAGCACTCTGGTCAAGGGTGGAGGAGAAGAGTATACGGACTTTTCATACTGGAGAGATACCCCATTGGATTTGGATGAATTCTCTGCAAGCGATACAGATGACGATAATGAGCAAGCTGATCTGGAAGAAGATGTTGACGATGACGAGGAGATTGGTGATGAGATGGGACAGAGCTACATCTCCCGAGACTCGGTCGACGATTACGGCGACGAACGCGAAAGCATCCTCAGTGGAAGCATCGACGACGATGACCAGCTGGCCGCCTCCATCCTGGAGGATGACGATGCCGATGACGAAGACGCCGAAGAGGAGGAGGACGACGAAGAAGACGAAATGGCTGAGCTCGAAGTGCGGAAACAACGCGAGCGAACCCCTCAGCCCAGCGGCAAGGAAACCAAGTCTTCCACGCCGGCATCAACGATGCTCGTGGAAGACATTGGCGCGGAGTTGATCACTGGGGTAAATCATCTCACCCTTGAAAAAGGCGTGCAGAAATAGTGTGCTAAAAAGGAGGAACAGGCTTCGGTTTACAATCCTAATGTTAAAGCAGGTGCGAACTAATATCTCCGTGTCGATGCGCTTCTCTTGTACAAGATCCGGGAGTTTTCAGAAGGTGGCTTGGTGATTACGAGCATGGTTGACAGGACGGGTTTGGGGGGGTTAGGTTTCCAGGAAGGGAAGTGTTGCGTTTGCATAGCGGGAGGCGTTTGGACTTTGATATCTCTCACTCGATAGTGATCTTGCAAAAGACGCTACATCACTCAACTCTGCCGTCATTCTGGTTCATGATACTTGTGAGATGCCTGTAATTGTCTTGATTTTAATCTCTATCGCAGACCACTGTAAGTATACACCGCATTTGGCCCAGCATACCCATACTCTGGGTCGCATCGTTCTCTTGTGACCGGTTCCAGAAAGATGGATACGAATTCAAAAGAGCCTCTTTTTCCTCAACCCGGCCCTTAAGGCAAGACGTTTTTTATCATTCCGCGTCTAATCGACCATAGACCAAAATATGTACCCCTGGCTACCTTGGTCGCCGTTACTACCAATGCCCCTCATTCACCCTGCCATTGAGGTACCTGCCCGTAAAGTACGTCCATCGTGGACTCCGAGTGCTCCAAGTTCACCGAGTGGCCCGAGTCCTAAGAAGTGCCCTCCATCTCCGCATCCTCATCCACGTCCTTGCCAAACACGTCCTCCATCGTACCGCCCTCGACGCCATCGCCGCCGATATCCTCGTCCGCCGTCGCATTCGTCGCCTCAACGCCTTCCATTGCCCCATCACCGCCCGGTGCGGCAGCAGCACCGTCCTCGTCGTCTTCCTCTTCGTCTTCGTCCATGCCCGCTTCCTCCCACGCTTCCTTGAGACCCCAGCTGACGCCGCTCAGAACAAAACGCTCGCTCGGCAACCTGAGACCCCACTCGTTCTGCGCGACCTTGGGCAGCGCCGTCTTGTTGCGCTCGCGCGCGAGCTCCTGCAGCCAGTCCTTGCTGACGCCGCCGGCACCGCCACCCCCGCGGAACTGGTAGCCCAGCCTGGCGGCGATGGCGAGCTTGACGGCGTTGGCCGTGACGGCGGCATCGCCTGCCGCGCCGGGGATGGAGCCCGCGCCGCCGCCACCTGATGCTTTGCTGCCGGCTTGGGAGGTGTAGGGGTCCGCCGAGAGGTAGATTGCGTCGGAGAGGATGCTCGAGGTGTGGCGGTAGGCGAAGTCGAGGAGGAGGAGGGGCACGCGGGACTCGTACGAGGTGACGCCCTGGGAGGTGAGGAGGAGTTCTATCATGCGGGAGTCGCGGGGTCGCGGGGCCGAGGCGTTGGGGGCTAGAGGGTTTGATGATTGTTGCTGCTGCTGCTGTTGTTGTTGGCCGCCCTGTTGCGCATTTTGTTGTGATGGCTGTGAGGTTTGTTGGGTGGACGAGGACTGGGTCGGTTGGGTTTGGGATGGGGGTTGAGAGCCTGCTGTTGATGTCGTTGCTGTTGCTTGGGTGTTTGGTGCGGTTTGCGAGGCTGAGGCGGCCGAGGAGGGGGGCACGCCGTTGGTTTGCGGGTCAGCGGATTGCGAAGCCATGATAGCGGTGTCGTGTTGTGTTCGTGGCGGCTAGAGTGTTATCTCGTTATGAAGTATCAATGGTGGTTTGATGGCGGGATGGCATATCCCCGTCGGGACACCGTTCGAGGATTAACGATCGTCAACGCGACTAAATAGTAGCTGCTGGTGGTGTGTAGATGGTGCGTGATGTTTGGAAAGTCACCCAGACGAATTGATGTAACTCGTAAAATCGTGTACAAGGCTCGCGGGGGGCCGAATGGGAAGGCGAGGCCGGAAAGTCGGGGGTATCAAGGGTAGGGGAGGTAGTTGGCTAAGGTAGTTGGGTCGCGGAAAGAGCTACCCGCCTGGCGCGTCGAGCGTGAGGACCTGAATTGCCCATCTGCACCCTCACCTCAGCTCCGATTTCTTGACGGGACTTTTGTTGTTCCGATCCATTGCCAGAAACTCGACGCACTGACCACAGCTTAATCCCACATGGACCGGGGTGTCTGACGGGCAAATCGGCAGGGCGTGGATTGGATGACCTCCAAAAACTTGCATGGAGGGGCAATTCTGCTGCGTGGTAATTGTTCTGCCCCACCACCACACCCGCCGATGCAGGACATGGCTAGAGTGGTGGTGTCACACTCTGAGGATTTTTTTACTTTTTAGTGGCGGTTCCCTTTCCCTGAATGAATTGAGTCACAGTGGGTTGTCTGCCGTATCTCGATAAACAAGTGACATTCCACTTTCCTCAATTGATCCTTTTGGCAACTTCATTTCCTATAGTTGCCTCCTTCGTCAACACTACCCTCCCATTGGGCTCTTTTGACTTTCATGCGAGTGTGAGAGAGATAAGAGAGAGAGAGCATACAAGATTACCCCTCCCCCTCATACGTTACACATCCACATCCAACAATATACACACAATAAGAACGGCCATGGAAACAACACTACCCTTCCCCTTCCTTATCAGTGTGGCCGTTCCGCCCGGCCTGGCCAAGCTGGATGGCCTCGACCGCGAGCAAGTCTCGATCCTCGGAGCCCCCTTCTTCGAGGCCAACGACCAGACCCTGGACAAGTTCCACAGCTTTCTGAAGCAGCACAACGCAGAGTTCCGCGGCTACTTTGACGTCACGGGCATCTCAGCAAAGGACGATGTAGTCTCCCTGCTCGATGCCGGCGCCCGCATGGTCTTCGTCTCTCCCGAGAACCTCGCCCAGTACGAGGAGTTCGGATCCCGTGTGGGCTCCATTCTCACCACCGACGATGTCACGACGAAGCCCGCCTCCAAGCACGCCGTCCTCGTCAAGGACTTTGATCCTACCCTCTGCAACCTGGGCTCCTTCATCGAGCACTGCAAGGTGGAGAAGCTCCCGAACCTGTTTATCAAGCCTGTGCCCGAGAGCAACCTCGAGCACTTTGTCGATATCGCCAAGCAATGCAACGCCATCCCGGTTCTGCCGTCTGACGGCCTGACGGCCAGCAAGGACGAGTCCAAGAAGCTCCCCCTTTCCAAGCTCATTGCTTCATTCTGGAAGTCGGACCGGCCGGATGGCCTGATCCCCACCGTCGTGTGCGACGAGTCTGGCACCGCAATGGGCCTCGCCTACAGCAGTGCAGAGAGCGTCGGAGAGGCCCTGCGGACCAGGGCTGGCGTCTACCAGAGCCGCAAGCGTGGTCTCTGGGTGAAGGGTGCCACGTCCGGTGACACCCAGGAGCTCGTCCGCATCGCCCTGGACTGTGATAATGACACGCTCAAGTTCGTCGTCAAGCAGACTGGCGGTTTCTGCCACCTGGATCAGCACGGCTGCTTCGGTGACCTGAACGGCATCCCTAGACTCGAAAAGACATTGCAGTCTCGCAAGAAGTCCGCGCCCGCGGGCTCTTACACTGCTCGCTTGTTCTCTGACGAGAAGCTTCTGCGAGCCAAGATTATGGAAGAGGCCGAGGAGCTCTGCGACGCAAAGACTCCCCAAGATGTTGCCTTCGAGGCTGCCGACTTGATTTACTTTGCTCTCACAAAGGCTGTCAGCGCCGGCGTAAGCCTCGCTGACATTGAGAGAAACTTGGATGCCAAGGCATTCAAGGTCAAGAGGAGGACGGGAGATGCCAAGGGCAAGTGGGCCGAGAAGGAGGGCATCAAGACTACCACAACACCTGCCCCCGCAGCGGCGCCGGCACCGGCACCGGCAGCAAAGGCTGAGAAGTCTGAGAGAATTTCGATGCGCCGCTTCGATTTGTCCAACTCTTCCGCCGCTGAGATTGACGAGGTGCTGAAGCGCCCGTCACAGAAGTCCCCCGACGCTATCCTGAACATCGTCAGGCCCATCATTGACGAGGTTCGCAACGGAGGCGACAAGGCTGTTCTGTCCTACACCCACAAGTTCGAGAAGGCGACATCACTCACCTCCCCTGTGCTCAAGGCTCCCTTCCCCAAGGAGGCCATGCAGCTCTCTCCTGAATCTACCAAGGCGATTGACATCTCCTTTGAGAACATTCGCAAGTTCCACGCCGCTCAGAAGGAGGACAAGCCCCTGAAGGTCGAGACCATGCCTGGCGTGGTTTGCAGCCGCTTCTCTCGACCCATCGAGAGGGTTGGTCTCTACGTCCCTGGTGGCACTGCCGTTCTCCCTTCTACTGCCCTCATGCTCGGTGTCCCCGCCATGGTCGCCGGCTGCCAAAAGATCGTCTTCGCCTCGCCTCCCCGCGCCGACGGTAGCCTCACCCCTGAGATTGTCTACGTCGCCCACAAGGTCGGCGCCGAGAGCATCGTCCTCGCTGGAGGTGCTCAGGCCGTCGCCGCCATGGCGTACGGCACCGAGAGCGTGACAAAGGTCGATAAGATCCTCGGACCCGGAAACCAATTCGTCACGGCGGCCAAGATGTACGTCAGCAACGACACCAACGCCGGCGTCAGCATCGACATGCCGGCCGGCCCCTCCGAGGTTCTCGTCATCGCCGACAAGGACTCCAACCCCGCCTTTGTCGCGTCCGACCTGCTGTCACAGGCCGAGCACGGCGTCGATAGTCAAGTCATCCTCATTGCCATTGATCTGAACGAGCAGCAGCTCCAGGCCATCGAGGATGAGCTGCACAACCAGGCCATGGCCCTGCCCCGTGTCGACATTGTCCGCGGCGCCATTGCCCACTCAGTCACCATTCAGGTCAAGACCGTGGACGAGGCCATGCGCATCAGCAACGACTACGCGCCCGAGCACTTGATCCTTCAGATCAACGATGCCGAAAAGGTGACGGAGAAGGTCATGAACGCCGGCTCCGTCTTCATCGGCGAGTGGACCCCCGAGAGTGTCGGCGACTACTCTGCTGGCGTCAACCACTCTCTGCGTAAGTCCTACCCACGTCAACGATGAAAGATATTCCATGACTGACCGATGACTCCAGCGACCTACGGATACGCCAAGCAGTACTCTGGCGTTAACCTCGCCTCCTTTGTGAAGCACATCACCAGCTCCAACCTGACGGCCGAGGGCCTGCGCAACGTCGGCGAGTCCGTCATGCAGCTCGCCAAGACGGAGGCTCTCGAGGCTCACCGCAGAGCCGTCGAGATCCGCATCGACCACATGAACCGTAAATAGGTGCTTTCGGTTTTTGACGTTGACCACCAAAAAGAAAAGTCAAGATTATTGGATGAATGGCAAGGGGGGTTTAATGATTTTATGTAGTTATACCAAAAATGTCATTGGACATGTAGAGAAAAGACAAACCTTCTTATATTGGAATTCAATGCTGAGCATGTTCGTGACCTATTTTGTCTCTGAGATGGTGACAAGTATTTCAGACCGCACTCAGCCCGCATAGCCATCAACGTTCTTTTGCACCCATCCCATCCCAACGTACACGTCGAAGACTCATTAGAAGACGGCCATGATGTAGCAGGATACGACTCGGAGCTACGTATCTTCAGAAAGACCTGACACCTGTCTATTTACTACCATTGCAGCAAGGTCTTGCTAAGTGAGAGCCCCCTAGGCATGAACACTGCCTCTACAACAGCACAACTAATCAGATGACGGTATTTAGAGGTAGAACAGCTTCCCGATCTCGGTCCGACCTCACCCTGTCGACCTACGAGCTTGATCCAGGGACGAGGAAAAGATGAGTTTACTTCTAGCTGGAACTTTCTACCGCCGCTGGAGAAGGCGATGTCGGGACTCTCAAACGTGGCTTAATCTTCTCTTTCGGCTTCCCCCGGGGTGTTCATCCTTCCTTGCCTTGGCCATTTAGTGACGAATCAGGGTTCCTGTCATTTCGAGTTCATTTGATGGACCCAGTCAAGACCGTCAGGACTAACTACAACGTCCGCTGGGTCCCGTCTTCTACTATTCATCTCAACGCAGATACAAACGCTGAGACGGAAGCGGCAATGCTGCCAAGGGGTCTCCTCACAATGGAAAGCAGGGGTGCAATCGAGGTTTAGGCCTCGTCACCTTATGCTCAGCAATTCTCAAATCGAGTCCAGATTTGAACCAAACATGGTAGATGCTTACAAAAGTACATAGTAAAATTAGGTCGTCAAGGTGCTAAGCTTGCGGTTGTCACAGACATATGAACAAGGGAAGTCTTTATGATACACTAGCCTGCCTGTAACGGTATCTCATACACTCTATACCCTAATCTCCCCGGAAATCGCCAAAAACCACACATTTAGTACTTGGGCTTCATCGTGGCCCTGAGTCTGGAGTAGTCAAAGAGACCCTCGATGCTTCCGACGGCGGAGATGGCAATGTCCTGATCCCAAAGCTTCCTGCTGGCAAAGTCCATAACGTCCTTCTCGGTGATGGCGTCGATGGTGCGCTCAATCTCGGCGGGGCTGGCGCGGCGGCCGGTGGTGACGAGCTGGCGACCAATGTCCTCAGCAATGGCGGTGGTGCCGTCAAGGGAGAGGAGAATGGAGGCCTTGAGCTGAGCCTTGGCGCGCTCGGTCTCGGCCTCACTGACGTTGCGGGCAAGGCGCATCCACTCGCGCTGGGCGAAGTAGACGAGATCGTCGATGCGGTCGTGCTTGTCGGTGACGAGGTAGATACCCCAGAGACTAGCATGTGTTAGCAATTTTCTCCTCCTTACTGCATGGACGTTACTTACCCAGTGTCGCTGTAGCTGGTGGAGAAGCTCATGAAGCTGTTGGCAATATCGTGCTTGTGAACGAAACCGCTGAGCTTGCTGCCCTGGTGAGCGGCGTTACCGATAGCCTTGTCGTAGTTGCCGACAATGGCCTGGGCGACGAGGGCGGTGTAGTAGTCGTCGTCGTTCCAGCTGACACCCTCAACGGCAATGGCGATGTTGGCGGTGGGGATGTTGTCGTCACGGACACGGACATCAGATCCGATGAAGTCGGCCTTCTGCTTGGACAGGAGGTAGGCCGAGGTCTGGGGGCCGGAAGTCGGGAGGCCGCTGAAGTTCTTCTCGGCGAGCTCAACGAGCTTCTCGTGGGGGATACCACCAGCGCCAACAAGAACCATGCGGTCGGCAGTGTAGTTGTTCTTGATGTAGTTGGTGAGCTCGGTGCGGGTGATGTCACGGATGTTCTCGCGGGGACCAAGGATGGTGCGGCCAAGGGGCTGGTGCTGGAAGGCGGTAGCGTGAAGGTGGTCAAAGACGACCTCCTCCATCTGCTTCTCGACCTCCTCGGACTCGCGGAGAATGACATCGCGCTCACGCTCGATGGCGGACTCCTCGAGCTTGGAGTTTTGGAGAATGTCGGCAAGAATGTCGACGGTCTGGGGAACGTCGGAGTTGAAGGCCTTGGCGAAGTAGACGGTGTTTTCGCGCTGTTTCAATGTCAATGGGAGGAAATTTTGATGATTTCGGTCGACGGGAACGAACCGAGGTGTAGGCGTTCAAGTGACCACCCATGTTCTCGATCTCGAGCTCGAGCTGCTGCTGCGTCCGGTTTGTGGTGCCCTAAATATTCGCATCAGCAGGTGTGTCTCATCGCATCGTCGTCACTATTTGACCTACCTTGAAGGCAAGGTGCTCGAGGAAGTGTGCGGTGCCATTGGTCTCGTCGGTCTCAGCCCTTGAGCCGGCGTCAATCCACACGCCGACGGTCGAAGTCTGGGCGAAGGGCGAGTAGTCGGTGGCGACCTAAATTTCAATTGTCAGATGCAATTCGCGACGCGTTTTTGGAGGCCAATTGAGCCATAGAGCGGATGGGTGGATTGGGATTGCATACCGTCAGTCCATTCTTCAATGTTGTCGTCTGAGTCTTGCCGAAGGGGGTGTTGGAAGGCGTGGCGAAGCCCCGGGTAATTGGGCTCGCTCTGGAAAGAGCAGCCCGGCTTCGCAGCCCCTGCGAGAGGTTCAAAGCTAGTCTCCGGGACGCCATGGCGGAGTTGTGGAGGATGGGGAGTGATATGAGGTGTTTGATGAAATCTTTCGATGAGGTTTCGGCTCAGAAAGCTTTCGCCTTTCGAAAGGCTGTGTGTGCCTTGGAATCGAGGCGCGAAATCGGCTTCCGGAATGCCCCGGCCCAGCAACTGGAGCCAATCAGAGGAGGTACGTAACTAATCTGAGGCCCCAGTATCCTGGCACCACCAGATCCACCGTGTGTTCAATCTATCTTTTATTTTGTCATTGACTTATTTTCCCCGGAAGCAGCTGAAAAACAATTGCGAGGAACTAGCTTACACTGACTTAGAGAACTTGATTGAGCCTGCCTTCGTGGTATCTTACACATCAATCCTTGTCTTGTTTGGAATTTACGCTTCATGGCGCAAAGTTGTCCCTTTTCAATCGATGAATCATTCTCCTTTCCATTTTGTCCGCAAATGCCAATTGGCCAATTAAGCGGATCCTGCCCTGTGCCAGGCGACAGCCGCTCTTGCGTCAAGTTCCCAGTCGTGCAGCTGAGACCTTTAGGATGAGCTGTTAGTGCAGCAGGTCGGTCACAGGACTGCCTTTTTGACTTCACTGCATATGCCAGTCTCACAGACTCCTACATAGGATGAAAGCATGTTACAGCACTTCAACTTGGGCGACTGAGCAAAAGCCTCTTACCTTTCCTCACTTCAGTCGCCATCAATAATACATTCATCAACCATTGCTTCGTCACTTGCACGCTTTCCTTGTAGTTCGTACCCTTATGACATCAAGATGCCATCAGACAATTACAACTTTGCCGAAGTCTTTCAGTCTCTCTTCGTCTCAAAGCAAAAACCAGCCCCAGAAATCATCGCCGATACCATGAAGGCCGTCATCCAGAGCTACCCACCTCTTGGGCAGTATACGCAGGTCTCCAATGGTGGTCTTCCGATCACCGCAGTTCTAGAGATACCTGCTTCACGTGCGGGCGAGTCCTGGGAAGTTGCGGTGTGGCACTCGAGTGATGGAGCCGACTGGACCGAGACTGCTCTTGCTCGCATCGCCGACGAAGACGCTCCGACGACCTTGCAAGCTGTCCCAGATGATGTACGACGGTTCTTTTATTCCGCTCCTGTTCCTTTCAAATCATCGTTCCAGTTCACACTCAAGTTCCGACACTCGTCAGACGAGCCATGGAGATGGACTCGCGATGAGCTAGGCGTTGGTGATGGCACTGTGGTGCTCAACTCGAGGCCCATTCTTGAGACTGTTTCCGAAAGCATTGATGACGTCGTGTCTGATTTGAATCCTGCATGGAAAGTGAAGCCAATGATGAGCCAGTGTCCCGGAACTCGGCTGTGGTCACTTGAAGCTACTATAGATGCCGTTGAGGGAGATGAGTCGAAGTTTGCCGACATCTCGTTGGGCGTGCCTTGGGGAGGGTTTCTGAGGTATGTCTGATCTTTAGAAGTCCAACCACCATCAGGATCAGAAATGTCTTGAGGACTCACTTCCCTCTGTTCTAAATTCATCTAGCGGAGTGGGATGCTGACAAGAATAGGTGGTTTGCGCTTATCCGTATTTGGACGCCGTGGCTGGCCCCTCGCCATGGAAAAGACTCATTTCATCTTGACAAAGATGGCGTCCTATGCTCATTTTTGAATTCCGAGGGCAAACATCTTGTCTTCCTCGCAGTAAGCGGAGGCAACCATGTTCTGCCCGTTTTCCGCCATGGCGAGTCCGGGCAATTGTCTGTTCACGTGCGTCGCTAGACCCATCCTGCTCGATGAGTATAATGCTTACTGGTCATAGGCCCGTAATGATAGTACAAAGCCAGAACCTGCTACCATCTTGGTCGGAACAGGAGACAACTTTGAGAGCGCAAATGCCTGTGTAATGTATCAAGCTAGACAGTACATTCTTCAAGAGAAGAAGGCCAGTGATGAGCTGTTGGCCGAAATGAAGGCTATTGAGGAAGGGGTCAAACCAGAGTGGATGGAGAACTGGTATGATGGACTCGGATACTGTAAGTTTGTGACGATTCACATCATCAACTCACCCTAACCCCCTGATGTATGCTAACGCGCTTCATAGGCACCTGGAATGCTCTTGGGCAACGCCTCACAGACGAAAAGGTCTTTAACGCTGTCGACAAGCTAGCCGAGAATGATATCAAGGTCTCCAGCCTCATCATTGATGACAACTGGCAGACAATCGACTACAGAGGGCACGGCCAGTTTCAGCATGGTTGGTGTGAGTTCGAAGCTGAACCGAAAGCTTTCCCTCAGGGCTTGAAGGCCACAGTGGCGCACATTCGCCAGAAACATCCGCATATCCAGCACATTGCCGTCTGGCACGCTCTTCTAGGTCAGTCGTCTTGTTGCATTTCAAAGCACAGAACATGCTGACTGTATCAGGATATTGGGCGGGCATTTCACCGGACGGAAAGATTGCTCAAGAGTACAAGACGATAGAAGTGATCCGGGAGGATGCCGAGCGACGAAACCTACCACTCGGAGGCAAGATGACCGTAGTCGACAAAGACGACGTCGACAGGTTTTATAACGACTTTTATAAGTTCCTCGTTGACTGTGGTATCGACGGCGTGAAGACGGACGCCCAATTCATGACTGACACCTGGGTCTCAGCCAGCGCACGCCGCGAGCTCATCGACGCTTACCTAGATGCTTGGACCATATCCTCCCTCCGGCACTTCAGCATCAAGGCTATCTCCTGCATGTCGCAGACGCCGCAGATCATGTTCTACAACCAGATGCCCCGGCACAAGCCGGCGATCCTCTGCCGCAACTCGGACGACTTCTTCCCCGAAATCCCAGCCTCCCACCCCTGGCACGTCTGGACAAACGCCCACAACAGTCTCTTCACGCAGCACCTCAACATCCTGCCCGACTGGGACATGTTCCAGACCGTCCACGACTACTCGGGCTTCCACGCCGCGGCACGCTGCGTCAGCGGAGGGCCCATCTACATCACCGACGTGCCCGGGCAGTACGATCTGAACCTCATCAAGCAGATGACGGGCCCCACGATCCGCGGCAAGACCGTCATCTTCCGGCCCAGCGTCGTCGGCAAGACCATCGACCCCTACACGGGCTACGACGACGACGGTCTGCTCAAGATTGGCAGCTACCACGGCGCCGCCGTCACGGGCACCCCGATTCTCGGCGTCTTCAACATCTCCGCGCGCGCCCTGACGGAGATCATCCCGCTCGCCGCCGCATTCTCCGGCGTCCTGCCCTCCATGCGCTACGTCGTCCGCGCGCACTCGTCGGGCAAGGTTAGCAAGCCCGTGTCCTCCGGCTCGGCCGCGTCTTCGCTGACGGTGTCGCTGGACGTGCGCGGATACGACATTTTCACCGCCTACCCGCTCTCCGGGTTCGACAGCGAGACCAAGGGCAAGGTGTGGACAGCCAACCTGGGTCTGGTGGGCAAGATGACTGGCGCGGCCGCCATACTCAACAGCGACTTTATGCTGCGGCACGATGGCAAGGTCGAGCTAAAGACTCGTCTCAAGGCGCTCGGCGTTTTTGGTAAGTACTTGGTGGTGATGTTTTCCTAGAAGGCATAAGAACAAATGCTGACGAGACAAAAACAACAGGTCTGTACATCTCGAAGCTACCAGAGTTGACAATCGAGGATGACTTCCTTGTCACCATCCAGAACTCTGTGATCCCGGTCCACACGGTGTCCCTCAGCAAGGACCACGATTGCGTCCTGGAAATCGACATTGAGAAGGCGTGGCAGGAGATGGGTCTTCACCCTGGCTGGGGCAACGAGGTCGAGATGACGGTTGTGTTTGCTATTGATCACGAGGAGGCCCAGGAAGTGTAGATGCCCGGGCTGTTTGATATTAAAACTACCCCCTACTTCTAAAGATCATCAATCAAGCTGAAGTAAAACATCCATCTGGTTCAAGGTTATTCCGTTCGGATGAGGATCCCCATACAACGTCGTATCAAAACTACCAAGCACGCTCACCTTCACTGCTTCTTCTCCTTGGGCTGAATCCCCAACTTCTTCGCCTCAAAAGCAACCGTATCAGCAATATCCTCCCTCAAACTCCTGCTCTCCGCCTCCCACCCAAAATATTTGCGCGCCCTCTCCGCCTTGCTCTTGGAATTGAACCCCCACGTCGCGTTCGCCTTGCCATCGCTCTGCAGCACCTCCTTCATCGTAGTCTCCTTGGTCAACGCCGCCGGCAGGAACCCCTGCTTGAACGCCTCCTCCGCAACCCACCCGGCAACCTCGCGCCACGCGTGCGTCCCGCTCTCGACAAAGTAATACGCCCGCGGGCCCAGAATCTCCGGGTCGGCGTTCTTGGACGCGTCCTGCGTCGCCTCCGCGAGCTTGACAAAAAGCCGCGAGAGGTCGTGCACGTGGACGTTGTCCCACTCGGCCTTGCCAGGCGCCACGATGGGCGCGAAGCCCTTTTCCAGCGTGGCCTGCGCGAGGGAGGGCACCTGGATCGAGCGCTGGTTCGTCGGGCCGCGGCCGCGGCCGTAGATTGTGGGCGGGCCGACGATGGCGGTGCGGACGCTGGGGGAGTTGCTACCGAGGACAATCTTGTCAATGTCGCGGTGGATGGCGTCGTCGGGGAGGGAGAGGATGCGGTCAATGTCGCGGATGTCGTGGTAGTCCTGGTCTGGGAGGGGGGCCTCGCCGTAGCGTTTGTTCCTCATGTCGTACTGTGGTTGGGGTGTTAGTGGCCACTCGCTCAGATATTGGAAGAAGAAGAATCTCTCTCTCTCTCTGTATGTGTCTCACCCATTGCAGGATACCGGTACCCGAGATGTGAAGCCAGAAGCCCGGCTTCTCAGGCGTATGGCCCTCTGCCAGCCCCTTTGCGATGGCCTTTGCGGATGGCTCATCATCAGCAGACCCAGCGGTGTCTAAGTCCCTCAATGTTAGCCTCTCATCCCATCTCATTTTCGCTCCTCAGTCAAGGACACTTTTCGTGAAATATGTTGAAGAGAGAAGTTTGAACGGACGGCACATACGAATAACTATATCAGCAGCAGCCGCCTCCTTCTCGATTACGCTCGCGTCCTCCAAACCGCCGAGTACTATGCGAACCTTGGGATACGCCTTCTTCACGGGAGCAGCACGCTCTTCATTGCGCACGAGGAGGGCGTATTCGTATTCCGGATGTTTCTCGTAAAGGGCGTAAAAGGCGTCGCCGCCAATGTAGCCTGACCACTCGTGTTAGCAAGAAGATCAAATAGATCGCTGGCCTCGGACATTTGCATGTCGGGAATGAAGGTCACTTCGTACCTGTGACACCCGTCCTGATTTATACATTAGCTATGGGATTTTTGAGAGAGCATGGACACTATGGGCATGCTCACAGAAAGATTTTGACAGTCATGTTAGATGGTTCGTCAATTTAGCAATATCTGTGTCTGATGAAAAGGATCCAATATGTCGAAAGGCAGTAAGATGATGCAAAAAAAGAAGGTCTACAAATATGAAGAAGTATGCCCGTCTCGTACTTATAAACTCCAAGCAACCCCGCCTCCATTGGACGTTGTTCCTCTGAGAGTTAAGACAGCTTATTAATTCCACGCGGAAACCGCTTAGCAACCACGTTCCGCGCAACGCACGCCGTGGCTCCCCCCAACAAGACAGCTATCCCAATTCGGTGACAATCAAGTACGATCTCAACATGGATGTCTAGAAACTTGGGAGACTACCCGCTCGTGCCCGCCTAGCTGCCGTTCTCGCGTGTAGAAATGCAGTGGGGTCATCCCGAACAACTGTACCTAGAAGCAATTGAGGGGTTGCGGTCGACAGGTTGTGACATCATGGATCAGCACGCCTTTTTTCTCTCTCCCCTATCTGATGGCGCCTTCGTCCCGCCTCTTTGTTTGCTGCTTACACTGCGAGCTGGTTGGAGCTTGCCAATCTCGTAGTGGTTGTGTTGTATTGTGCTGGTAGATCCGGGTTGACGATCCGCGGAATGGTCTGGTTCATCGGGCCCCCGCTTCTCTTGCTGCCCGCATGGGGGCATCGCCAAAGGGACTCGCTGTCTCAGAAGGAGACTTCGTCAGCGTGGAAGGCAAGTGTGAATCCTACCAGAGAGATATAGATAGGATCTTGGAGTGGAATCGGGTGTCACTTACCCTAAAGAGCTTCTTAAGTAAGTCGCCGGCTCAGTATATAAGGTAGGTCAGGTACTGACAATGAACTGAGGTCATTCTCGGAATCTCAGGCATTTCGCGTAGTATCAATTTGACTCACAAAGTATCCTTGGATACTGCTCTTATCTTCTCAGCCTAGCTTGCAGGTGTTTCTGCACAACTTCGCCTTTCCTCCTGATCCGGACGAATCAACCTCAATTTACACGACTTATACGACCCCGCGAACTGGCTGCCGCAGTGTCTCAGACACGCATGTCAAGCATCCAGATGAGAGTGAGCCTTCAAGAGTACCTGCCGGCGACTTCAAAGCACGGAGACTGAGTATGGGCACGTTGGCAAAGTTTTGATGCTGGTGGTTGCTCATCATTATATTTGAGGGCGTTCGCGTTGTTAAGAACTCGAACGCGCCCATTCAACTGCGGATTCTAATCCGAGTCTTTTCATCTCATATCGTCTATGTGTTGTCATCTCTCCAATCAGTTTGCCATCCAACTTTTTGTAACCCAAAACGCCGGCGCGATGTCACTCTCCGCGCGTGTCCTTGTGTAAGGAAATCGAAATCGATCAGATTCCAAGGAAAGAGACCACTTTTCGTCGACCCTTGACACCTGTCTCGGTTGGTATCAAAGCAAGTCATCCGACGGCTTGTATGTATGTACTTTCGAGAGTCCAGGCCGTGCCAAGTTGAATCGGAGACAACAGCCCGCCCATCGAAGATATGTGCTGATCATCGGGCTTGTATGAAGGGCACATACGGCCCACTTCCATACTGTCCTTTATGCGTCTTCGAGGAGGATGACGGTCTTGGTGTCGCCGAGCTTCTCACGGCCGTTCAGACCGGGAATTTCCAAGATGAAGAGATAGCCGACAATCTCACCGCCGAGCTGCTTGATGAGGTCGGCCGCAGCCTTTGCGGAACCACCTATTTCGTGTTAATGGACCTGTACGATCCAGCCTCGGGGGAATGTTGCGCATTTCAGCACAGAGTATGTAGCTTACCAGTAGCAATAATGTCATCGACGACCAGGACCTTCTGGCCAGGCTTGATGGCATCCTGCTGCATCTGGAAGAAGTCGGAGCCGTACTCCTTCTGGTACTCGGCGGTAACGCACGGGCCGGGCAGCTTGCCCTGCTTGCGCACCGGGGCGAAGCCGGTGCCGAGACGGAGGGCCATGCCGGGGCCAAAAAGGAAACCACGGGCGTCGAGACCGACAATGACGTCGGGAAGAGTCGGGAAAGCCTCCTTGACCTGCAACTCAAGGGCATCGCCGAGAGTCTGGTGAACTGTGGGGTCGAGGAAGAGGGGCATGATGTCGACAAAGTCGATTCCCTTGATGGGGAAATCAGCAAAGTGACGCAGAGCGCCCGTGAGCTTCACCTTCCCACTGGCGAGTTCGGAGGAGGCGGCGGAGGCGGCGGCGGGCTGTCGTCCCTGGGCATCTTGAGGGTGGACGGGGTGGGCGGCCAAAGGGTTGATTGTAGCCGCAGAGGCGTCGTTTGAGAGGGGGAGTTGTTCGGAGGACATTGTGAAGAGAGGAGAGGGGAGGAACAGGCGGGTTAAGAAGGTCTTCTGGGCGGATTGGAAAGCAATGATATGAGTCTGTCTGTATCTAGGTTGGCAGAAGAAAATTTTGGGGTCGGATCCCGGAGAGTAGACTGAGTGTGAGCGAGAGAGGAGGGGTGTGGGACACGAACAAGTGGCAGGTGGTAAAAAACGACGGTAAGGTTAGGTTGGCTAGCACGCAAAGGTAGACAAGGTCCTGAGGGTACGTGGAGATTGTATTGGAGCTGCTAAGACAACGGAGTTACTAGGTACCGGTTCCTTATTCTGACCGAGGGGTCATGGAGGGGTGAGGAGGTGTGCGTGTGTGCCAGTGTGTGTAAGGTACTCCGTACCCATCGGGACTGAACTGAGGTGTGTGAGAAAAGAGTGTGGGAAAGAGACTGGCAGGCTAGTCCAGCTCGGCTCGCCGGGGGTGGAGAGTAAGACAAGGCATGAAATCACGAAAGCAGGCTGGCAGACGGCGTGCAGGAAGGTCAATAAGATACCTTAGGTACAGAGAGTATCAACTGTGTATGGTCAGGGGTCATGGAGGTAGCAGAGGCGGGAAGAGAAAAATAAGGAAGAAAAAATCTACTAGGGCGGCTGGGTAGCGTAGACTCCGGAGAGTGGTGAGAGTGAGAGTGAGTGTGAACGCGCGCCATCGATTAGGAAGTGGAGAGTTGTGATACGGGTAGGGTGTCACTACGTGTGGTGCGAAGTGGGCAGGTCGATTGCAACTTGCCCAAGAGTGGTCCGCCGCGAAAATGACAGCGATGAGGGTACATGGCCAAGCTGGTCCAAGGCTTGATAGGAAAAGCTCATTTAAGGCGCTTCGGGATATGCCTTAGATAGGATGGCGAGCGTTCATTATCTTTGCTTTTCCTTTGTCTCTCCTGACTTCCGAGCGCTGCCTGTTGATGCCCTCTCTGTCTCTTCGTTGCCGCCCAACTTGGGAAGCCCATTGTGTTGAAACATACGGCTCAAGCAAGTTCATGTTGACTCGGAGATACCTCAAAAAGGTGCCGTAGTTTCCGCAGATGAGCAACCAATAGATGCTGGGGAGCACTTGATTCCTTTCTGGGCTGTTTCTCGTCTCTTAGGTCGCGCGATATCGTATCTGGCTGTAATAGCAAATGGTAAGCCGGCAACGGCGCAGGTGGGAGGTGGGATGTCTTTCAGCCAAAATTGATTGCCCCTCCATCGCAGCAGCAACGACCCCTCCATATCCCAAGGCAGGGGACCTTGGACCGTGGACGAACGGACCAGGGAGCGCAAGAAGCAGTTCCCCACCATGCCACCACCTCCGAGAAAGGGACCGTGACACAAGCTGTCTCTGTCTCACCCTCGCCAGGCAGCCCAGCACAAACGCCAGGAAGCCTCTGGATGTTGCATGGCACGTTATCACCCGGGCCGTGAATCAATGATAGCGGCATCCCTTGTCTTCTCCTTCTTTTCGTAGGCCTTTCCCTCACCAAGAACGGGCATGCGCATAGACATCATGTCATGGCCCTGAAGGGTGTGAGCTAGTTTTCGGTGAGTAGCTTCGTCAAGCGCTGCAGAGAAACCTGTCTAGGCAGTCTGCAGGTGGACGACATGAACTTTGGTTGTGAATGTGGTTTGCTCTGAAGAGACGAAGTACCAGAACCGGAAGACATTTAGCCTTGGACCAGGGCCCTTGTCTTTTTTCCCTGTCAGACACCGATGAGGAGGAGCGCAGCGATGAATGGCGAATGTGGTGCAGTGTCCTGCATGCGCGTGTAGGTGGTACAAACATGCCGTGCTATTTCATCACCGCAATACCCGTACAGGCCCGTACGGATAGCGCAAGGCAAAGCAGGCATGGCAGGCTGTTCGAAGTTCGAACAACCCGGAGGGCTGTCAACGGTTTGGTTGCACATACAGCTTGCGCCATGGCGAAGTTGCGGCGACGGTGGTTCTCAATACTGCCAGCGAGAATCGCACTGGTACCGATTTATGTGGATCATGCTACCTTCCAGGTTAGTGATTGAAGCTTGAGGATGGTAGGCACTAGGGTCCTGAAGACCCGATGATACCGGAAACATCTCAGCTCGTTTCAAACGTCCGAATTATTGTGCTTTGGGTGAATAGGTCAAGGGTGGATAATAAGAGAGCCGTGAATGTGCTGATGTGGATTAGATGAGCTGTCGATGTGGCAGAGGAGGTCGAGAAGCACGCTCGAGCACACATCGGAAGAGGTACTACCTGATTATGAGGCAAGTAATTTCGTAGGAGAAATAGAGGAAAGGCATAGTACACAGTTGGTAACAATCCTGGAGTGTCGACTTGCATAGGAACGTTCTTGCCTATCTTCCCAGCCCGAGGCATCTACCTTAAGGTAGTGACCTGCCTCATAATATTATCCTCATTCATGACAAGCAGGAACCACCTCAGTACCCAAGGTACCTCGAGGCTCATGGGCTCTTTCCTGCTCCATTTGGTCTCGAGGCAGGTTAGGTAGTCACTGCTGAGGAGCCTTTGCTATCGCTCTTGCCTACGTACACGACTCTTCGAACTTGCTCCTTCAAACGGCCCCCAGCTCAAGTTAAACGGGCCGCTTGAGGCGAACTGCGGCTTACGAGCAGCTATCCCTCCACTCCACCCATTTCCTGAGGTAGAACATACCATTCCTGCTCCTATTTTGCTTCTAGATGCATTCGGCCCATGCATTATTCCTCTTTTCTGCAAAGCCAATTATAGCGTACAGACACTACAAAGTCGACCCGGTGTCTTGGCTGTACATACGGAGCACTTCCTTGGACTGCTAACCTACCTAGCTTCGTCCTCTCCAGCCAAGGGAGTGTACGGCAGCCAACACAAACCTCCACATATCGGGACACTTATACGGCATGGCCTCGATAGAACACTTTGCTCAGGCCCAACAATGCTCAAACCCGAGCCAAACCGGAACGGCCAAATCGTTACGGCAGATGTTCAGGAGTACTCCTAAGTGCTGTACCTGCACCCACAGCTTGCACTTGTACTAAGTTAACTTGATTCTGTTGAGGGCTTACATATCAAAGCCCACTTGTCCGGTACCTGTCTGACAGGCAACATGGTTCCGCGTCTTCTCACCTTACTGCGTATGTATGAGCTTCAGCCACCAGCAACGATGGGGTCCTACCGCTGTGCCATTCCGTCAATTATCAGCTTCCACCCCACCCATTACGTCGCGGGGTCTCGCCCGTTCACTGTTCCCATCGAGCCAAAACGTTCCGAGAGAAAGACAAGCCGCCGCCGCAACATCCTGCTATCACTTCGCATTGAGTCACGGCCGCGGCCAGGGTCGCCGTCGAATCACACTTCAAAGGTCCCCTGTGAACGACATGTGCCCCCGCGCTCTCGACAGGAAACGAGCCGTATCACTTGGGATATCCCGTTGATCTCAAGCGCCAATGCATACCGCGATCCAAGCAGCCGCCGACTCATCCCACTACCACACCACAATGTTGACCACCCACGAATCCTGCCAAACGAGACTCGGCACCTCAGTGAACCAATGCCTAGTACCAACCTTAGTATCCGTATACCTAGTGTACGTATGCCTCTACCAGGACATACGAAGGACTCAGCCCTGGCATGGACGGGCCCATCTTCTTGGCAACCCCATCAGATTCTGTCCGAATGTTTCGAGACCATCTTATCCGATCATTTCCGCCCAGCCGTCCGTTGTCCTGGAACCTTCCTTTCCGATTCCTAGCATGTCACCAATAGCCCAGTCTAGAACCTAAGCTTCGATCCTGCTTCCCGTCAACTTTCGAAGATCTTCGTCCATATTTCACCTGGAGCTTGGGAAAGCTGGTGAACAGTGTACCTGGTCGATAGAGTCTGGATCGCAACCGCTGCTGCCGTTGTCTCCACAACATCACTACACGTCCTACAGCCATGCGATTCCGATATAGATACCAAGTGGTAAACTACGTTATAACACACGAGAATCGCTGTCTATAATCACAATACATGCACAGACATGTAGCGTCCCATCCCAGGTCGGAAGCCATTCCGCCAAACGCATTTAAACAGTGCCACCCCTGGCCCTTCTGCTGAGTGGCCGAAATCAACATATTTTTTTGTCATCGATTTGCCATCAGGCCCCGTTCAAGCCAAGGACAAGACGCGGCCTCCCCACGGACAGTGGAACTCGATTTCATCGGGCGGCTCGGACAGAGATGTCAGCCGCTGTACCTTGGTGTCTTTGCCGGGCAAAAGGTCTCTCCTCGGGTTCTTTGGAACTAATATACCTCTGTAGAATACTAAGAACAATTGCCTTTCCCAACGAAACATAACGGGCTCTCTCGGTCATCCGGTAGTCATCAGGAATTCCCTGCAACAGGCCAACACTATGAGTCCGGAACAAACTGTGGAAGCACTTCCTATACGAGCCGGGGATTATCGTAGCCGCAACATGAGACGGAAAGCTTCACATGCCCGGGGCCAGCGGCGACCAAAATTGGGTGCATTAGCGGCGTCCAAAACGCTCCGGCACAGGTGGAAACGGACCCGTTGACGCAACCTCACGGCAGCAAGTTTTCACAACCGGATGCCTTATTGACGGCCCCTACCCTTTCCGTTTGGCCTTGAGAAGCTTGATGATGCCGTAGCTCCGGCGCCGCTAGCGGGTAGTCGATGCAAATGAGTCAGTCTTTCATGGCCGACCATCGAGCGACCTATTCCTCACCGCTACTGTCCGAGTCTGGTGTCATTGGCTCCGTGATCTGGAGAAAGAAGGAAAAGGCCTAGGAGAAGAATATGCAACTGTGGGTAACTATTTGCTGACGTCGCTCGAATCTTTGTAGGGAAGATGCAGTCAGAGACTATTGGGTCGATGTCCTATTCGTGCCAGGTGGCATTGGTATCTCTGATGGCTGTTGGCCGGCTGCAATCAGCCCCCATTCCAACTCGTCCGGGGAAAGCGGCTATCCGTGGACCAATTCTGCGCGCTGATGATGTTTCTTTGCTTTTTCTCTCTCTCTGCCTGTTAGGCAACGGCGTCGTCTCGCCGACGCAACCACGGTTACCGCTGTGGCCGGCCCTACCCAAAACCGGAATGAAGCTCGCTGGTTCCACGGGATCTGTCGGGACTCTACAGAGACCGTTCAGCGGCTTCGGTTTCCACGAGTGGCCAGAGCGAGCCGCACCAAAGCTTGACCGAGTCGCGATGCTCTGGATGAAGAGGGTGTCGACCGCGTGTGTCATGGCTCCAAGACGGAGGAGTGTGGTGGTAGGACGACATCATGCAGGTAGCCGATTTCGATTTTGACGGCGCCAATGAGCTTCCTAGATGGCCGATTGAATGAGGATCTTTGGAGACAAGAAGCAGACTGCGCGACTCAACGGCTTTGGCAGTATTGCGTTTTCTCTTTTTCCAACTCTACACTGATTTAGTTTACTCTGTAAGTAGATAGTCACTCTTATTCATTCGCCTCTTGTTTTCCTGCAGGTCATGTATATTCATCAAAGCGGTCAAATTAAGTCACCAAAGTGATTGTTGGGTCGTCTAACATGTTGATCATTAATCTCTACGTAAGTATTAACATTCTATCTTTCTTTCTACCCCCCAGAAAAGAAAACTAGTAACCGATCTTTCGTAACAATCATGCCAAGGAAGGGAACTGATGAGTTTTTGGTATCTCTAATCTAATAAAACGTGGAAACCATGAGCGAGTATGGGGTATTAAAAAGAGGGAGGAAACGAGACGAGGAAGTGGGGGTATCTTTCTTGGTTCTTTCCGCACCAATTAGCCAAAAACGCAGACGCGGCAAGAGAACAGAATAAAGAACAACATGTACGCCCAAGGTATGCGAAAGAGAAAGAAAGTTGTTCGTTATCCATCCATGAAAGAAAGAAAGAAAAAGTCGTACGCCGGTTATTGTTGGTATCGCTCGATGCTGAGAGAGAAGGAAAAAGTAACCCAGAATGCCGTGTTACACACCCTGGACAGAGTGCAATCTCTTGCCGAAAGAAATGAAGGCGCTCAATGAGAGTTCGGATAACGCCTCTGCAATGGGGGAAACCGTTCGATGTAATGGTGATAAGATAGGGCGATATCGGCATGTAGGAGCCGAAGAGAAAGCCAGCGGGAACCAGCCGAGTTTGGGGTTGAGGGCGTTTGCGTCTGATTGTTCCGCTTCCTTTCCATCAGTGGAACTGCAGCCGGATGATGGAGAAGAACATGTTCTGCAGGACGTGGAACATGACAGCCACGCTCGTCGGGAGCAGCTCCGGCCACACGGCGAGGTCAAGCTTGCCCTCCATACCGACATCGACGCCGAAGAACCAGCTGATGAGCCCGCGTACGATGACGGAGGCGACGAGCTCGCAGGCCCAGGTGACGGACGAGGCCCAAAAGGTGAGACGAAAATCGTAGTCGTAGTCGTCGCCCGTCACTTTCCCGTCAAAGGCGAAGTATGGGTAGACGTCCTTGTTGGGCCCAAAGTGCAGGACCAGCACGCTGCCGAGGAAGGCGGCCATGGAGACGTTCTCGGCGAGGAAGCGGATGAAGACGTTGCGGGTGCAAACTTTTTGGTACGAGGCGTAGGACTGGTCCGTGAAGTTAAGGGCGACGGTGATGCGGTGGTAGAGGCGGGACATTGTGAGCGGGGTGAGGATGATGAGCGTGCTGCTGGAGAGGATCTGGAGGTAGATGAACTGTTCCGGGGAGCGGAGGCGCGCGTACAGAGCGCGGACGTAGGTTTGGTAGGTGAGCATAAAGTATCTGGATGGTGGTGTCAGTTGAATGTTGAATCACTCATGCCAAGTGGTGAAGGAGTACACTTACAGTTTGAAGACCCAACTCAGGGGGTAGCTCCCCACTCGTTCGCCCTCGCGGATACCCAGAAGCCAGCCCGTGAGAGCATCAAGTAAATGAACCGTGATGATCCAGCTGTAGACGTACACGATGGTCTCCAAGTTGTTGTGAGGCAGCGTGCGCAGGTAAATCTCAGCGTAGGCCTCTCCTATGACGTACGCCATGAGCCCGACAAAAAGGGCCAAGCAGAACCAGATGAAGCGGACGAAGCTGGCGGGAAGCCACCTACGGCGCATCCTAACGCCGCCCATATTGCGAGACTGCTCAGCGGCGACCTGGAGCGTCGCGTCCGGGTCAAAGGCATCGCTGCTGAGATTCGGCCGCCGGCGATTATCGCGACGGGGGATGCTCCCTTCGGCCTCGCCCGTCCACCAGGACGTGGTGAAGATGCGTTGGGTCTCGGAGAGCGACTGGCGCAGCTTCAGGTGACGCTGGGAGGTAAGGAGGATGCAAAAGGCAATGGCAACTGGCATGGCCATGACGATGAAGGTCCAGGAAATCCAGGCCGTGTTGTGAGCGGTGAGGAAGCGCGTCTCTGGGACCAGGTAGATGGGGATAGGGACTGCTATCGAGATGAGGGCGATAATGGACATCGTAACGGGAAAGCCAAAGGATTGCGGCCACCTATGATTGAGTGTAAGTATGTCTAGGTGCTTCTGAGGAGCGTGAAAGGGGGTCTGACGTACCAGTTCAAGCTGTACAAGTTGAAGACCTTGGTGATCCATATCAGAGCCGTAATGTTGTAGAAACCGTAGTACACGAAGAGAAAGAACCAAAAATTGATCTGAACTCTTGCTTCTCCGTGGCCGGGTATCTTACGCCCAGACCCTGGCAGGGGCTCACTTCGATCATCGTCATCCTCGCCGGGAAAGGAGTACTTTGGGAACGGTATCGCACACCACGCAATAGCCTAAGTTTCCCTCCCGTGTTAGTCCCAATCACTCGCCAACTCTTCGATCCGTCCGTCCCCTTGTCAAAAGAATTGCCAAACATACCAGAACAGCAGGCATCAGCACCAAGACTCCATACCGACTCCACCACACGTCGACAACGCCCTTGACGGCACTCTGCTTCGGTTCGACCCAGACGTTGGAGATCTTGCGCCAGGTGCGCGCCCACGCGCTCAAGTCCTCCCAGTCGCCGCCCCTTGCAGCATCATTATCGTGGTTCTCGAGCCCCGAGGCGGACAGAAGCGCGCCGTAGCCGACGTATACGCTTCCACGGTTGTTAGACGTGAACAAGCCAAGGGTGCTGGAGCGGCGGCGGCGGCCGGGGACGTCGGATCGCGGGGGTACGGCGCGGAAACGGCCCAGCAGCGGGGAGGCGTCGCTCGTGAGGCGGGTGCGGGACTCGTTGCCTTGGGTGAATTGGAAGAAGCTCGGCATCGCTTGAATCTGTGAGGTTCGGTGGGTAGGTCTTCTATCTTTGCGACATTTGGGGTGTGTTGTTGTTGTTTTGTTTCTTTGGTTTGGGGAAAAGTCTCGTCGTGTGCTTTTTCCTTCTTTGATTTTTAACCTCGTTTCGACGCGATTTCTATGTTCTTTGGAGAGAAGTAGTTGTAAGCTCGTCTAACACGTTGTTATACAGAGACGCTGTGCTGAACTAGACAAATGCACAAAGGCGGATCTTGAAATCGTCGTGTGGGCGTCGGAAGCTCGTGGTGTGAGGTGAAGGAATCCCGGACGACCGTCCTGTGTAAATTGGGATTTCAGTGCGCTTATGACGCTAAGGCCGCCATGTACCTGGGACGGTCCCTGGAATCTCGGTGGGCATGGCGGATCCAACGTCCTTGTACAGCGGGCGCTAGCGCGTATTGGGCGGAGCATGGAGTGCGTTGGCAGTGGGGGCTTCGGCCACGTTCTGCCCCCCGATGTGCCCCCGGCCCCGGACTGATGGCGTAAGAGGACGGATGCATCAATCATTCGCATATCAAACGGAACAGGGGAGATGAGCTTGTAATGCGATGTTGAGATGACAAGATAATAAGCCTTGCATTCGTGACTTCCTAAAGAGTTGGATTACTACCGCATATCCGTCCATGTCTCTTAAGGACTCTCAGCAACTCCTTGCGTATGCGTATTGATGATCGCTTGCTTGTGCTGTCTTCGGACGAAGACGCTGCCTAGAAAGATGAAGACCTCATGATGCCCGTGCTAAGTCGTGCAATGGTGTACAGTGTGGTTATTTGTAGCCTCTTTACTCGTCCTGGTCCATTGTCTCCTCGAACCCTTCTGAGTCGCCAGTATCCGTATCGTCAGAATCATCTCTATCTTGAGAAACATCAATAAACTCGGTGCTGTTCATGCCTTCGCCCTCTTCGCTATCAGCGTTGCCCTCCGTGCCAATTTCACTCTGGGAATCCTTGGCGTCGTCTAGAAAGGCCACGACTTTGGCAGTTGGCGACTTCTTTGGTGGCTCTAAAACGTCGCCGCTCCATGGCTTGCACTCTTTGACGAGCTCGCCACACTTGAGACACGTCCAGCCTTCACCTTCTTCGCGCTCTAGTCGAGTTGCGATGCAGACAAAGCAATAGATGCAGCCGCAAGGAATGGTCTCGTAAGGATTGGTGATATCGGTTTGGGATGAGCCGATAACACCGCTTGATGCGGCCGCTGCCATGATCTCGGTTTCTGTGCTCGCAAGGGCGTTCTGATCCTGATAGCATATGGCGCATGTGCGTTCGGGCAAAAAGCCCAATTCGCCATTAGCCGACTTATCTTCGTCTCCCTTTGTGGTGATGATCTCTTTCGTCTTGCGCCATGTCCTTGAAATCCACCTCCTCCACCGGTTGATGCCAACGAGCGGCAGTATGAATAGCAGAAACTCCGTGAAAGCGTGCCAAACAAGTTGTCGGTTAAGGTATTCAAAAGAGACCTCTCGGCTCACCTGACTAGTTGGTGGAGCCAGGCGCATTCGTAAGACTCTATCGAGAAGGGTGCGATATCTTCCTTGCAGTAGAAAGACGAGAAACGAAACGAAGGCTGCTCCAGCGTGGAGCGTCGTTATCCGAGACGTCAGCCGCGACAATCTTTGAAGTCGAGGGTTGGGCTCGTCGCTATAACCATCGTCGTTCTCGAGCAACCAGTTTTCCCACTTCTCCCAGCCGTATTTCCCAAATACGGTGGCCAATCCGTATAGTGACTTCTGCCACCTAGATGGCGCAACGAGGACGGATCCATCTTTGCGCGCATCCGTGTATTTCAGGTTCTGTAGAGCTGCTCCATATGTCGCGTCGTTGTCCCAGACTGTCAACTTGAATAGGATGGCGCGAAGTGCAAGAAGGATCTCGGCAGACCAGTCGTCTTTCAGGTGGCCGCCAGCGAAGTACTTGAGCGCATCGCCAACCTGGCCGCGAAGCAACTCCAATAGTTCGTCATCGAGTAATTCTGCGTCGACTTGCCCGACCCTGAAGGCGGGGCGAGTGCCGTCTTGCGTTGATATCGAGTCCCATGCTGAACCGAGGCGACTGAAAGGGAAGGGCAAACGATCAATCTGGGCGCGGGCGCGCGAGGAATCACGCTGGGCGGCGAGTCGTGCTGCGTTATCGGCTTCGCGGGCTTGTCGTCGTGCTGCCAGGCGCTGCTGCGCTTGCGCAAAGTTGGTCGATGTCATCTGGGCAGCATTGGGTGGTGAAAGGTGGTGGTGAGGTGCAAATTGCGATGCATCACACCTCTTCCCCCAAGTGGCTGATGATAAGGTGACGGGATGTCTGGCACCTCGAGAGTGGTAAGTGGAGGAAAAGCCGAGGTCCGCTCTGCTCACCTGCATCGGCTGCCACCAAACCCGCCTGCGCTGCTCAAGTCCCGGAGGCCCCTGCCTACCGCGGATGGGCTGGGGATTATTAGCTGAGCCATGACCTGGGCGGGAGTGGCCTGAGCCGAGAATCGGCCGGAGGCTGGAGTCTGACGTCCCGGGACGCCCGTGCCCTTCCAGTGGAGGTCAGGTCCCCTGTCCTTCTTGTACGACCACGGCTTCCTGAACCCCCGACTCTTAATCATTACCTTACCAAAGCAACTCTACTTTGAGCAAGTTGGCTGTGGTCTTACAAACCAATATACATCTCTGTCATGCTGTTTACTGATTGCTCTGCAGATGCGATGCAGAAGACAGGCTTACATCAGACGGTGTGTCACCAACCTGGACCCCTGTACAACCTCAGAGCGGGAGGAGGTTGAGTGCTTGAGATGAACGTGCCTCATTCACCAACCCTTGCCGCCATAGGGACGGAATACTACCGCAGATAGTCATCGTCTCCGCATCTCTGCCATCACTGAAGGTTGTCGACATGAACACGAGCGGACATACCCGACACGCCATGCGCCATTCTATAGCACTGTGCTAAGACGGGGAGGTGACCCTTGCCTTACCCGCAGACATCTTCGCAGCTTTAGGGTGTGACAAGAAGGAGAGAAGAAGGGAATCTTGCATTCAATTCGCCAACGTCCGGCCACCACAGCTGCAGCATCAGGTCAAGCTTATGTCGACTAGCGCCAACAACCCATCTTCTCGGCCTTACAAGTCTGAGAGGCTTGCAAGGCATTCTCAGGGCATTCTTCGCTTGTCAGATTCTTGCCCTGTTGTCTCAAGCGATTTGCGATTACCCTGAATTGACATCTCCAAGCCCATCTCTCTCACGCGGAGCTAATCTGACCGCCGGAGTTGAGCGAGGCCAATGACGCACATCGTGAATTGGACGTGTGTGAAGCCTTCATCACATCGCATCGTCGGTGGTAACGTTACCCAGTAACCAAAAGCCCGCTCAACCTCAGTATACACAGCGCCCCGGGTTTGACTTGATCGTACTACACAAGCTTTCAAAACTCGTTGACAAGGGTTACAGTCAACGAGGAGCTCGCCTATCGTGACGAGATCTATTTTACTGTTAGCAATCTAAGCCTGAAGAGTAAAGAGTAGAGGACCAACCTCGTGCCTTGCGCTAGAAGCTTCCATCAAACATCGCTGCCTACTCAAACCTGCTGAAAATGCAATGTGAGTCTATCTCTAGCTGGATTCAATGACAGGATAACTGAAGACACTGGTTCTTGGGTCGACAGACGGGTAGAGCGGGAGGCTCAGACTAGACATCGTGCAGCAGGCTTGCTAGGAACCGTATACCTGCATGAAGGCATTCCTAATTCGGAAAAAGTGTACACTCTAGGCATCCTCTGCCCAATCGACCGGGACGCAGGCGTGGCTCAACACGGCTTCGACGTAACCCGGCCCATACCTAGCCTCTCACAGTGGTGCTTACCAAGATGCTTCTATTTTCACTTATCGCTTCAGAGTCACTCACTCACCGCGCCTTTTTGTGGTTCCAGCTCCAGAAACAGTGTCCGAAGTGGCTCGGAGCATGGCAAAGTGGCGGGCGGCCCGAACAACCAGCGCGTATTGAGAACTACGGAACGCTTTTCTGTTATGTCATCTCTCTTCACCCATTCCCTTCCCCGGGCGATGTCTTGCATGCCCAGATTGGGCTGGTCAAGATGTGAACGTGACATTGAGGCATCCAGTATATTGACAGGGGCAGAGACGGTTAAGAGTTCGTCCATCGTCAGTTGTCAAGGCGAAGATTTACATAAACACCAGCAGCGTCTTCTTTGAACTTGGACGATCTGAACACAGAGAAGCAATCTGGCATATGAAGAAGATCAGATCCTCCTTCACAGTCAATCACGACGTCAAACTAAGCTCACTGTAGTTCACGATGGAGCTCACGCCAAACACCAGCCCAAGGGAAGCCAATAGCCCGGGAGATACGCAGCAACGTGCTGGGGCCGCCAAATCAAAAGCCACCATTAGAGCATCCCTCGCCTGTGTGCCCTGTCGATCAAAGCACGTCAAGTGTGACTCGGCCTTACCAACCTGCCTAAGATGCCGCTTGGAAGAAAAGACCTGCTACTACGCAAAGTCTCGCCGAGGTATTCGGGATGCCAAGAAACGCAGCCTCATCAACGATCCTATCGCACCTCCTTCAGTCTCGCCGGACACGCCAGTCTCTTTCCCATCTCCCGAGGTGGCGAGCTTCGATATTCCCATTCATGTAGTCGACAAGCTACCCTGTGGATGGTCTCTGGCCAGGAGCTCTCATCTTCCTGACTTGAACACCGCATCACCGACTTCGCTGCTCTTCGACCTTTACTTCACCAACTTTCACGATACCCATCCGTGGCTCCTCCCCAGAAACCAGCTCCTAAGTCGTATTCGGTCGAACCCTGAGCCTTTCCATTTCCTCACAAGCTGTATCATGTACGTGGGATCACTCTTCTCAAATGCTGTCTCATCAGAGGAACTTCGAGAGAAAGCATTCAGTCTCGCAAGTGGCAGCTTGCCTATGACTTGCTGGACTGTACAGGGTCTGCTCGTTCTCAGTGTTGCCGCTTTTGGCGAGGGTCGATTGGACTTGAGTGCGGGGTGGATGGACGCTGCGACTCAGATTGCCCTCGATCTCGGCATGCAAGATAAGTCGTTTGCAGATGCCGCAGGTGATCCTTTCGTCGCAGAGAGCTCACGGAGGACCTACTGGGCCCTGTACTGGCAAGGCAACATGCGAGCGATGCGCGAGGACTCGCCCACTTTCATGTTGTCCGGCGTTGTCGCAACCACTGAACTTCCATGTGAAGAATGGGAATATCAGTCAGGGGTAAGTCACTATTGCCGCCAATCTGATATTGGTGCTAACAAAAGCCAGGAGATCCCACAGCCGCTGTCCCTGAAGAAGTACAACGCAAGAGATCCTATGGATGAAACGAGCTATTCGTCGTGGACGTATCTCATTGATCTGTGCCGGTTGAGCACGGAGTTGATACTCCCTATGCCAACACTGCCACCAGGACTGTTGTCTAATGCCATCGATAGAGCCGACTCCAGATTGGTCAGTTGGCTCATTAATCTACCTAAATGGAAACAACAGTTGGTGGACTCGGGAGGTGCAGTTGATATGGTTCTGTTTCACGCGATGGCCTACGCGCATAGGTGAGTGCCTATCTTCCGTCCATAAAGTAGTCTGATGCTCCATAATACTAATCGAAAGACAGCCTGAGGATCAAGATGCAACTACCCATGGAAGCGTCGGGATTTGGGATCCGGGACCTGCTCACGCTTGGCCCGCTCTTCAAAGCGCGCGACATGACCTTACCTCGGATGCCGCGATGCTCCAGCTCGCCGTATCCATGGCTCGAATGCTCAACCGCCCTACAAGCAGGCCTCTCAACAATCGGTCTCTTCAACTTCTCGCTGCCGCCGGCCCGATACAGCCCTGCGTGCATCATCGGGCTGCGAAGGGCCGCTCTCGCACTGCTTGATGCGAGAATGTATGGTGGGTCAGATTCACCGGCTCTGCTTGAGAAGCTTGATCTCCTGCTCGGCGTACTCAAGGTTGCCGGAGAGATGTGGCCCATCGCAAGAAGCATTGGCAATGAGGTCAGTGATGTGTTGAGAGAGCTTAGTGTGACCAGCAGCCGTAACAACGTCAATCAGTTGAATTCATGCATGGATGCTTTCATCACCGATATGTCAGCTTCTGCTGTGGCTCCGGATCCTGGCATGTTTCCATTCCCTGAGCCAAGAACAGTGGAGGAGATGTTCAACTGGAGCACTGGAATCATGAACATGGGATTGTGAGATGATGATAGCGGTAGGATTATGAGCTAGGCGCATGGTTATTTCTCTGGACGTTCTGAGTAGAGACTCAGCTACACAGGAGTAAGAGCATCAAAAATGATTGGTAGTCATCGGATTCATCGAGAAAGGCTTGGTTTTCGTGTTTGGTTTCTACAGCGCTTAGATGTATCCCTGCGTCAATGATATGGTTTCTCATCTTGTCTCCGCCTAAGAATCATTTTGGCTTGACCATAGACAGAAGAAATTTGTAACTGACGTGACAGTCGAAGTAAAGCTTGTGGCACACATCCAGGGCAAAGGTTCGTTGTATGAATGCTGCTGCATTGCTAGAAGCATATGCTTCTTCTCTTGGCCATGTGGGATGCCATTGTGCAGGTAACCTTATTTCGCCTTGTAAGGTGTGTCGTCAGGACGGGAGAGTTTCTCAGGGCGCTTAGAGTGACATCCTGCGTTTTCCAACAGCAAACAGCGCCCATGCTCCTCAAACGCCCCACTACCCCGCGATGGACCGCCCTCTACACCAGTGCCCCGCCACAGCGATAAGACGGCCTGGGTCTAAATTTCCAACCGCTTCTTCGTACTTCACGCCGCCTTCTCGAATACGAGACTTCAACCTCTCGACAACACCAACCCGAAACTCCTTGGGATCGAAACGACTGTGGTATCGACACCTTGGTCGCTCACCAAGAAGACCACAACATGAGCTTCGCGATCGAGGTGCCCGGCGATGCCAACCCCCTCAGCCTGCAGGAGCTCTGCCGCGTTCTCGAATCCGCGACTTCGGCCGACTACGCGCGCAGACAGGCCGCTGGACAACAGCTGACATCATGGGAAACGGAGAAGGGATACTTCTCTTCCCTTCAGGTATGTAAATCCACCCTTTGTGTACGATGTGATCAAGTAACTGATCGACGCGCTATCCCTAGACCGTTTTTCTCGATAAGTCCCTTCCCCACGAGCTTCGATTCCTAGCCGTCATTCAGCTTAAGAACGGCATCGACAAGTACTGGCGCCTGCTCCCCCACGTCAAAGGTGGACTGGACCCGGAAGAGAAGAATGTCGTCCGGCAACGCTTGTTCCAGGGCACGCTCGAAGAGGAGGAGACAGGACTGTCGCTGCACAACTCCCTCGTCACCGCTAAAGTCATTAGGATTGACTACCCGCAGCACTGGCCGGAAGCACTCTCGCAAATCATCGGCTTGGTCAGGTCCTCAAAGAACGGCAACCAGCAGCATCTTTATGGTTCTCTCCAGATCCTCCTTCGCGTTGTGAAGGAGCTGGGCACCGCTCGCCTCAGAAGATCCCAAACCGCCCTCCAGTCTGTCACCCCCGAAATGGTGTACTTGCTGGGAGAGATTTACACAGAAAAGTCAGCAGTCTGGGTTGATTATCTCACGAGTGGTCGTGGCGAGGAGGATGCAGCCGATGCGGCTATGCTCAACAGTCTCATCTCTCTCAAAACCATTAGACGGTTGCTCGTGGTAGGCTATGAGGCTCCTCATAACGACAAGACGGTCGAACAGTTTTGGACCGTGTCTCAAAATCACTTTGGCCAATTTCTTGGCTTTGTGAGCCACGACTCACCAGTCCCGGCACCCTATCAAGATACGGTAGGAAAGCACCTCCTGCAGTTTACAAAGCTGCATATCGACATGTCCGAGGCGCATCCCGCCAGTTTCGCCGTTTTGCCCAATTCTTTACCCTTGGTCCACGCCTACTGGGATCTCGTTGCGAAGTTTGCAGAAGTTTTCGAAAAGTCAGGTGGCATCCGGCAGTCTTCCGGTGATTCGGGTCCATCAGAGTCAAAGTCAAAGGTCGAGGGACCCTTGCTGGAAAGACTGGCCCTGAGGGGCCTGCTGCTGATGAGAGCATGCTTGAGGATTGCATTTTATCCCAAGCAGACGTTCAAATTCCGGAGTGCGGAAGCTAAGAAGGACGAGAATGATGCTGTTGCGCTCATCAAGCAAGAGCTTCTCAAGGATGATTTCGTGGTCCAGATGGCGAATATCATCATCACACATCTCTTCGTCTTCCGGAAGGCAGATCTCGATGCATGGGAGGAAGACCCCGAGGAGTGGGAACAACAGGAACAGAGTGAGGGCAACGCCTACGAATGGGAAGTCCGCCCCTGCGCTGAGAAGCTCTTCCTTGACTTGCTTGTCAACTTCAAGGATCTCATGATACCACCTCTGCTTTCTTACTTCCAAACTGCGTCAAATTCACAGTCAGATATCGCTACAAAGGAAGCAGTGTATACGGCTATGGGCTTGGCTGCACCCAACGTCATGAACGCATTCGATTTTGATAGTCTCTTGGTCTCGACTGTTCTTCAAGATGCGCAGCAACAGGGGCCCTTGTATAAGGTTCTCCGCAGACGCATCGCAATCATGGTCAGCCAATGGGTTACGGTCAAGATTGCCGACAACAGTAGACCACTCATCTACGAAATGTTCCGCCACTTTCTCAATCCCGCGGACCCGAACAACGACATTGTCGTCAGAATCACAGCCGCGCGTCAGCTGCGGTGGATCGTGGACGAGCTTGCCTTCAGCGCAGAGGCTTTCCTCCCCTATGCAGCTGATGTGCTTAATGAGCTACTTCAGCTCATCCAAAATGTCGACGTGGACGAGACCAAGCTCGCCGTGCTGGAGTCTATGCGTATCTTGGTCACGAGACTAGAGAATTACGTCTCTCAGTTCGCAGACTTTATCATGTCAAGCCTACCGAGCATTTGGGAAAACTCTGGAACGGAGGAGTACATGATAAAACAGGCCATCATCGCGATTTTTGCCGCGCTGGTTATGTCCATGGGCAGCGACTCTCAGAGATACCATCACCTGATGGTCCCATTGCTCTCAGAAGCAGCCAAACCGGGCTCCGACCTGCACACGTACCTGATTGACGAGGCATTGGAGCTATGGAACTCTGTTCTCATGCAGAGCAACCCGCCCTTATCCGCAGATATTATGAGCATCGCGGAATTATCACTTCCCCTGCTGGAGTATCAAACGGAGACCGCTGCGCAGGCTTTGTCCGTGGTTGAGTCCTACATTCTCCTTGGCACACAAGCTGTCATGGAAGATAGATTGCGGCGTCCATTCTTGGTCGCTCTGTCAGGCGTTCTAGACTCTAGAAGCCGAGAGCAGGTCAGACTCGGCACCGTGTGCATTGAATATCTGATTCGGGCCGCCTCTGAGCTCGGCGGAACCCAGGTGATTACGCAGGATCTTCTCGAACTTGGTTTCTTGAAGAAGATTATGGAGGCTCTCCACGATGCTTGGGAGGCACACCAGACGACCGGACCGAACAGGAAGGTCAGCAAGCTCAACACGATAACAGAACGCGACTACTTTGCAATTCTCTCACGACTCCTTATCGCCGACCCGACACTCTTCGTCACCATGCTCACATCTTTCGGGCCTCTGGAACAGGTCTGGGCCTGGCTCAGCGGCGAGTGGTTCTCTCACCTCGACGGGCTGGATCATCTTCCTAGGCAGAAGCTGTCTCTCCTGGCCCTGGCGCGTCTGATGGAGCTCCCGCAGCCCATGCAGAACCTCACACTGAGTAAGTTGCAAGACTATTTCACGCTGTGGGTTGGCACCATTGCCGAGCTCCAGGACGGCACGACGGACGGCACCGACTCGCTCATCTGGGGTGAACTCGAGCCTACGGATTACGATACGCCCAAGAGCATCAAGGAAACGGAGTTCGGCGCCAAAGACCCCGTGCACACGATCAACGCCATGAGATTCGTGAAGGAGAGGCTGCAGGATATCGTCCAGCGCTCCGGTGGAGAACAGCAGTTTGAGCAGGAGTGGGCTGCCAACGTGGACAAGGATGTTTTGCAGAAGTTTTGGTCGTTGACGCAGATCACGGGTGCTTAGGGAGCCAGTGCTGCAGCTGCTGCGTTTGCGTGAGCTGGTCGTCGGGGCTGAGCTGTAATAGACGGGAAAACACGGGAATGATTATGATTTCATGACGAGGCTGTCAGATAGAGAAAGATAGGTGCTCATGGCGCATCTCCTGGCAATGGCAGATGTGAATACAGAAACGATTTGAAGCATAACGTCCGAAGCACCGGTTCGAAGAGAACGGGGTTTTATGGAATACTTGCATTGGTGGCATAAGTGACCGAATCAAAAGTCGTTCTAGATATGCCTCGCTCTAATCGCCAAGAAAACGACACTCTCATAGTAATCTTGTTCTACAACTTGCTCTGGCCATCCTGCGGGATCTTGACAACGACCTTACCCCAGGTCCCCCGGCTCCCCAGAGCAATAAGCGCGTCCGGGATGCGCTCGAGCCCGACAAACTCCTCGTCGGTGAACTCGGTGCCGCGCAGCTTCCCCTCGGCGACGAGCTTCATGATACCCTTCCACACCTCGACGACGGTCTCCTTCTCCTTGACAGCGTACTGGCCCCAAAAGATGCCGACGAGGCTGATGTTCTTGAGGAGCACCTTGTTCATGGCCACCTTTTCAATCTTGCCGGCCGCGAAGCCGATGATGAGGATGCGGCCGTTCCAGGCCGTGCACTTGGTGCTGGCGTCGACCATGCCGACGGGGTCGTAGACGATGTCGACGCCGCGGCCGCCGGGTGTGAGGGCTTTCACTTTGGCGGGCCAGTCGGCCTCGCGGTAGTCGACGACGTAGTCCGCGCCAAAGGCTTTGGCGACGTCGAGCTTGCGCGGGGTCGAGGCCGTGGCGATGACGGTGGCGCCGAAAGCCTTTGCGACTTGCACGGCGGCGAGGCCGACGCCTCCCGCGGCGGCGTGGACGAGGACGATGTCGCCGGGCTTCACGCCGGCGCGGACGACGAGGGCGCCGTAGGAGGTGGGCGCGGTGATGAAGAGGCCGGCGGCCTCGGTGTAGGACCAGCCGTCTGGGATGGGGAGGAGCTCCTTTTCGCGGGCGACGCACTGGGAGGCGAAGGCGCCTTGGGTGGCGCCGAAGACGCGGGCGCCGACGGGGTATTTTGCGTTTGACGAGGGGGCTTTGAGGACGATGCCTGCGAATTCGCAGCCCGATGTCCAGGGGAAGGCTGGGGTATTTCGGTTTAGTATGTTATACTGAGATGTATATGTGCTAAGTCCCTGAAGGACAGGAAGGGGAGGACCGTACGAGGTTGGGTCTGGTATTTCCCTTGGATTTGAAGAATGTCAAAAAAGTTGGCGGCCGTGGCGTGGACTTGGATGAGGTACTCGTCATCCTTCTTAGGGACGGGGTCTGGGAGATCCGTCACGCGGAGCTCCTTGGGAGACTTTTGAATCGTTAGATCGAGTGCTCGTTTAGGGACAATCGTTCCTCAATGGTGATGAAGCTCACCTTGACATATTCCTTAATCTGAATGCCGCGCATTGTGAAGATGGATTCCACTGTGATGTCTGGGACTCTTCGTAGGTAAGGTACTTGATTTGAGATGGATTGAAGGCCAGATGTGAGGTAAAGCTGGCCGAAGTTATGTGTAAGAAACTACCATAAGAACCGGATGAGATGGACGATGAATATTGTGAGTTTGTATGAACCTAAGATTGAGGATATGAGCTGTCGTTAGTCTCGAGCTTCTCTACACGTTGTTACCCCGGACCGGGGGTCTTGGAGACGCCGAGGAGGGGGGGAGCCGAGGCAACGATTGCGGCCCCTCGTTGGCTGGATTTGGGGCCTTTTCGGTGTGCGAATTCCGGGGATGTGGAGGAGGCTCGGTGAGCAGCAGAGAGAGACATGGCCCGAGCGCCTGCCTTAGAGTCCAAGATCTAGATGCAGATTGGAGGTTCTTTGGCAGGTAGGCAATCAGAGGGATCCAGCCCATCGGCATCAGCTGTTGTCGTCATTTTGGCTACAAATGTGGCGTGTGGATGGCCCTAGTTGATGAACTGGTTGCAATACCTAGGCAGTTGCTCATATTCTGCGCATCTGATTGAGATCGTATTTGTATCTGCGCAGTCCAAACTCCGTACCCATAGACTACCTACCTGAATTGTCATCGACGACTTCACACTTATGAACGTTCGATTGAATCAGGCTGTTCCGTTACTCGAGGGTAGGCACACTTCCAGAATTGGCCACAAAACTTTCCCTTCAAGAGATTAGGTATTCCTGCTCCAAGCCCTTGTGGATGGAGATCGGGTTACTCGCGCGCTATTTGTTGCCGAGTTGTATCGACTCGTGAATTCGAGGTAGAAGTCAATGGATGACAATGGAAGAGATGACTGTGGTTATGACCTGAGGCTACTTTTAAGTTGGGGTCGTCCAGGGGGGCGGTCGTTTCCCACATGGGAATTGAGGGACGTGGAATTCGATACACCTAATCCTGACAATGTAGCTTGGTCGATCATCGCGGACGAGCATTGATCTATTCCCCAATAGAATCATTTCTCTGCCCTTGATGTCAGAGATAATAGAGTGCCAATGTAGTTCCTGCGGCTCGTCTTGCATCAAATGGGAGGGAGCGCGCCGCCGGCAAAGACATCCATCGATTTTGACAGCACTGTCAAAAGTGACATTAGCTGAGAACCCCCCTGTGGTTACCTACACCTTCCGCTCCCACCGGCGTTAGCGCGCTGCGGCAAAAGGTGCCTAATTCGACCTGTTCCGTTCGTGAGGCACCTGCCATTAATGCTACTTAGGTACCTTATGGACTGCCATCCTTGAGTCCAGGCTGCCAGGACCACGAGTCACCACCCAAAGTACCCGACGCCGCACAGCGACAGCACCCTCAGTGGGCACGGCCCAGCGCTAACCGTAGTTATCTCACCCTCCCGCTCCATTGCGTAAGGTATTGGATCCGTTCCGCCGCACCTCGTAGAACTGGCCCATGCTTGCTTCTGGGCATCTCATCGCCTCCAGTGCTGCTGCTGGCTGCTGGCTGTGGCTGCTGCCCCTCCCCGACGCCATCATTGGAGCCCACCAACCGTCACCAACGACACAAACACCCAATCCTGCGCAGCTCCCCTCCGGCCACCTACCTTATTCCACCTGCCTAACTGACTTCCACCTTGCCCCAGCTTGACCTCGCATTCGGTCGTCTTGTCCACATACTCCCAACAACTTCTTCCTTTCCCTCCAACAACTCACGCCTTTGCCTCTCCTCCACCCCTCCGAGCCATTCTCAGGCCTTCCAGAGACCAAGCCGTCGTCATATACTAGGTACACATTCAGACATTGCCTGACTACCAAGCACCTCCATCGATCGCGCCGACGCTCCCGTAACACACGAGGTCATGGCCGACAACGCAGAGGGCACTGCCGATGCCCAGGTCACCTTCAAGGTGAAGACGGGCCAGGATAGCAACCATACTATTACCATGTCTGAATCTGCCTCCGTACTCGACCTCAAGACCAAATTGGCCGGCGAAGATTTCGAGAACGTTCCCGTCGAGCGCCAGCGTCTTATCTACTCTGGTCGCGTAATGAAGAACGACGACACACTCGCCACCTACAAGATCAAGCCCAACAACACCATCCACATGGTCAAGAGCGCAGCCAGCAACCCAGCTCCCCAGCCCGCAGCTTCAGCCTCCACGCCTGCCGCACCCGCCGTGCCCTCCAACATGGCTGCTGGCACTGCCAACAACATTCTCGCTGGACTCACCGGAGCCAGATACGCCGGACACATCAACCTGCCCAGTCGCGAGACATTTGGAGCCGACGGAGGAGTAAGTTTCCTAGAGTGCTGCGGCGAGTCTTGCGTGGCATAAACTAATCTTACGTTTCCAGATGGGTGCCCCGCCATCCGACGACCAGTTGGCCCAGATGCTCTCCGATCCCTCCATGCTCCAGACCATGAACGCCGCCCTCGACAACCCCGACTTCATCAACTACATGATCCAGAGCAACCCACACCTGCGCAATGTTCCTAACGCACGAGAGATTATCCAGTCGCCATTCATGCGCCAGATGATGACCAACCCAGACATGCTTCGCAATGTCATGAGAATGCAGCGCAACATGGCCGGCGGAGGCGGCAACGCTGCCTTCCCTGCGCCTGGCGCCACCGACACTACTCCTGCCGAAGCTGCGGCTGCTGGCGGCAACACGGGTCAGCCCCCCAACCCGTTCGGCTTCCCCGCGGGTTTCCCAGGCTTTGGTGGCGGCGCTGGTGGAATGGGCATGGAGGGGCTCGGTGATCTCAGCGCGCTCTTTGGCCCTGGTAGTCCGTTTGCGCCTCAGCAACCCGGTGCTCAAGGTGCAGCTCCCGGTGCGGCTGCGGCGACTGGCGATAGTGCCCAGACTACAGCTGGTGCCGGAGCTACTGGAACGACAGGCGCGGCAGCGGGTGGACAGGGCGCAAACTCTACAACGAGTCCACCCCCGGCCAACCCCTTTGCTGCTCTGTTCGCCCCGCCTCCTTACGCAGCTCAGGGCCAAGCTCAGGGTCAAGGCCAAGGCCAGGCACCCGCAAATCCCTTTGGCGCCTCCCCCTTTGGTCAGATCAACCCAGAGATGATGCAACAGATGATGAGCATGTGGGGTCTCGGTGCAGGCGGCGGTGCTGGTGGAGGCTCTCCGGCTCCGCCCGACAACCGTCCCCCTGAGGAGCGTTATGCCGAGCAACTGCGCCAGCTCAACGATATGGGCTTTTTCGACTTTGATAGGAACGTAGCCGCTCTGCGTCGCAGCGGTGGCAGCGTGCAAGGCGCGATTGAGCATCTTCTGAGTGGTTGATTATGACTTGAAATACATGACCGTGGGGTAGAGAGAGAGGAAGAGAGAGAGCAGAGTAGTAGCAGGAAGCGTCTCAAGAGGACGCATGACTTAATGGCCTGTGAACAGGATACGGAGGGAAGTACATACCACACCTAGTTGTCACGCACTTTGGTTCTGGCAGTTTCCGAGGCGATATGGAAATTAACCAGGCATGATGTTTATGAAAGTTCACAACCCAACATCTTGAATCCTCTCGTGACTAAGGAGACCACGTGAAGCCTTGTTATTGATGAAATTTAAACCACGGAGAACGTTTGTTATTGATCCCGGTCAAGCAAACGTCTTGTATCGCGCTCAATTTAAATGTGGTGGCTTGATTGAATGGTCGTTCCCAAGCTCCGGCGCGATCCGGCTTAGATCGGCCCCGGGTGATTGAGGTGTGCCGGCCCAGAAATCGGCGCCGTATCGTCTACAGGCTAAGAAACTCAACTCACTACCAAACACCAACCGTGGTTCATGGCGGCTTGAGTCTATCAGCCTTCCTCCACAACAACGTGTTCGGATAAGATGTAGCGAAAATGATTCAAGGAATCTTCTATGCTAGGTTCTTTCCCAAGGAGGGCAAGTAATCTTTTTTTTTCCCTCCTTCTGAAAGATCCTTCACTGCGCTCGCTCATTTCAGCTTCGCAGAGGGTCATCACTCAACGACGCACCTCAAGTTAACCTCCATGTAGGCCCGCACATCGTGGCCCAGTCGCCGCCGGGCTGCATCACCACGCCGCCCTCCGGATCTGGGGCGACGGCCGCGATGAAGCCGCCGCTCATCGACTGGGAGGTGATGCAGGAGTATATTGTGCCGCGCAAGGCCTTTTTCAACCGGTACATGACGGTGCAGGACCCGGAGGGCAAGTACGCGGTGCTCGGGTTCCCCGTGCTGATCCCGCATCAAAAGTACCAGCGCAACGAGTTCATCTTCAACTTTGGGCTGGTGCTGGACGCCGACGCGGATTTGGCGCAGTATGAGCCCGTCGTGCGGCGGTTGGCGGTCACGTTTAAGGAGATGGAGAAGCAGAATGAGTATTTGAGCCAGGAGGGCAGCGGTGGAGGACCAGGAGCGGCTGGGATGAGGGAGAGGAGGCCGATTGAGAGTTTGTTGGAGATTGTCAAGGAGGATTTGAACAACTATGGCGAGTGCATGATTCCTGTTGGTAAGTTACACACTCTCCCCCTTTTCGCTCTCCTGTTCCGCGCATCGCCAATCTCTCGAGACATCGCTGACCGCGGAGGGCTGCCCAAAAAGACGACGCAAACACCATCAACATGAAGCTCTTCCCGCACCACGCCAGCCCGCCCCAGGTCCGCGGCTGGCACGTCCCCGTCGCCAAGATGAAATTCGCCGAGATCGTCGACCAGACCTGGGACCTGACGATGCAGAAAGTCGTCGCGCACATTGACGGCGTGAACGACGTCCGCCGCATCGCCTGGCTCGCCGACGTCTCGCTCGATCTCGCCACGCTGGCCCTCCGCCACCTGCTGTACTACGACACCGTCCTGCTGCTCGACATGTTCTTCTTCGGCAGCTGCTACGCGCCCCGCCCCGGGATCCACGACTTCGTCGCGGACCGGGACGGCATCGTGGACGAGTGCGCGGCGTACGTGTGCATCCACGCCCGGCAGCGCGTGAGCAACTTTATGCTCATCAAGCTCATGACGAGCTTCTGTGTGGGCAAGAGCGTGATGGAGTGGCTGCGCGCGCACCAGGAGGCCGGGTTCGACGTGCTGAGGTACGTGGACGTCCGGCGGCTGGTGCAGTTTGGCGTCATCAAGGGGTGTCTGTACCGCGTGCACAAGTACGTCGTGTCCAAGCAGTACCTCGCGGGCTTGGCGACGGGCCAGGCGCGGCCCAGAGCTGGTGGCGGGGGAGGAGGGGACGCGCTGCAGGTGTATACGGACGGGTGTCACTCGTTTGATCAGATTATTACGGAGAAGAATCTCACGGATGGGGAGATTATGGAGAAGCTCAAGGCTTTGCCGGTGCCGAGCGGGGATCTGACTGTGTTTTATCGTTGAGGGTGTATCTTGGGGAAGTGTGAGAGAGCGAGAGAGAAAGATGTTGTCATGAGCATGGTGGTTTTACATTGTTCTAAGTTTTTGGTAGTGTACAGGTCATTGTACAGATATTTGCACATGGTATCGGGTGTGATACATCAAAACATTTCGAAAGACGAGAAGCGCTGTGGCAGCCTCTCGTTTACTCCCGCGACTTGCCCTCCTCGAACGCCTGCTGACGCTCGCTCTTCTTGGGGAACTTGATATCCGGGTTATTCGCAACGGTCACCTCCTCCTCCTCGGTGGCCAGCTTCTCCTTGACCATCTGCTCCAGCTCGCGGCGCGACAGCTTGCGACCCTCGGCCGCGGCGAGCTCCTTGAGCTGCTGCATCAGCACGCGCGTCTTGCCCTTGAAGGGCTCGCCCGGGTAGGCCTTGCCGCTGTCCTGCCACTCCTTATCGCTGACGACCTCGATGATGCGGACGTTGTGCTTGCCCTTGCGGATGATGAGCACGCGTCCGTCAATGAGGAACTTGGGCACGTCCTGCGGGTACCAGAGCTTGACGGGCGTCCAGTCGAGATTTCCGGGCACGAGGCCGCGCATGTCCTTGCCGGGCGCGGCGGCGACGTAGGCGCCCTGGGCGCGGGCGATGCGGTGGCCCTCGCTGACGGAGGTGGCGAGACCCGCGGCGTAGAGGATGCGGGCGATGCCTTGGTTGTAGATGAGGTTTTCGGGGAGCTGCATGTCCATCTTGGGCGCGTTGTTGAGGGTCGTCGGGTGGCCTTCCACGGCCTTGTAGGGGGCCACGGTGTTGTCCTGTCCCGGCGTCTCGGGGGAGGCGCCCACGAATTGGGTGCCGGATCCCTTGCTGTACATGAACTGGTGCTGCTGCTGCTCCCTGATGGCGACGTCGGCGCCGTGGACGAGGGAGAGCACCTCGAAGGCGAGGGTGTGCTGCGCGACGCGCGCGGGCGGGTTCTTTGCGTGGTCGACCATGAGCTTCTCGATGTTGGCGGTGGGCAGGAAGGTGAAGAGCTTGAGGAGCCGCTCGACTTCGGTGTCGGATCGCCTGGCGAAGTAACCGTAGAGGTCAAAGGCGCTCGTCATAAAGGGGTCGAGCCAGACGGCATTGCCGGCGCTCTTGCCAAACTTTGCGCCCGCGCTATCCGTCAGGAGAGGCACCGTGAAGCCAATGGGGTCGTCTCGCCAGGTATCGGGCATGCGCATGTTGGGGTTCTCCTCGGACGCGCGGATCGTCTTGACGGCCTCGATGCCCGTCACGATGTTTCCAAACTGATCTGAGCCTCCAATTTGCATCTGGACGCCGAGCTTGGAGTACAGGTGCCAAAAGTCCCATCCTTGCATCAGAGGGTAGGTAAATTCTGCGAGGGACATGCCGTCGCCCTTTTCCATCTTGTTCTTGACTCTAGATAGGGGGTCAGCATCTTGGCCAATGGGGATCTCCCAAGGTAGAACTCACGTATCGCGGCCGAGCATGGGCCCTATCCGCATGAAGCGGCCCAGTCTCTTCATGACATCGTACAATGGCAAGCTTTGCCACCACATGTTGTTGTTCACGAGATGCCTCTTGGCTGCCCAGTCCGCCTCGTGGCCGTACTTTCGCCCCAGAGCTTCCACATTTGCCCATATCTTCTTCAATTGGTAGTGGATCTTGGTGATGTTCATTGAGACTTCGCTGTTCGCCATGACCTCGCGCGTCTTCAGTCTGTCCGTTGGGTCACCTATCCTGCCCGTCGCGCCTCCGACCAGCGATACGGCCGTGTACCCGTTGAGGTACATCCAGAAAAGGGGCATAAAGGGGAGAAGGTGGCCGACGTGGAGGGACGCGGCCGTGGGATCGACGCCGACGTATGCGCCTATTCGTTTGGTCCGCAACAGTTCTTTGACCTGTGGTGTGCGCCTTGAGTTTGGTCAGGTCAGCAAACATATCTCGAGTAGCGACAGCTGAAGGGGAGGGCTCGACTCACCCTGCGACGTCCTTGACGTAACCTCGCTCCTCGAATACATCCCAGATGTTCTGAATTTCACCCTGCTCAATTGCTGTGGCGCGTTTTGCCCACTCCTCCTCTCCTGTCTTGCGCTTCTCCACGACCTTTTGTGATACCCATCTCGCTTGGTTTTGTCTGAAATGGGCTACTGGGAGCGCGGCGCATCGAATGCAAATGTTCCGCCGTAATTCGGGGAGGCGGGCCACCAATGTCGACGACATGATGGGGTATGTGTGTTGGTAATTATAAGATCTGTACTTCTGAATGCATTGGAACAAAGACCGGCAAAGAAAAGCTCAGCACTGGATAGGAGTCTGAGGATGTGAAAACCAACCCTGCCAGCAACCAGAATGACTGACACAGGTCAGCCCAGAGCTGTCGCGCAACTGATCCCACTCCGAGCTCCAAAAATTTCCCTTATCGCGATGCCGATAAGACCCATCGCGCATGTACGTTGACCCGATGGCCGGCCCATGCCGACTTTCTTCGTCGACCGAAATCACGTGGAGCCATTGGGGTACCATCAGCCAATCACAACCCTTCCAATGTCAGACGCCCGTCTTCACGATCCGGAACCTGTGCCTACCCTCGGCTAAGTGGACATCATCGATTCCGGCACTCTAAACCTAGCACTCCTTCTCAACTTCCAAGCCTCCAAACAACGACATCCCACCTCCCTCCACTTGCGAATACCAATTGAACCGCCCGTGAACTACCAGCGATCACCATGGCTTCGATTGTGCGCCCTGCTCTTCTCCGGCAAACCGCCACGGCGGCCCGCATGGCCCAGGCCACCCCGATCCGTTCCGCCTTCGTCAAGAACTCGTCAAGAGTCGCCGCCTTCCACACAACCGCCAAGAGGGATCTGTTGCCCGTCGGTCCTCGTACGTCGCAATCACCTTGCATGCTATACATTTACAATTGAATCATTGCTAACCTATTCACTGCAGAGGTCATTCAGGGTGGAGGTACGAAAATCCATGTGAAAGTCAAAACTTTGGAAAAAACGCAAGACGTCCTAACCCGTGATAACCTCTAGTGAACGATCCTGCCCCCGTTCCTCCCCCGAGTCCCGCCCACGGCTCCTACCACTGGAGCTTCGACCGCATCCTCGCCGCCGGCCTCGTCCCCATCACCATCGCCCCCTTCGCCGCCGGCTCCCTGAACCCGACAACCGACGCCGTCCTCTGCGCCATGATCCTCATCCACTCCCACACCGGCTTCCAGAACATCATCATCGACTACGTCCCCACCAAGCACTACCCCAAGTCGCGCAAGGCGACCATGTGGGGCCTCAACGTCGTCACCGCACTGGTCGGCCTCGGCCTGTACGAGTTCGAGACCAGCGACGTCGGTGTCACTGAGGCTGTCGCGCGTCTGTGGAAGGCTTAATTTGGGGGAGAGACGGGAGAGAGGTGTCGTTTTGTCCTGCTTGACAGCAAATAAAAGGCTGGTCATCTGGGAATAATATCCGATTGAGGATGCGACAGGGGAGGCGGAGACGTCATGCTAGGATACCAGTACCAGAGAAATGGCGCTGAAGTCGGCTTACTGTATGTGATTCAGGGGGCGCCAGGGTTTAGAATTGGGACGGCCAGTGTATAATCACCAGTCTAGGCAAAATTGGATTCTTTGTCAATGAGCCTGGTGCGACAATTCTGCAAGTGAAATTAAATGTGAGTCGGCTCTAGGATGACAGGTTAAATGTTTATCCGCGACGGATGAGGTGTTCGATGTCAGGCAGATCTAATCACCGCTATGCAGTCGACGGGGGAGAAAATCGACTGAACGAGTAAACGCAATGACAACTCGTTAGAAATCTGGGACTCTTGTGCAGATTTCACGTGTGTCAGCGAAACCTTCAAGAGTCTAATCTCGTTTTGAGGTGCAGTTTTTACATTTCTTCGCCCAAAGTCTCTGAGAAGCAAATTCAATGTTGAGATCAGCAACCTCAGACCAAGAACGCACTCGGTCAACATTGAAATTCCAATAAGTATCATTGTCAAGAAAATTACCATACGCTAAATCATGTTCGGGTCATATATCTCGAACTAGTACTTCCAACCACCAGCCGCACAGTACACGGCCGTACTTACACCAACCAGCCTACTCATCAATCATCACTTTTATCTCGATCACACTACTTTTCCGAGGCGCACTTCTTCTACACTTAGAGGGAGAAGCTGGTGATCTCAGAGCCTCCCATATGGTCCATCTCAGGGGTCGGCGGAGGAAGGTTCTCAACCTTGGTGTTGATCCAGCACGACGCATACATGTTGACACGGTCAATGCAGGCTCCGTCCGTACGAGCCCCGACCCTCTTGGGCGAGAAGCCGTGGGCCTCAAAGACCTTGACGTACCAAGGGCTCAGCGCCGACGAGCGAAGCAGCACCCGGCCGCCCATCTTGAGAGCACGGTTGAGCTTGGTGATCTGCGCTGCTGCGGCCGGGGCGCCGGGGTCGAACCAGTCCATGCTGTCCATGATGACGGCGACGGTCAGCGTTCCGGGGGTGATGCGGTTGATGACCTCGTCAATCTCGTCCGTGTGGATGCGCAGGCCGTCAAAGGCGTTGGCGCGCGAGAGCTTGGCGTGGGCCTTTTCCGAGAGGTAGTCTGGATGGCACCGCCGCGTGAAGTCGCCCGTCATGCAGACGTGGTAGTACGGGTTGTTGGCGGCGATGTGCGTCTGCTCGGCCACGGGGTCCAGGGTATCGACCATGTAGCGCCAGATGGCGTGAGAGCGGACCTTGCGGGCGGTCGGGGAGGGTCCCTTGACAGCCTCGCTCTCGGCGTGATCGTTCTCGATCATGGCCAGCTGGTTCTTGGGTACGCCGAGGGCCGCCCAAAGGAAGCTTTCCTGGCTGACGACGAGCTTGCAGACGAGCTTGGACAGTAGGGCGGGGCGGATCTTGGTGCGCCAGACCTCGCGCTGCTCGTTGAGAGTCTTTGTGGACAGGAGCTCCTTGACGGCGGCGCGGCAGCCGAAGACACGCGAGATCCAGCGGAAGACGCGGATGGCATGGCGGGAGCCGCCAGTATCGTAGAGACCGTAGCCCTTTGTGTTGGTGAAGACGTGGACGTTGTTGAGCCAGTACTGGAATGCGCGGCTGGAGAGGTGAGGAGAGAGCTTGTTCAGGAGGAGCGAGCGGAAGTCCGGGTGCTTTCCCTCTCCGAACAGCTTCCAGAAGTCCTCGTAGGGAAGAGCAGTGTAAGACGCAACCTTGAGCTCGAGGAGGTGGTTCTGGGTAGGGTTCAAGTCGACAGCGTGGATTCTGGCAGGGCTCTGCATTGCGTAGGAGAGGATGTTGTCACCAGCGCTGGTGATTGCCAGGACCACGTCGTCAGAGCCGAGCTTCAGAAGATGCTCGTCCACTCTCGAGTCCTCCCATGTAAACGCGTAGATATATTCGTCGTTGAACTGGGTGTGTTTCTGAAGCTGGTCATCGTAGTAGATGCGCCAGTGGTGGTTCTGGTAGAAGAAAGAGGGCAGCGGGAGGCTAGCGGACAAGTTTTGGATCGCTGCCATGAAGGCCTTGGACCGGATCTCGGGGGCCGATCGATCAATGGCGCGGGTGAGGGCATCGCCCGCGTTAGCAGGCAACAGGTACGGCGATTCTGTAGCAAGGGCATCGATCTTCTCAATGATCTCATGCGGCAGACTGGTAGCTGAGAAGGGCTTCTTGTGGCATCCGACCCAGATGTAGTAAGGAATGTGACCGAGGCTGTAGTTGCGGGTGTTGATGTTCAGGACACTGCCAAACTTGTACTCGAGATAGTCGCGGCGGCTAGCCTCGAGACCAACACGGTCGAGGTCGAACCAGGCGCGCCAAAAGGTCCTTAAGAACCAGTTGACGTGACGCCCAACCAGTCCACCAGTAAAGTTGCGGAAGGAGAAGTCGGTCTTGGACTGTACATAGAAGTCAACGACTCCCATGACGCCATCTGGAGACAGAAGCGATGTGAGGGATTCGATAACGGAGTAGTAATCAGGCTGTTGGGCAGACGGTCAGTTATAGTCATTTCAAAAAAGACTTCTTTGGATAACTCACGATCATAGACAAGCTGTAAGACATGGTGATGAGGTCCGCGCCGCCGTGCTCGGCACGCTTCTGAGAGAAGTAGCTTAGGACAGGTGAGCGAGGAGGGACGCGATTACTGGGGAGATCATTTTCATAATCTTCCAGTCGGAACTTCCTCGCGTCCTCACAAACAACCTTGACATTGTTCCAGCCAAGGCGCTCGAAGCGCTGTCGGGCGACCTCGCATAGAGACGGGGAGAAGTCCACGAGGTAGACGCTTGTGAAGAACTCGGGCACGTTGACAAAGCTAGACATAGCTTCAATGTTCCATCCCGTTCCTCCACCAACCTAACCATTGTCAGTCGAGGTTCGAAAAACATAATGTGGCCTGCCAGAATGACTTACATCAACCCAGACTCGCTTAGCCTTGTTGCCCTTTTTGGGACCTTTGGCCTTCAGCTGTGCTGCAACAAGCGCAAGCATGTCCTCTCTGCCTTGCAGGAGGACCTTCCTGGTAGCATCATACGCGCCGGCTTGCTTCTTGTAGAAGCTCTCTAGGGCATCCTGCTGGTTGCCCTTCTTGTCGCCATTGTGCGGCTTGATGAAGCAGGAGTAAAAGAAGAGCAGGAAAGACTTGAAGAGTCCGGGTGCCTCTAAGCTTTCCGCGTCATTCTTTGAAAGAAGCTTGGAAAAGAGCAGGCCGCTGAGGGCTACTGCACTTAGTCCAGCAAAGGTAGTCTTGAGATCAAGGTCGAGGGGCAAAATGTTACCACCAAGAGAAGCCATGGTATTCTCTCATTGCTCGTGGCTAAGAGAAGGATGCGTTGAAGCTGATTCGAGACTCTTGGCAAGTTGAATTGTTAAAGAAAGCGTATACGTTGAAGAAGCAGAGGAGAAGAGTAATAGGCAGCATCTAATAAATGGCAAAAGGACGGCACCGCTATATAGACTTCTACACAGAACGGCTGCGGTATATTTCGATGGTCACTCGACCGGACATGTTGTATGATGTACATTGGATAGCGTTGAACAATACGGCGGAGGGCGAGGTAGCATCTACGTGAGTTACTCTCAGAGCGCGCAACGCAAAGCTGAGACCATAATCGCAGTGTTCAGGAGAAGATCGTGGTTGAGACCTAGGACCCTGAAAGAGGGAGAACCCCACCAAGAGCTTCTCAATTGAGCCAACCCCGCCAACCTCGTTGTCGAGCTCCTAGCGCGGCCGCGTGGGTGAGGTAAAACACGGCTTGTCCATGCCAGCGCCTGTGGGCCAAGTCGTGTCGACCAATGGCCAGAGCACATGGGCAAACCATCTGGGCATCAGCCTCTTGTGCTCGTAGAATGGAATTCGCCAGAGCGAACACGCCTGCGCCAATCCTCTGTTAGTTTAATGGCACGGGAGGTTGCGAGACGTATCAGTCCCTCTGCTTCCGTTCCCATGGGGTGTTGGGACTGCAATGCGTGGGGACAATGATATCGCCTTTACCTTGCACTTCCAAGCATTGCCTGTGACGAAGGCTTCAATGTTCTTATCAGCGAATATGTCACCTATAAGCCAATTACTTGAGAATTAAGCTAATTAGAAGTCATTTCGACCCCTTTTCAAAGTTCGAGCAGGTTGATGTTCATGACGAGTTTCTGAAATCAAGTCAAGCGAGTGACTACTCTGTGAGTACCACAACGTGGGTGGTTCCAGTGAACAAGGCTCGTACGAATGAATGCCAGCTTTCCAGATTGGCTTCGAGGCCACTCAATCGATGGACGACATATCGTCCGTTCGAACCAAACTAGGAAACTACTTGTTGCCATGCATAAATCGTAACGTAGTGTGTCGGTATGTGCAGACCACAGATTGTCTGGGGTTTGGTGAGCACCAAACGATGCCAATGAGAGAAGAGCCCCAGAGCACATGGCTCCATCGACCGCCCCTCAGGAGCTCATAGACGTCCTCATCCCGCGAGAATCCCTAATTTCTTGTGGAGCTTCATGCTACTTTGATGATCATCCAAAGGGTATTGAGAGAGGGGATTTAAGTTCCGCTCCTGGGCACTACCGACTCAACCAGATGTGATAGCTGGTTTTCCTTAAGCCATCTATGAACGCGTAGCCACGTCGGCCATTGTTGGCTCGTTTTTGCACTCGTAAGAAGCGCTTGATGTTCCTCATATCGATGAGTGGCAGCCCTGCCATGAGCCTCAGTTTCGTCTGCTCCGTCGTTCTTGACCCGCGTCTTTGTCGGCCTATGGGGAGGTCTCTGGCCGAAATATCACCGCCTGTGGTAGTCCTTCCGATGTTCCTATTTGTGAACCAACAAGCCAGGAATGTAGTGAGAAACTTTGATGCTTTTTCTGTACAGATAGAGTGAATAAGCATTAGCAATTGGCAATGTACACTTTTGCTCTTGGAAGTGAGAGAGACCCGTGAAGTTGGGGCTGCCCTTTTGCTTTTCCCCGGCCTGGGAGATGCACTGTCTAAATCGCCAGATGGGTCTGTATCGCACAGTACACTCAATGCACTTTCGCTTCTTGGGAGCAATAGGATCTGATCTAGCAGCTTTAGAAAACGTACAGAAGGCCACGGACGTGTTAAATCGGTGATCAAAAGATACGAATCTACGGAGTTGACTTTTTGGCTTAAGAGAGTTTATGAAGTACGCATCCCTAGATGTACTTATCGTACTTTCGTGAACGGGGGCTGAAAGTAAGACCTGAGAAACGCCTTCTCCTCGAACAGAGCACCTTCATTGATCAACTTGCCTTGAGGGAGATTGGGTAGTCTTGATTGATCAATGAGCTATTTACAAGTGAGCAATGCAAACATAGTTCTCACGTTCGGTTGATCTTGCCTACCCATCGAGATCGTCAAACTTTTTAGATGGGGAACCATATCAGCGTGCAGGAGCCTTCTTCCCTGTGAACCTGGCCGTGCATGCCCTCATTCATAATCATGCTTTTCTCAAGCTTTTCTCATGTTCCATCGTTATTGAATCACCGCTCTAGCCACTTTCTGAAATGTTGGTGGTCGATGGCGGCATAGTATGATATCAGCATTGTTGCCTACCCGTGATCCATTGCTTATGTGCCGGTATTATGATAGAGTATGGCATTTCACTACAAGCTCCGGGAGTAACGGTGACTAAAATAATGTTGTTAAGAGAGAATTCAACCTGGCTCGCATATATGGCAAGGCGAGGAGTCACGTCATGACCGTCAACCAATACTTTATCGATCTAAGGAAGGGAGTGCCTAGATCTTGATCCTTTTGATGGGATGCGAGATGCCGGTTTCGCGAGATGGCAGTTGATGGAGCCAAGGCACTGAAGCTTGCCTGGTCCTTGTGCTTTCCTTAGGTAAGGTACCCGGTTCACAGAGGCACTTCCCATTTCGGCGCTGACGGAGCACTTTCCATATGTACCTTCCCCCAGACTTCCGCGGGTAACCCCAGGGTGCGTGCAACAGGCGAGCTCGGGCGATTCGACCCATACTTCCGCGACCGGTGACCAATCCAGTAAGCACGTTAGGCGTACCTTACCGATACAGGGCGGCGCGATCTCGAGTGCCATTCAGTTGACGCTTGACATCAAAGGCCCAACCTTCACTTCGACATATCAGATCCATCGCAACCCTCGACAAGGACGACGCGCAAGATCCAACCTCATCAAAAGCCATCCCAAACCTGCGAGCGCCCATCACAGGCTGCCCGCGATGCCGCCTGCTGCGAGCCAAAAGGGCACCGGCAAGAAAGCCGGGCCCGGTGCTATGCGACAGCGCAGCCGCAACACGACCCCGAGCTCCGTCGTGCCCTCGGCCAGCTTGCCCCCTATCGACGCTGTCGACACCGAGTATCTCGAGCTACGTGTCGAGCAGTTTCGTAACCTCAACTACGATGATCTCGTAGACCAAGGCGCCTCCAATGCCGTGATGCCCGACTCCAAGAGTCTCGATGGCATGATTGCCCGCCTGCAGCGCCTGCAGGAAACCATCGACAGACGAAGCAATTTCTGCGATAGGGGTATGCGCATATTAGCCAGCACGCGCAAGCAATACGTCGACGTCGACGAGCCTGCTGAACCCGCCGCGAAGGCCGAGGGGGACGGCAAGAAGACGGGCAAGACCAACAAGAAGAAGAGAAAGGCGGCCGATACCCTGGCACCACCCCAGGAAGGGGGAGTCGGTAGGTCACTACCCTTCTTTGGCCCTGTGCGGTCTAGTGCTCTTTCACGCTTTTTCTTGGTTTGTTCGTGGGGCATAGGATGCTCACCGAATGCTCACCTCGTCACCGCACGACTAAGCTGGATTCCTCGTATTTAAATTCGAGTACTGACCTCGCCTGCTACCACAGAGCGATCATCCCCGCTTAGGGAATCCACTAAACCACGAAAGCTTTCGCGCGACTCGGCCAGTTCTTCCCTGTCACCCGTCGCGCCCGCAACACCATCAGCAATGGAAGTCGACGAGAAGAAGAAGAAAAAAGAAGAGGCCGAAGAGGAGGAGGAGGAGGAGAGTTCGGAGGACGAGGGCGCGCCGCCCAAAAAGGCCCAACCCGCTGCGCACACCTTTGGCGACGATCCCTCCACCTTCCCCGACCCGACCGTCTACGAAATTCGCCCGACACACCCAGGCATGCCAGAGGACGAATTGAAGGAGATATTCTCTGTCGCTGTCTTTCCAAAGACTGATCTGGCGGATCTCATTGCTGGCGATCCTCCCGACAAGGACTTTAGTAGTGCCAAGCCCACGAACCAGATCAGCTTTTCGACCTTCTCGACGTATATGGAACCCTACTTCCGGCCTTTTGCTGAGGAAGACCTCGGCTTCCTTCGAGAACGCGGCGATCGCGTCACACCTTTCCACATGCCTAAGAGAGGCAAGAAGCACTACACTGAGATCTGGCAAGAGGAGGATGGCGCCATGGCACTTGACAAACCTCAAGGTGCGCGCGAACAGTTGGCGCCCAACCAGGCTCGTGGCGCGATTGACAACATGGACGACGAGGTTGCCGAGACAGATAAACTCTCTGTCGGTCCCTTATTGTCTCGATTGATGCAAGCGATGCGACCCGAGAACCGACCCCAAGCAGACGAAGAGAAAGCACCCAACGGCTTCACCAACGGAGATACTGTCATGAATGGCGGCAGCGTCAACGGAGAAAATGGAGATACGCAGCAGAGCTTCGTCGATGATAAGGCTCCGCCGACTGTGCCGCCTGCATCTTTCATGCCCGAATCGAACTCCGAGGCATGGAAGAAGGCTTCGCATCCAAAGTTGGAGTACACCCAGGTCGATGAACGAATCAAGCAGGAACTGAAGCACATTGGCTTCCTTCCCCAGGAAGGTAATTTCGAGCCGGAATACGATGGCGCATTCGACGATGAGGTGGCAGCACGACTGCGCTTACTGCAAGGCCGCCTTCGAGAGCAAATGCTCATCAACGGCGCTCGCAAGTCTCGACTCACGGAGCTCGTCAAGGAGCGCATGGCGCACCAAGAATACCAAACAATTCTGGAGGATCTCGACACGCAAGTGCAGGCTGCCTATCTCAAGCGAACCCGTACAATGGGCAAGAGCAAGAAGAACAAGCGACCTGGCGGTGCTGGAGGCGGTAGCCACGCGGTTGGTGGTGCGGCTGGTATGGCAAGACCAGGCATCGGCGACATGACGAAGACCCTAATGGAGCGCCGGAAGCGCTGGATCGATACGATTGGATCTGTATTCGACGACGAGAGCCTTGGCAAGGTGCCGCGTGGCTCAGATCCCGAGTCCTCCATCTTCAAGGCTCCTGTCATGGCTGATCTGATGAAGAGAGAGAAGTCGCAGTGGGACGAAGAGGTCGAGGAGGAATAAGGTATTCAGCTCACCCGGCTGAGGAAAATGGGATGATTGTCAATATGTTACGACTAGCACTGGTACATGCTTTGGTATCCTGGGTTCTCGGTTTTGGGAGGTAAAACTTTGGAGTGGCAGTCGACCATTGGACTGGACTCGGTGGACGGCGTTAGGAACAGCATAGAGGACTGGATGTGACGAGGCCTCGCTCTGGAGTTGATGAGGCCAGCCTATAGCCAGATCAATACTTGGTTGTGTGAATGAAAAGACTAAGATACCAATATCTCCCATGGTCTGACACGGCCATGATCTCCATCAACTGAATCATAGGAAACGGGTATCTCCGGGTACCTGGGTGCCTTTCTTGAAATTCAAAAAGTTAGCAGACAACTTTACCCTATAGCGAGGCGTGTCGAGCTGACCGCGTCCTCGCTTTCTCCAATACGTTAAAGGCAGACTAGATAGACACGATTCTCATTAACCAAGATGTGATATCTGATCTCCAGCAAATCGCGCTTGATCGTTCGAGCGTGGCCATCCGGCGTATTTGAGCTTCCCCACATCTATACCGCCACTGCTCAAAATCGCACAATGAATGTACTCGCAAGATCTCTCGATACAGACTACCTGAGCTACGGTGCCCTCTTCACCGGTCTCGAAAGCGCCTCTGTTCACGATGCCGTTGCAGAGCGAGGCTATGATATACAAACCAACATCCTCGGCATCCCGCCCTACCTCGGATTCTTCTCACAATGGGCACCTTCTCACACGCGCCGCGTCGAGGGCTTATGTTCGTAAGATGGGCGCAATTCTTTGTGTGGGCTCAGTCCTTTGCGTTGGTCTGTAGGCTGCTCGGGAGGAGGAATGAGCTTGCTGAGGCGGCAGTTTTTGCGAGTTTCGTTTTTCTCCAAGCTGCGAAGATTGGGTGCATATGGCATGTATAGCTAAGGTATTGTGGAAGTTTACGAGGATCGAAACAGTTGCTGACTTGTCATAGTACCGTGTATTGGAAACCGTCCCTAGAGATGAGTGGTGATGTGCTTCTGCGTACTCAGTCGTAGCACTCAGTTTCAATTTTGTCTTCACCAGACAATGTAGGATTCACGAGGAACCTCGCATTTGAGAGGTCAGTTTCTGATCATGACTGGAGTCACGAGACCAACTTCTCGTGATGAGGCGTACAGACTACAGACATCCCCACGATGTAGAGCACGGCGCCGGCACTTGCAGCGGCTCGGTGGAACGGCGTGGGAGTTTACATACAATTCTGCAGGTGGTTCATATGGAAGTCTTCTTGGTTAGCTTATCGCCTAAAATTGGACGTAATGCCTATTAGACAAACGAGAGCCTTGTATTGGTCCGCGGGCGGTTTGGCAGTCACTTTCTCAGGGACCTTCCTTGTGCGGGGTAGTGGAGGGCCAATCAAGCCTCCATTTGGGGGGGACGTATCCCAAGCGGCCGGGCCTTATCATCATCCCACCTTTTTCGCAGGTGGCCGCCGGTCCAGGCCCGTGGGCGGCGCAAACGGCCGCTTCCTCACTATCGAAGACGGCCACCTACCTGTAGTGTCTAACTACCCTTTTGGCGCCAGCGAGTCCTTCTAAACCCGTAATCTGTGATTTTTCTTTCACCAACACCTACAGCTGCTCATGAAGACGGGTTTCTCTGGCCGAGAGTTACCAACAATCTTGCCAGGATGCATCTCGTTCCCAAGGAGGTTTGTACTTTTTGCCCATTGTGCCCAAAGTTTCCCTCTTACACATCCCTGTCGCCTTGGCAGGATTTGGTAGAGACAGCAGTGTTAACGCGGCACGTCGTGATTGTAGCTCGATAAGCTCGTCATCTCTCAATTAGGCTCCCTGGCTCAGCGGCGGCTTGCCCGGGGCGTCAAATTGAACCACTCTGAAGCAACGGTACGAATACCTTCTTTTGCGGTGCTATCACCGCACACAGAGTTTGTATGCACTAACACAACTCAACCGCAGGCACTCATCGCCAGCAACTTGCAAGAGCTCATCCGCGATGGTAACCACACCGTGGCCGATCTCATGAGCTTGGGTGCCACCATGCTGGGGAGGAGGCATGTGCTCCCCACAGTCTGCAGTACCCTTCATGAGATCCAGGTCGAGGGCACCTTTCCCTCAGGGACCTATCTCGTGACTGTCCACAATCCCATCGCAACGGACGATGGTGACCTGGCGCGCGCCTTATACGGCAGCTTTCTCCCCGTGCCTAGCAATGACCTCTTCTCGATGCCCGAAGTCGCGGCGTACGAGCCCAAGAAGGCGCCCGGCGCCGTCGTCACCGCGGTGCGCAAGGTCGCGCTCAATGAGAAGCGCAACCGCATCAGGCTCAAGGTGAAGAGCAAGGGGGACCGCCCCATCCAGGTCGGCTCACACTACCACTTCATCGAGACAAACCCGCAGCTCGAGTTTGACCGCGAGAAGTCGTACGGCTACCGGTTGGACATCCCCGCCGGAACCTCGGTGCGTTTCGAGCCCGGTGATGTGAAGACGGTGACGCTCGTCGAGATTGGAGGCCACAAGGTCATCCGCGGCGGCAACAAGCTCGCCTCGGGCGGCGTCGAGCTCTGGCGCGCAAAGGAGATTGTGGAGAAGCTTCAGCTGGCCGGGTTCGCCCATGCGCCGGAGCCCGAAGCCATCATGAACTTTGCCGAGGTCTACCAGATGGAGAGGGCGGCGTACGCGACAATGTTCGGTCCCACCGTGGACGACCTGGTCCGACTCGGCACCACGGATCTCTGGATCAAGGTGGAGAAGGACTTCACCGTATACGGCGACGAGTGTAAGTTTGGCGGCGGCAAGACGTTGAGAGAAGGTATGGGCCAGGCAACGGGCCGGCCGGACTCGGAATCTCTGGATATGGTCGTCACCAACGCCCTCATTGTTGACTGGACGGGCATCTACAAGGCCGACATTGGTGTGAAAGACGGTATGATTGTTGCTATCGGGAAGGCGGGTAATCCGGATGTCATGGACGGCGTGACCCCGAACATGATTGTCGGTAGCTGTACAGATGTCGTCGCTGGCGAAGGCAAGATTATCACCGCCGGCGGCATTGACACTCACATCCACTTCATCTGCCCGCAACAGGCAAACGAGGCCGTCGCTTCAGGTATCACCACCATGCTTGGAGGTGGTACGGGACCAAGGTGAGAGAGCATTCCCCTGAAGAGCAAGTCAGCTTGTTCCGTCGACTGACCAACCTCCTATAGTGCCGGCACGAGCGCCACAACCTGTACGCCCGGCAAGAACTACATGCGCGAGATGCTTCAGGCCTGCGACACATTGCCCCTGAACATTGGCATAACGGGCAAGGGCAACGACTCGGCGCCTGAGGCCCTGCGCGACCAGGTCATCGCCGGCGCCTGCGGCCTCAAGCTTCACGAGGACTGGGGCACCACGCCCGCGGCCATTGATACGTGCCTCAGTGTCTGCGACGAGCTGGACGTGCAGTGCCTCATCCACACCGACACGCTCAACGAGTCCGGGTTCGTCGAGTCCACCATCAACGCCTTTGCCGGGCGCACGATTCACACCTACCACACGGAGGGCGCCGGTGGTGGCCACGCCCCCGACATTATCTCCGTCGTCGAGCACCCCAACGTCCTGCCGTCGTCGACGAACCCGACCCGGCCCTACACCCGCAACACACTGGACGAGCACCTCGACATGCTCATGGTCTGCCACCACCTCTCCAAGAACATCCCCGAGGACGTCGCCTTTGCCGAGTCGCGCATCCGCGCCGAGACCATCGCCGCCGAGGACGTGCTCCACGATCTCGGCGCTATCAGCATGATGTCGTCCGACTCGCAGGCCATGGGCCGCTGCGGCGAGGTCGTCCTCCGCACCTGGAACACGGCGCACAAGAACAAGGTCCAGCGCGGGTTCCTGCCCGAGGACGAGGGCACGGGCGCCGACAACTTTCGCGTCAAGCGCTACGTGAGTAAGTACACTATCAACCCGGCTGTCGCGCAGGGCTTCGGTCATCTGGTGGGTAGTATCGAGGTCGGCAAGCTTGCGGACCTGGTTGTCTGGGACCCGGCGTGGTTCGGCACGAAGCCCAACCTGGTTATCAAGAGCGGTCTCATCGCGTCCGCGCAGATGGTAAGTCTCCCTCCCCTCTGGTCTCTCATGCGTTTCGTCAAGAAAAAGAGAGGGGGAAAAAAGCATCAACTAACCAATCTCTCACAGGGCGACCCCAACGCCTCCATCCCGACAGTCCAACCCATTATCGCGCGCCCCATGTTCGCGCCCCTCGTGCCGGCCTCATCGGTGCTCTTCGTCTCGGCCGCCTCCATCGCCTCGGGCGCCATCGCGTCGTACGGCCTCCGGAAGCGCGTCGAGGCCGTCAAGGGGTGCCGCACTGTCGGCAAGAAGGATATGCGGTTCAACGACAGCATGCCAAGGATGAGGGTCGACCCGGAGAGCTACACCGTCGAGGCGGACGGCGAGGTGTGTACCGCCGAGCCGTCTGATACGCTTCCCTTGACGCAGGCGTTTTACGTCTACTAAGCGTTATGATGATGATGATGATGGCGGCGGCGGACTCTTCTGGTGTTGATGGGATGGACATCAGGATGGGTGTTTGAGAGGTTCGGCGTTGATGAGAAGATGAAAGTATGATGAGAGGGCACGTCGTAGTGAGGGGGAAGGGAAGGAACATTTCAAAGCATAGCGGCATTACGGGCGGGTAGTTGGGATGGGGATATTGGGGTGCTTATTATTAATGACACATGAGAGAAGCTACCTTACCTTATGAAAGGGTTCCAAAAAAGCAATAACAGCATTTTCTATTTCATGACTAAAATCAGAACATCAGAAGCATGCAGTACAGTGTCAGAGCGTTATGATGGGGGTGGTTAAGAAAGTCTTGGCTGTCGTTCTGATAGAGTAATGCCAACACAACACCTCTCTCCTTCCCGCAAAAGCCTAAAGGATCGACGGACAGATTCGACCCACGCGTTGCATTTACGTGTCCACGTACAAGGTAATAAGCTGTGCATACAAGGTAAGGTAGGTACGTAGAACGGTGGCTAGCTTGGTATTTCCAAACTCTCCATCAGTGAAGTTGGATGATGTATATCCGACTTCAGTCGGAAGTGATAAGTTCTTCGATCCTGTGTCTCCCATACGCTCATAGCCTGGGTGAGTAATTTCTCCATCGACTGAGTCCATCTTCCCAAGGCAAGATACGCTGCATAAATCATTTCACTACACATTTCACATTCATCATTGAAGGCAAACAGCGTCAATGTGAAGATCAATATTGTTTGATTCTCTCATGTCCGTCATTATACATACAGGACTAACTGGAAAACAAGCAGAGCCAGCCCAAACCAAAAGCCCATTGGATCCATAAACCGCCCACACTCAAGTTGGGAGTTTTGTATTCCTTTCTCTCTCTCACACGTGTTGTATCCGTTGGAAAAACCGTCCCAAAACCACACGCCTTGTGAAATCATACACACCGCGTTGCGCGCGCAGTAGGCTCACGCAACGACCGAGGACCGAAGTAGATGTGATCCTTCCTTTTTTCCCCCTCCAGTTCAGAACCTCACACACCCGTGTATATCTGCGCCAGCATAGGGACAGTAAAGGGGTAAGGATCGACGACAAGCCGCCGCGCAACGAGGTATCATCTTTGCAAAAACCCAGAAACCTAGAAACAAGAAAAAACGAGTAGAAGGAGGGGTGGAAAGAAGCAAAATGCTTAGTTCTTGCCCTTCTTCGCTCTGCTCTTCTTGGCAGGCTCCGCTGACTCAGTGGCGTCAGCGGCCTTGGTGGATGTGCGGCGGCGCTTCTTGTCAGGGCTTGCGGGAGTGGCAGCAGCCTTGGCCTCGGGCTCAGCAGCAGGAGTGGCGGTCTTGCGCTTGCGGGTAGAGGCGGGCTTCTTGGGGGTCTTGACGGGAGCAGGGACTTCCTCCTCCTCTTCCTCTTCACCAGGAGCATCGACGGTGTTGGCCTGGTTGAGCTGCTCGGCGATGGCATCCTCAACATCGGGGACAACATCAACAGGGTTGATCTGGATGTTGTGCTCCTCGGCGTACTTGAGAGCGGTATCATCGTCCATGTTTCTGGCCTCAAGGTTGCCACCCTGCTTGTAGGAGTGGACGCGAGCCTGGTAGAGGCGGAGGTTGTACTGGTAAGCGTTGTTCCAGCCGGCCTTCTCCTGAAGGTTCATGGCCTTCCAGCGGCGCTGGCCCTCTTCCTGAACAGCACCCTTGGGAGCGGCATCACCAAGGTCGTTGGCAATTATGGGACGGGCGGTCTGCATGTACAGGAAGTAGGGGGTCAGGGGGCGCTTGGGAGCATTGGGGTCGTGGGTGCGCTTCTTGCGCTCCTTCTTCTCCTCAACAGGGGCAGGGTGGTAGGCAACACCGGGCTGGAGACCAAGGGCCAGGGGAGCGATGCTCTGGGCAGCGTGCTCCAAGGTGTTCAAAGGGTGGTCAATGCCCGGGATAGCCTCGTGTGCAGACTCGCCGAGAAGCAGGCTGGTCTGGCGGTAGTAGTCCTCGGAGAAGTTCTTGATCAACTCCAGGATGGTGATGAGGCGCTGGTGAACCTGGAATGGGTGTTAGCATTCTGTCTGATCAGATGCGGTTGAGAAGAGAGTAGTAAGATGCGTATAGTTGTGTAGTAGGTAACGTGTAGTGGGAAATGGGCGAACAAGCTTAGCTGAGCTGAGCTTGAAGAGCTTCTGTGGGTCACAGCTCCCGCGGCAGACGCGGGGTCACATTGGGCCATGTAAACAAAACGAGCATTCTGACGCAGCGTGTTTTTCCCACTGCCATTTTCTCGGAGCACATTTGGCTTATCAATTGCAAATGTGCCCGTCTTGTCTTGCGCGGTGCCAGCTGAATCTCTGGATAGATAGCACACAAGCACGCGCGGCTGACAGTTCACGCCGAGAAACGCGTTGAAGAAATAGCAAGACAATCCAGATGCTTGGAGTTCTGATGGCAGCGGAAGCCAGTGAAGAAGCTGGCGCAATATCGACCACAGAGTAGCCGAATGGGCAGTGGTGGAGCGGAGAGTGAAATTGGGAGAACATGGTGGCGGAGAATTAAGATTTTGAGGAAATGGTGGAAAGGAGGTATCTTACCGAGTCGCGGACGCGAATGAAACCCTCGACATCAATGTGTCTTTGGGGGATCTGGAGGGGCTGCACGGGCTGAGCAGGCGCGACGGGAACGGCAGCGACGGGAGCGCTGGGGGTAGCGGCGAGGGCCTTCTTTGAGGGGCGAGGCATTGTGATGGTTGTGTTTTTGGTGGTTGTGGTGAGGTAGAGAGGATTTAGGGCCGATGGGCGCTGTAAATCAAGTGCTGCTTTGACGCGACGATGGCGAGAAGCAAGAAAGGGTTGTGCTGGTGTTTGGTGGAGTTGCTTTTTTATGGCACTCACAAAGTGGCGCAAAGTTGGGAGGAAAGGGCGGTTGAGATTTGGGGGGGTTTGGTGCCTGGGAAAGTGAAGAAATGGGGGAAAAAGAGGGAAGGGGATGGGAGGTTGGGGGGAGGGCCTGAGCCGAATATGTAGTGCAGACGGGGTGGGAGGGGTTTGGGAGTGATTTGGCACCTTTCCGGGGGGGCCAAGTGGGAAGGGGAAGAGGGGAATAGAGAAAAAAAAAATTCAGGCACTTCGCTCTTGCTCGCCCCAAAAAAAAGCGACCTGGGCGAGTTTTGGGGGGCCTGCTCTGTCCCCCCTCTCTTTCACCTAAAGTATTCCCATTCTCTTGCCCTGTCCTTTTTTCTTCCCCCAAGGCTCCGGCAGCAGCAGCAGCAGCAGTAGGCTTTCCAGCCCACAGCATGCTTGCACGTTTATTCCCCCTCTTTCCCGGTCTTCCACCTTTGCTGGCGAATCCGCGGTGATGTCGCTTCAGTTGTCGCCCGTGCCGCCAGACGGTTAAACCGTTAAACCACAACTGTCCTCTCCCGTCCCTCTCGGGCGGGAAGTACAAAGTCTCCACGTCTGCCGTCTCTCACTGCGTACTGCGTACCTGACCTTACCTTACCTTAGGTAGGTCGTCTACACTGGTGCCACCTAATGCAAACCTTGGTTCCCATATTCCCACACTCTCTCTGCGCCAATATTGAATACCCTCTGAGCCTCTGAGCCTCGAGGTAAGGTACCTACCTACCTTAGCACCTCATGTACCTCTGGCACCTTCCCTCAATCACATCATGCGACGCGTGAAAACAAAAAAAAAGTGCCCGACACCCCTGCAACACTCAAGGGGATGCATCCACCTCAGTGCTGCTAATCAGTAATGGAAAACGAAAAAGCTCCTCCAGCCTGGCCCGATCAGTCTCGCCCACCTCAGCGCGCCTGGCCAAGCCAGAGCTGGCTGCTGGAGAGGTTATGCCATCTCAGCATCATCTTTTTGTGCACAAATGTGGTCAGCACATTGCCTCCACCAGACCTTGTAAACTCCCAGCGCAGCCCAGGACCTCCAGCGTTTTCCACTGTGAATGACGGCCGATGGGACACTTTGATCCACTCCGCCAGAGCCATGAAGCAAAATAAACGAAATACTTTCACGCAAAGACATGATACAGCGCCAGCTCACTCAGCACCAGGCGCCAAAACACGAAAAAGGCATCAGAAGAGAGTGACCCTTTGAACAGAAAAGAGGTCACTTGTTATCCATATCTTACCTAAAGGTACGGCCTACAAGCTTTTCCTCTGCGTCCCACCATTCCTCTCCTCGTTCCCTTAGGTAACCTTACCTCACCGAAAAAGGTACCTACAAAAGGTACCGCTGGCCATCAGCTCCCCCCTCGGCATCGGCGCTCGTGTTGATTGCCGCCCAGCACAACTGGACTCGACCTGAGTCCCTATATATCGAGCCTTGTGGTTTGTCTCTTTGCTGTACTTTGCTATTGCAAGTCAATTAACTGGTCGTTGAGTAATCCTCTTTCTTGGGAGCAAGGCTATGCTTTTCTTGCTACTATCTTGATCCCCGACCTGTTCTGAGCATCTGCATGACTTATTCGTGGTCGTTGCGGACGCTGTAGTGCTCCAATCGCGCTATCTGGTGCGCTGCTTGTCGCTGTGATGCTCTGGCGGTACTCTCACTGTACTTTTAGCGACGTGGTATTGGATGGTGACGGGATGCCTTGGAGTTTTGCACCCTTTTCTTCCTCCCTCGATCGCTGATTTTCGGCGGCGGGCGCCCACATTTTTCTTGTGTGCGGCGTGCACCGTCCATGACATACACACCTCGCCTCTCCATTGTTTAGCGGTAATGCCCTGTCGCCCAATGAGGGCCCTGCAATCGGGGGGCGCCCACGCGCCTTCCTGCCCAGTACCAGTGAGCGAGTGTCGGGTCCCGCCCGTTTTCCCAAGCCACCCGTGGGCCTCGCGAGGAAAAGACCACAACGCCCACAGCGCGCCTGCACTCTGTGCACAAGGGGGGAAAACACAATGACCGGGGGGATGGGATACCTCAGGTAGGTACCTTACTCCATACCATACCTTAGAATCCGTCGGTGATTGCACTGCCCCCATCCCCGACCGACAATCTCTGACTCCCCTCGTCCACCTGCTATCACTCACTGACTGTGATCCCTCACTCCTCTCCTTCTGTCCGTCGGGCTGTCCTCGCCGGCTTAACAGGTTCACAGTGCTGTGCCCTCCAGGCTTTAAAAGCAGCAAGGCTTCTGAGCACTCGGGTGCCTATCCCCGCCTGTGTCTGCCTGAAACTGACTGGCCACATCCAGATCACCTCAAGTCCTGGACTCCCAGGTGCAGCAGCGGCGGCGGCACCCCATCCATCACCGTACTCTTCCACACCCCCCGCCGTTCTGAACTCGCTCTGGTCCCCGGGAACTTCTCGTTCTTCTCCTCGTCTGTCTGTCTCCCCCCGACAGCGGCCATTTTCACAGGCCTTTCCCCACTGCTTCGCCCGAAGATCCCTCATTGTCGCCAACTTCAGAGCTTCTGCCCCCGTTATCGCAGCTGGATCTGTCCGACTCCGTCTCTGCTGGCCTGGACCGCCAGTATGGACTCTGGGCTCTAGGCTGCCCACCCATCTCATTCTCTGCTCAGAACCTGACTTTCAGACTCGACACCGAGGACGCTGAAAGCCTGCTCCAGCCGAGGCCCCCTCGTTTTTTCCCTTCCCAAATCACGGGTACCTTCGGCCAAATATCGGGAACCCAGTCATCATCAGTGAGGTGGTCCTGCCAGGCACTGACGTGCTGAATTCTTGCCCATCACTGCCGCGCTTCTCACACCTGGTTATCGTGTCGGTCGTTCAGCAGCCATAAGGCCTCAGAAGGAATGAGACGTAGTCTCGTCGGCGGTGTTCGCTGGACCCCCAAGAAGTCCAGCACGGAGGGTTCCCCGCTCACTCGCACTCAGCACCGAGCATCTCGGGTTGCGTGTTTCCATCTTCAGCGATGACAGCGAACACCCTCTAACCGGCCGCCCAGCAATTCATTCTGGTTCTCGGGCAGTCTCAGTTCTCATGAGGCTATTTTCCCAGCACCATTGGAGTAGCCGCCTTTTCCCCGCCGTCGCTTCAGCTGGTACACCCGCAACTTGTTTTCATGTCCGAACAGTCCAAGGTCACCTTACCCAGTGTGCTCTCTCGGCCACAAGAGACTGGACCTATCCCTCGGTGCTTCCCTGTAATACTCCGTCAACGCCGTTTGTACCTAAGGTAGCTCCAGAAACCTGCTTGGTCGGCAACAGCTTAAGCTCTTCACCAGCCTGGAGCACCATCATCACCGGTGGTGTTGTAAACGACCCTGAACCAACTGTCTCCTGGCCTGAGAGGTGTTCATGCGCTGGCAACTACTGGAAAGCGTAAACGCCCTGCTTGAAGCCAGATGCTCTCGTCAAGATTCACTGGGCACCTAGAGAGTATTCACAAGCAATGTGCCCTTGGCTATTGGAAGGCATCTCCCATAGGAGTCATTTGAAGGCTCACAGTTAGCCACTGGGCATTTACATTGACGCACTAGAAGCAAACACTTGTACGGACGTCTGAGACTTCGGACATGATGCTGTTCTATTCTTTGACAACTGCCCGTGTTCTAAGGAGCTCAGGCGGCCACCATTTCTCTGAGACCCTTGGAATGAGGTGTCGGAGATCCATCTAGACTCCCATCCTTCTCTGGTCTTTCTCGGGAGGTGTAACCCCCACTGGACGACCACACGGTGCTCGCCCACCACCGGTGTCCAGCCTGCGATGGTTTGTCCTAGAGCACGGGAAGCTCTCGTACGATACCTTGTCAACTTGCAGAGCTCACCCGTTCCCATGTCGAAGACAGCGTGGCGGGCTTGTCTTGACAAGCATATCAGCATACAAAGAGTATACACTACTCAAATGTATTGATCGAGACACGCCCATCTACACCACGTATATTAAGTCAGTTCAATAGGGCCTCCTTCACAACCGCGGCCGCAGAATCGCCTTAGGCATGGTGTTGTTGCAAAGCACCCATTGTATACGGCACACCGAGCCCAGACCGAAGACTTCGACGGACCTTACAACGAGCACACATGTGCCGCTCATGAGGCTCGAGAGTGAATAAGTTTCAAGGCACGGTAAGTGGAACTCTATTCACTAAATCAAGTATGGAATTGCTCAATTCAATCTCTGGATCAGTGAAGGACACTGGAGTCTTGATCTCACGTAAAGTCACAGGAGATGTGGATCCATGAGAATGAGCAGCGGAATTCTGACCCTGCTGCTTGTGATTGTTTGGCATACAAAGCTTCGATTTCCAGGTGGCATAAGCAATACACACAATCAATTCACGGCGCATGAGAGACAATGTGAGTCTACGTTTGACTAGATGGCAGGTCTGATCAGAAGCAGGCAGCGCGAACGGAATTACCTACCCAGTCGCTTTTACTGTGGTGAGTCGCACCCCTGCGAGGCGTTGATCAACGGCCACCAACGCGTGTTTCTCGCCTAATCATAACAACTCAGACGCGACTCCGTAGACGTTCTGTAACGGCCTGTCTCATCCCAGACCACAGAACATGGGAACCAAATCCATTAGGTCTCTCTGGAAGAGATTTTGCCAGATGTCTCATGTTGTCTACACAGCAGGTGATTCACAGAATGAGTGAGTTTGTTCAACTCATCCATAGCTGTTGTTCCTAGGATAGCTATGACGGGGTAGCTCAGGTCCCGCTTCGAAACTGTTACCTTTTTTTTTTTTTTTTTTTTTGAGCTATCGAAGCTTGAGGGAGCAGCAGTAAATACTCAGCATCGTCACTGGGTACTTTTGGTATCAATTTAGTGAGTTGTATCAGGAGCACAATCAGTAGAAGATGCACCATTGACAGCATGTCCCCAAGTAATCAGCGATGAACAGTTGCGGCAGTGTTCCGCGACATGAATCCTCGTCCTACGCGCCCATCATAGATGAGAATGAGATGAGAATGAGATGAGATCAGTAAGCTTCTGCTACCTAAGGTACCGTAGAGTTGTCGCCAATAGAAAGGCCCAGAAAGCTGAGCTCAGCCCCGCACCAAAAAAG